TTAAAAATTGGATTAAAAGATTAAAACTTTGTATATCACTTTGTGTTGAGTATTTTAAAGGATTGAGATAACTATTTTGCACTGTTTTTTAAGTACTTTTGGGAATTGACATATTTAAATACCCCTCGTAAGACCAATATATTGGTTATGGAAAGCAAAAGTTCAGTTTAGCCCATAGTTTAATCGTTAAATTCAATACATTCTTTTACTCAGAAACCATACGCTGCTTTTCATGTGCTGGATTATCGTGTCTCATTAAGCGCTCCATGGTGACCGCCGTATGAATACATCTGTGGATGTTTCAAAATTAACATTTTTACCATTTCATGTTATGTATTGAATTCTGCTAAACCTGTGATAGGGAGCATGGACGGTAGTTTGCACCTTCCAGTAGCATCCATGAACATTCAATCAGAGATGTTATATCCTTAAAGATCGTTCAGCACGACATTATTGTTGTGCTTGTGGTAATTTAGTTCTTTCTATTCGGCTATTCTCTTGTTGGGTGGTTCAAGTATTCCTCACTTGAATACTGTTGAATCACCCTTAGGGTATGTGGCCTGCTTTTTAAATTTGTCTTTTGACGTCATATCTGTGATATGCAGGCTTCATAACCTCTGATCCCCTTTCAAAATTTCATTTTATAGTTCAGCCCATTGTTTTCTCGTTTAGGGCACACGCATTTTGTTTCTTGGGGAACATATGCCGCTTTTCATGGAATGGCACTTACGTGTCACATTGAAAGTTCCATGATATTCGCCATATGAACACATCTGCGGATGTTTCAAAATTCAAAATTGTACTAGTTCATGTTAAATGTTGAATTCTGCTTAAGCCGGTGCTAGGGGGCGTGGACGATAATTTGCACTTGACAGTTCCGTCCATGAACAGGCTCAATCAAACCGAGCCTGCAACATTTTAAATTTTGCCGTGTTTGGGCTTTCTTTAGGGATTCTTAGTCTGCAACATTATCAGTTTTGCCGTTTTCAGATTTCTCCATATGCACAAGAAACTAGTAGTTAAATTTTGAATTTAGAAACATATTTAGATATTTTCGACGGTTATCAAGAGATCTACAATTGAACCACTTCATGAAAAAACAGCGTATTTATTCCAATAAAAGAATGCGTGTAGCTTATATGAGAAAACTGGGTTGACCTTAAGAAAAGAAATGTTTGAAAGAGGTTATGAAGTCTGCATATCAGAGAAATGCCACCAAAAGGCAAATCTTAAATCAGGAAAAACACTCTAGAGATGGTATTCAGTATTTAAGAAGGAATACTAGAACCACCCAAAAAGTAAAACATGTTAAATAGAAGAAATTAAACTTCCACAAACATAGCAATGATGTTTTCCTGGACAGTCGTCATGGATCAAAAATATAACATCCCTGATTGTTATTAAGATGTTTTATCGGGCAAATCAATGCTTGACTTAATAGAAATGCATGAAATGGTCACAAAAAAGGAAAACATTTCAGAAGCTATGGATATACCCGCTTACATGCAAAAACTTAGCGAAAATTTGAAAGGGGCATAAATATGCATAAAAGCAAATAAGAGTTTTGGGACTTGTGTTAATTATGTAAGATAATCATAGAAAAGAAGCATGTGAAGTTTCAATCCATTCCCTTCAGGAGTAATGGAGACACCAGCTTAACAACAAAAACTTACTTTACCAATAATTTCTGAGTAGGAAAAGGGGAATAAATATGCAAAAGCAAAATTATGAGTTATGGGAATTGTGCCAATCAGGTAAGATAATCAAAGATAACAAGTGTGTGAAGTTTCAGTCCATTCCCTTCAGTACTTATTGAGATACCAGCTTACAAGTAAAAACTTAATCACAGGGACGCCGACGCCGACAAATGGGTGACTAGATTAGCTCGAGTATTCTGCGAATAGTCATACAAAAAAATGTTGCCTTTATATCGACTATTCAGTTTTGTTTAAAATGTATTAGTGCATAAGATCAGTTGTATGTATTTCTGTGTCAGGTATTGTAAATTTTTACTGATATGTAACCTGTTTTTCTCTATTAAGATGTGCACTACTATTCACTTCTGTTGGCTAAAATTATACAATTATTCACATGATTTCTTCATTTCTTCACTTTACCAAATTGAAAATGATTATGTGTGAATTAATTGTGATAAATAAACAAATTACCATGAATGATTGTTTTTCTTAACTTTTAAAAAGATAAATATGCTGATATTTGATATTTGAAAATGCTGATAATTGCTATATAGCCTCTTTTCTAAATGTAATATAACCATCTTTTAAGTACCACAGAGAAATGTTTTATATTTTAACTCATAGTGTATAAGTAACACATTTTAAATACTTAGTGTCATTAAAACTAGTGGTTTCTTTTTATGTAGGACTAATTTATCTTGGCCATTAATAAAGATTGCAGCTATTCAAACATATTACAATATTCTCACATTCAAATAAGATATTTAGCAAGAAATTCCTAGATTTCAAAAAATATTTGCAATTAAAGTATTATACCAAAAGATGACTATAGTAGATACATCGTTAACATATAATATCGTATTTCTGTTTCAAAAATGGCATAACATGACTATGAAACACTATAGAGTATAGACTATTAGCATTATTATTTTGAAAGTGTCAGTTTACCTACCTACCTTTTAAGTTCTTCTCTTCTGAGATACATTCTTTGGTAATGATTTTTATGCAAAGCTTGTACAGCTTTAATCAGCTGTTTAAAGACTTACAACTGTAACACACTTCTTTCTACTTTGTGTTTAAAGATATCAAATGTGTTTTAACCATCCATTTTTTGGTGAATTGATTGTAAAATCTTTAATGTTTGCTATGACATGATGTTTCTTTTCTTCTGCAATGTAACACAAAGTTTTCATTTTGAACGATAAAATTCAATTACATGATTATTGAACTGAAATTTTAAAGTCGAGGCAAGTTTGAGGACGGTTAAAAGTTTGAAGATTTTTCGGTTATTTTACCCCACCCACTTTTTAAGCCCTACTCTTCTGTGATAAATGCTCGGGTAACACAGGTAATAGTTATTATGCTTAACTTGTCAAGCAATCATCAGATGATAAAAAGTATACAATTAAAACGGAATTTCCTTTATAACAAACTGAAATTGTAAGTAAATGCAACTTTTGGGAACATTATATAATATGTTATATAATTTTGTTTGTCTGTTTTCGGTATTTTTAACCCATCCATTTCTTTAAAATCTACTCTTAATGAGATAAATTTTCAAGTAATGATTATTTATGCATTACTTGTGTAGCTATGTTCAAATAATTAAGTACAAACACTTTAAAGACATTTTCATTTAAACAAGAAAAAACAAAAGTCATCAAAATGTCAAAAAATAGTATTTGAACCTCTCTTGCTCAATTGATTGTTCTGATTTTCAAAATTTCCACATAATGGCCAATTTTAATAAACTAGTCCCTTTTCAGCAGATATTGTACAATTAAATACAATTAAAATTATAGTGATCAAACTTTTAAAGTAGAAAGTAAAGAAGAAAGAAATATATGGAATTTTGTCATTTTTGGTGGCTATATTTGCGGCCATCTTGAATTTCCGTGCTTTTGCCCGTGCTTAAACTTAAAAAATGGGTTTTGGAACTGCTTACAACATGTTTCATAATGACAATGTTTCTGTTTGTTATAAAATAAATTGCAAAATAAACAGTAAAATACAATAAAACCCTGCCATCTCTTGGACTAAAAAAAATTGGAATGAGATATTTCAAAATTGATGTATAGCAAGGTTATGTGAAGACCTCCTTTATTTTTATTTATTTGTATTTAATTAAGTTTCGCCTATTGTTTTCTTGCTTGGACACAGGTAGTCTTTTACTTGGAAACAATTTGCCATTTCATGTGAAATACTAAATACTGCTAAAGTCTGTGCTAAGGGCATAGACGATACCTTGCAATTATATAAATCGGCCATATACAGGATGAATCAAATTAAGTCTGCATCAATTTAAATTTTGAAGTGTTGGCGTTCTTTGGCGTTTGTTCTTTTTGTATAAATTAAAGATATTTTTATTTTTTATGTACTAAGGTCATTTTGATAAGGATCTTAAAACTTAGAGGTCTTAGAATAATTGAAGGTTATTCATCAATCAATTACCTGGGTTAACAAGTTTACCTTAATAATCAGTACAGTACTGAAATATGAATCTCTTTCACCATCTTCCATAAGCGGATCCAACTGACTTACAAACTCTTATAATGCAGCAATAATTATCCTTTATTTAATTTTACCCATGAAATATGGTGCTATATCAGTCAAATATTTTTCATATGAAAGTGGGCGGAGTCAAAACTCATATTTATTTTAAGGGACTTCTTTCGCCATTTTGTTTGAAAAATCTGATAAATACAAAACAACTTTTTGTTGAATTTTGTTTTGAAAACTATCTAGAATGATAGAAAATGGTCTAACTAAGAAAATAAATCCGAACACCAATATCTTTAATTCAGTCATTAACGCTGTACAGACGTTTAAAGAGTTGTTTACGTGACGTCACAATGTAGCGCTAAATATCGCGTGCAAAACAAGACAATAATTATATTACTGCGCGCTGTAGAATTGCAGTTGCGTAACAAGCAAGGGGGTTCGTAACCATTTTTGAAAAATTATTTGATGATGAAATTAAATAAAAAGGTTATATTTTCGTTTTTCGTGAAATATGTTATATATTTTCACTCAACATGATAAAATGCCTCATATTTTCACTCACCGTCCCGGCTCGTGAAAATATGTGGCATTTTATCATGTTTCGTGAAAATATATTCCATATTTCACTCAAACGAAATAATATCCTCTTAATATTTACATTCTACGTCCTATAAAATGGATATTATTTTAATATCTAAGTCAAAACGGCATCAGTAGGCTTCTGTAGTATTAAATCTACACGATATACAGTGTCACTTATATTTATTACCTGAGTAAAACTAGATTCTTGTTTTTTTCCAGAGGTATATTTAAGGGCGCAATTATAAAACTTGCACGCGGGACTTTGCAGTCTACCCAATACCGTTCGTATTTGACCTTGATGCCTTGGATACATTTTCTATCTGGCGAGTGTAAACCATTCGAGAAAATCCCTTTTGATATGAGCCACGATCACAGTGAACCCAATTGGTGGGGTGTAACCCCTGTGAAGGACTTCTTAGATGCATCAAAAAACAAAAAGTGGGACATGTAAGTACGGTCTAATGCATGATTAAAAATTATATCAACATACCATGTTGACAATCCCGTTAACGAGTTGTGATTTTTTTGCGTCTAATATGTTATGAGATAATAAAATGAATCCATATGTATTAATTATAAAGTGTATTGAATAAGTGTATACTGAATTTATTGAAATGAGAATAAAATATTGTATCTGAGTCTGTGGCGAGCAAATATTGTTTTATTTATTGTGTTCAATAAATTTAGTTTTGAATCTGAAAGAATATAATATTCTATTTATTACATACCTGAAATAAGAACGTTAGGCACTTTCGTTAAGCATGTAATAAATATGACCGCAAATGTCACACCTTTGCTATTTGCCTTCACATGTTGCACGACAAAAACGCATTATTTACTCCTGTGCAATTTATGTTCAGATGTCAAAGGATCACATTTGTTACCATTCTTTTTCATGCTAACAAGCACATATGACACCGATAATTGCCAATCAAGCAAGGCAAGGCAAACACCACTATATCCATGTGGTACAAGTTAGCAGTACAGCGGTAGAGTTTGTGACTCATAGCCCGTGGATTACAGGCTCGAAAATCAGAAATGGAATTTGATCACTATTCTAACAATCACTATTTATGGCTCGAACACTAATAAGCAACACTTGTCCAAGCAAATATTTTGTTTGTCCCTTGTTAAAAACCTCTGCAATGGGATTCCATTATTTTATCAAAATATACAAATATATTAAATGCACGTTGAAGATGATTTTTGTCATCAAAACAAATCTTTAAAATCCTGTATGTTGTAATTTAGGTTGGTACCACAATTGTGAAGTTTTATATATGTATATAATTATGCTTCTAAAACAATTTTCAAACATCGAATAATATGTTAAATTCGTACTGGAAATATTTGTTCAGAAACAGGTATAAGGACACAATATTAATAAGCTCATAGGTCATATTATTACATATATTTATTTCACACTGTAACATTCAGTTGAACTTTGTAAATAAGAACAATTTAACATGTTCTTACTATTTCTAGCCTTTTTCTTAATAAATCAAATTTCTCTGACACATAGAGGGCGCACAAAAATGATGACCCCTCCTAAGCACTCTTACTAGTGTGCATTAATTCAAATGTACCATCCATTGCAATTGTCGCACTGTCCCCATGTAATAAATTATACTTTGTAGGAATTTATAAAACTGCTTGCAAACAATATATAGTTTACTTATAGTTTACTTTCACTAATTTCTTCATCTATATTTGAATCAGAGTTTATTTAAGTGTCAACAGGTAGACCACCTGTAGATTAAGACATAGTACGTCCTGATGTTCCTGGATGAGGTGATGACTCTGATACAAGTTTGTTTTTACTTTTCTTTGTTGGTGTTTTTTGAATCGGTTGAACATTTTTGTTTTTGTTTGTGTTGTTTTGTTTGATTTTCTTTAGGTAAAGGTATGCTGAGAATATGTTGCTATGATGATGACATCATGTTACCCTGCATATTGGGTGTGTATTGTCTTTTCAATTCTGGAATGAACACTTTGGTTATCTTTTTAGCTTCAAGGAAACTTGGTTTTGTTGTTTCATGCTCATTTAGATGTTGTTCTGTTTCTTGTTCATTGTCATCATCTGTGTGATTGTAAATGGTAGCAGGCATAGTTTTGATGGATGGAATTATTGTTCTCTGCAGGGGAAACATGCCAGAGACTTCCATAAAGAAGACACAAGATTTGCTGGTGTCGTACCTTTGTTGTAAGCAGAACCAGATATTTAAGCGTTTGATGTGGGCCCCGGGTGTCTTCCTCATAAATGCCTGACATTCACTATGGTAAATCCTTTTAAGCGGGCCAAAACGACCACGTCCAGGGTTTGCGTTACGTGTAACGTACGAGGCGGTATTACAAAGGACATGATGTTATGTGCCGCACCCCATCCTTTAAGAGTTGGATTTATATGAGACTTGTGTCCATCAAACAGAAGCAAAAATTGTGGGGAACCATTGATTGGCACATATTTGCTAAAATGAATCTCCACATATTCATGAAACACAGCAGAGTTAGACACCCTGTTTCTGTTACAGTGTAAGCAGCGACTGGACATGCACCATTCAATAGACTATTTAAACGTTTCCAGGAAAAACCTAAAATGGAGGTAAATATACAAGTCCCAACTGCATTACATGCACTGTCTGACCTTTATTGGATGTTATTGCTTGAGTGCTGTTCCTTTTCCACAGATTGACATTTGAAGGGCTGTGCTCCATCATTAGACCAGTTTCATTAATATTTTATATTTTTTCCTGGTTTACTCGGCAAATTGTTTTCAGTCATTACTTTACCTAGTGCTGAAAAAAAATTGTTAAGAACTTCTTCTGAAAAACACTTTGTACGGATGAAAGATAACGTCTGTGTGTTTGAAAATGTGATCTCTGGATGACGCATCTTAAACCCATTATGCCATGATTATGCAAACTGAGAATCAGAATATTTTTCCTTCTAAATAAATGCATAACCAGTTGCGAGTGTCAGGACATAGACTATTCTGTAAATGGTAGCAGGCATAGTTTTGATGGATGGAATTATTGTTCTCTGCAGGGGGAACATGCCAGAGACTTCCATAAAGAAGACACAAGATTTGCTGGTGTCGTACCTTTGTTGTAAGCAGAACCAGATATTTTAGCGTTTGATGTGGGCCCCGGGTGTCTTCCTCATAAATGCCTGACATTCACTATGGTAAATCCTTTTAAGCGGGCCAAAACGACCACGTCCAGGGTTTGCGTTACGTGTAACGTACGAGGCGGTATTACAAAGGACGTGATGTTATGTGCCGCACCCCATTCTTTAAGAGTTGGATTTATATGAGACTTGTGTCCATCAAACAGAAGCAAAAATTGTGAGGAACCATTGATTGGCACATATTTGCTAAAATGAATCTCCAGATATTCATGAAACACAGCAGAGTTAGACACCCTGTTTCTGTTACAGTGTAAGCAGCGACTGGACATGCACCATTCAATAGACTAAACGTTTCCAGGAAAAACCTAAAATGGAGGTAAATATACAAGTCCCAACTGCATTACCTGCACTGTCTGACCTTTATTGGATGTTATTGCTTGAGGTGCTGTTCCTTTTCCACAGATGACATTTGAAGGGCTGTGCTCCATCATTAGACCAGTTTCATTAATATTTTATATTTTTCCTGGTTTACTCGGCAAATTGTTTTCAGTCATTACTTTACCTAGTGCTGAAAAAAAATTGTTAAGAACTTCTTCTGAAAAACACTTTGTACGGATGAAAGATAACGTCTGTGTGTTTGAAAATGTGATCTCTGGATGACGCATCTTAAACCCATCATGCCATGATTATGCAAACTGAGAATCAGAATATTTTTCCTTCTAAATAATTGCATAACCAGTTGCGAGTGTCAGGACATAGAATATTCGTATCCAATTCTTGCAATGTAAAAAGCGTGCTATGCAACATTTTGCTTCTAGGGGAAGGTCTTGAATTAACAGAGAAGTTTTCACCTTCAGAGTCAGGGTAAAATGGACTACGAAATATGTCACGTAGAGTACTATCTGGAATGCCATGCATCCTAGCAGCCTTATGAACTGATGCATATTTTACTGTCACTTCTTTATATGCTAAAGTGAAAAATGCTAGGTTGCACTGCCTCTTCTTGCCAGTCCTGTTCATTTTTGTAATAGTTGGAAGCTGAAAAAAAGGAAAAAGGTTAGAAAGGTTAAACAAAAGAAAAAAGTAAGAAACAAAAAAGTATTTCTCTACAAATATTGGTCAGAGGTTAAGGCCATTATTGACTATATAGAATTAAAAGTGAACATACACGTACAAACGACATAACCTTCTGTTGAAATGGTTTGAACCAGTTGCCGGTACGCAACGTAAACAATTCAAGACGGAAACGGAAGTTAAAGGGTTGCGAATGTCTAATGATTGTTATCATACGGGCATTCGCGATATAATGTTTATGACGGTATTATATATAGAAGGGATAATTATTAAGGTTGTCAAGGATATCAATATCAATCTTGTTTCAGGTCACATTTTGAAGATAAAGAGAAAATGTCAGCACTTTTTAAAATGGATTTCCTTTTGCCGCGAAGCATTTTAGCTGCAACAGGTTTGAAAGATCTAATGGGAATGATTCAAACACGATTGTTTCCTGTTGAGGTATGCCTTGCAAACATTATCTTTCACACCAAAAACTATGAGCCTCACACATTTTGGGACAAAAAGAAAGATGATGTAAGTGATTTAAATTAATTGTTTTTTTATTTTAGTCTATAATAGAAAGTAATAATTCAGTATTTAAATGGATTTGATTAACTTTTTGTCCTTTCATATTAACATTATAGTATGTTTTGGAATCAGAATGACGAAAATATACAGCATATAACTACTTTGATTTGTGTTCAACCTTTTTTCTGTGTGCTTCTATCACATCTGAGGAACCTTTGAATCAGAAACATGCTAAAAAATTTACATAGAATATATTTGTTACATATTAGGCAATTATCAGTTTACAAGAACTAGGTTTTAGGTGTTTTAAAAATCAGTTATAGCCATATCAGTATTGACTGCTTAAATTGCTGTGTGTTTTGAACCTTTAAACGTAATTAACGTCTCGAATTAAACTTTTTAAACGTTTTTGTACATTTCAACAAAGGTGCTTATATATATCCATTTATTTTCAAGAGCAAAATGAAGAACATCTTAAGTTTATCAGCAAAATTGAACCCTCACGCTATTTTAAATTAAAATTATTTTAAAACACTATCAATCGGCTGAAAAATTGCAACCGGAAGTTTGTTTAGAATCTTGTATCTATATATGGTATATCCTCATGTTGTATTATCATGTACCTTGAGAGGAAGTAAAGAGATCATTTATATTTTGTTATTGTTGAATTTAGCAAATAATACAAACTGTAAAAGAAAGGTTTAACTAAAACTGCTTCCCCATTGAATCATTGACAATATCGAGCCGGGTACAAAATGTGTTAGTATATATTTTTAAGAAACTATCATGCAGTTGCAATATATGCAAAATTCACATCCAAAAATCTGATAAAAATGCTTACATCAAAATATTGCTATGAAATATATTGCTGTATTCATTCTTATTTTGAATAGATGCTATGAATAATGATCTCCTCATGTAAAATTTATATAAAGAGGGCGAGAGGTAACTGGAAATTTCCTGCATTATTGCATGTTTGTTTTATCTTGTATCATATTACATCGCTACTTACACAGTAAGGAATCGATTTTATTGATAATGCATCATAGATATGTCTTATTTTACAGCTATTACAGGAGTGCATGAACTGCTTGTTGCAAAATATAGACAAAATCTGCTCAAAGTAAGTTTAATTTTGTAGGTTTAGATATCTCCATGACAATCTCTTTGTTATAGTTATTTCGCCTCGCCTTTTATGTAACCACGAGAGTTTAGCTGAGCAAAGGATATTTAATTAAACCTGTCTGAGTTTTGATATCTACATTATTTAATTTAAAACCTAAGGGTGTGTTTTTCATCTTATTATTGTGCCAAGGCAATTCGCCTCCTCCTTACTTGACAGGTATGTCTTGTGTATAACCCCTGCCAAAAAAGTCGGAAGAATAATATAAATAACAGTTCATCTGGCACAACATCCAATAATTTATAAGCTTCTTTCAGACCGAACAATAAAGAATATAACCGCATAACACGTGTAAAACGTCGGTTTAAATGAATTTGTTTATATTTATAAAGTACACATAAATATGAGCCATACCTTACAATGTACTTAGTAATGAAAACCCAATATTAATGCATATAATGACATGAAGAAAAAAATCATTATATACTATCTATTTTTCTAGTGCTTTATAGAGTTATAGCTCTTTGTAACTTTTCTAAAGACTAATGAGCTAGGGTTTAATACACTTTTATCTGTAATATTTTAGTATGCAATTTTACTTTCCCTTTATCAGATCTTTTGTACTAATTAAACACAATAAATAACGGATCTTGGTCAAAATTAATAACTTTATGAAGTTGTAGTGTGTGTTTAGGTTCTTTGTAAATAGATTCAATGAAAACTGTGTTAAATTTTATAGTTTCTGCATAATGTTAATATCGGAAAATATTAACATATCAAAATATTACATTATTTGTTTTTAATTCGAAATATTTAAGACAATTGAAGGTGATGTATTCAATAGCTTATGCTTCTAGGTTGTGATTTTTTTTTCAGAAGTGTTTGCTTGGAAGTGGAAACAGAATTGAGCTATAAAATGGCAATTCAACTCGTAATGGAATGTTTAAAAACATATTCTTACGAAGAAAAGGCAATGTTAAGTAGTGTACAAATATTCCTTACCTGCGTTGTCCAGTTTGAAAAATGTACTTCCGATAGGACATTATCCGAAAGCAAGAGGCATAAAGTTGCAGATGATGTCAAAAAGATTTGCTCAAAAGTAATAGACTGGATGAAAAGATTGAGTTCCAGATCCCAATCTGACAAGGAAAATTATCTTAAGGTTGTTATACGTGTATCTAGGTCTAATTATTTATGTATTGATTTGATTATTCATGTATTGATTGTTTTCCTACACATGTGTATCTGTTTATTATCATAATATAAATATAACAATAGCATTAAGCTGAACAACGAGTTGTAACGATGAAAGCAATTGGTTCTTCCCATATATATTGAATAAGCTAAATGATATTACGATAGTTGCAAACCCAAATAAAACAAGATAAGAAAATGTAAATAGTGTATGTACAAGAAAGAGAAAAGAGAGAAAAATTTGGTTCAGCTTGTTAGAAAATCTAATGGACATGGCAAATACTGTTTATATCACAATGTTAGATAATTATCTTTTTTTTTAAATCTATAGACATTTTTAATTCTTTAATATTTGTACTTTGTCAAAAATAAAAGAGTTGTCCTTATAAAATGAAATGATATTCTACATAAACGGTTTTTATGCATTTTACAGGAAATTTAGTTGTTTAATGGGTAAGATCAAATTTTATTTCATCAAAATTGAGCTTCTTAAATTGAATTCCACGAGTGGCGTTGAGAATTTCTACCACAAGAAATAACATTAAATCTTACATAATAAACACATTTACTTTTTATCTTTTGCTTAACAAAGAGTTTAAATGACATTTTTTCAATATTAACTTGACTATTAAAATCTGTTTTCCCTACAGGAAGCCTCTTTGTAGACGAATTATTCTTTATTACACGAAAATTTGAGCTATAGAATTATATATGATCGTGTGCTTTAATAAACCACATAAACTATTGAATGAGATGGAAACATTACAAAATACGGTTAAACAATATGTCTTTATCTGTGAAACCTACCAGGCGTATATGTGCAAGGTATGCGGAGTGATAGGGCGTCAGCCATTTACTTGATATTGTGTATTTGAAGAGATGAATTATTTTAATATTGTTTTTATTTGATGATTTCAACATCTCTTCAAATGAAGGGAAAATCAGTTAAGGATTGTAACAGACAATCAATAATTGTTGACAGATGTGTGTAAATTCAAAAATTGACTAGGAATTTGGAAAATAAGGACTTTTTTGATAAGTTTTCTTTCGAACGGTGGGCTTTTTACTTATTGTTCTAGCAGATTACAGTCAAAACAAATTTCTACACATTGCAGTAGAAGTAACAGTAACTGTAATTGCTCGCAGATTTCTTAACTATGCAAAAATGTCTTCAAAAACAGTTTAACATGCGAAAAGAATGTAATTATCAGACAGACTTTTTTGAATGTAATAAAAGTTATAAAAACGATATTTGCGGTGGCTTAATTGAATGAATCGCAGTACGTTTTATTTAACTGATCACATGTGTATTTTAAGGTCAATAATTAATTTCAGCTGTGTTTCAATGGTCTAAACAGTCCTGATTATGACGAAATTGTAAGCGAAAATAAAAGTCATACATAAAAATCCCATTTCTATGCCCCCGAAGGGAGGCATATTAAAATCGCTCATACTGTCTGTCTGTCTGTCTGTGCGTCCCCACTTCATTCGTGTCCGGACTTTGTCATACATTGAGCGATTTTGAAATAGATTGGCACACATGTTAACCACATCAGGATGATGTGTTGTGTCCAAAATATTACGTGCCTTCCTTATAGGTCAAGGTCACACTAACATTTTGAAGTTTACTTGATCACAATAAGAGTTTATAGGTACACACATTTGTGTCCGGACTGTAACGTTGTCATGCAGCGGATGATTTAAGAATAATTTGTCATAAATGTCTACCAAATCAAGACAATTTGTCGCGTCCAAGAATCACGTACCTACCTCAAAGGTCAAAGTCACACTATCATTTTGAAGTCACACTATCACAATTAGAGTTTATAGATACACACATCGTTTCCGGACTGTATCTTTGTCATGCATTGAAGAATTTTAAAAAAATTATGCATAAATGTTAACCACATTGAGACGCCATGTCTTGGCACAAATTTCTACTACATCGACAGACGATGTGTTGTGGCTAAGGGTCTTGTCCGTCTGTCTGTCCCCACTTACACAACAATCATGTCCAGACTGTAACTTTGTCCTGCATTGAAGGATTTTGAAATAGCTATGCACAAATGTCTATCACATGTCAATGTTGTGTCACGTCCAAGAACCACGTCCCTTTTCAAAGGTCAATGTCACACTTTATTTTGAAGGTTCATGCTATCACAATCAGAGATTATAGGTACACACATTTGTGTCTGGACTATAACGTTGTCATGCATCGTAGGATTTTAAAATAACTAATATCTACCACATCAAGATGCGGTGTTGTGTGTAAGACCCATGTTACTACCTCCAACGTCAAGGTCACTCTATATTTTGAAGGTACTTATGCTTATAAGAAGAGTTTGAAGGTACACATAAGTTTCCAAACTGTAACATTGTCATTCATTGAAGGATTTTGAAGGATATTAAAATAACTTGGCATAAATGTCTACCACACCAAAATGTTGTATCGCATCCAAAACCCTTGTCCAAATGTGTTAAGTTTGCTATAAATAGCATTTCATTTCACAAGGACAATAATAAGCAATTAGGTACTTTTATTCTCTTTCCTTTTCATAATACCTGCATGTTTAAGAAACCTTTTCGGGGGCATTTGTCACTTGCGTGACAGCTCTTGATATAAATATTTTTTGTGAATTTTAATCAAGTTTTTATCTTTATATCATTTGAATAAAACAGGTTTGGAAATCGCTTCATGAACAAGACACAGAGTCAGATATATTACAAGCCTCCTGGAATAAAGAATTGTCAGTTCAGCTGGCAAAAACATTTGGAACCTATGTATGTATGAATTTTCGCATTTTATTTTCTAGCATAAAAATTATAAAATACAGACTGAAGTGAGGTTGGCCATAGGTAACATTAATGAAAACGATGTAAACGTAAGCAAGTTCTTACATTGAAATATTAGGGGGGAAAAATTGCCGTCCTTTTATTGCAATTTCTGTAGCAACTTTGCTATATTCTATCTAAACTGTTATTTATAACTTATGGCGCAATCTTAACTGTAGAAAAATAGATTAAAATAAAATAAGAGAATAATTTACATTTGATTATGCAAGTACAATGAATGGCTTATTTATTTTGTCAAAATGTTTCAAAGGGCAGTTTGATCACAATATGTCTAATGGTCAATATTCAATAATTAATGTAAGTGAATTTTACTGGTTTAAATGTTTTATTCTCAAGTATCTATGTGTAATGTACGACAATGATGTATGTCTGATACTATTTTGTCCGCGGGTAGTTTCGACAACCATTTGTCTGATTAAATTAAACCAACACGGAAAAGATTATCGTCTTCAGTCTTATTGTGATAATTGTATGCATGTTTGATTGTATAAAATATTTTGGCCGTTTGAGTTGATACACGAGGTTAATGTCGATCTCTAGTGAAAGCTCTGTTGTAATACACCGATATTGAATTGATCATGGCATAACAATTATTCTTGAAGTGTATACAATATAAATATATCGACCGTTTATACCTTAATGATGTTGATACAAATGAATTTACAAAACAACAAGAACAACTTAAAGTAAAAAGTAAAATGTTTGGTAATAATTTAAATCGGTTTCACTATGTACAACGAAAATAAAAACTTTCAATATATCTTCTTTTAGTGATAGCTGAATTAAATATAACCTACTCAATGCCATCAAAATGTGTGTGCCAACTTGTATAGACTCAATCAAACCGAGTCTTTATTTCCATGTTAGTTTGATGTGATTAATGCTTCCGAGGGATCACTTTGTTTCCAGATTTTCTTAAATATCTAACATTATCACCATTTGTTTTATTTTTTGAAAACAAAGTACTGAAATGATCATAAAAGTCTTTCTTACATTTGTGTGATTTTAGTTTAGCCTACATTCTGTTTTCAAATCTTTCATTTTTCTTACTGATAAATTTTCATGTCAATATAAAAAGATATAATTAGTAATCAAATTGTCATTACCTAAGATATGGTCAATTAATTGTATATGTCTATGTGAAAGATTCACAGGAATTAACGGTGATTACTTTTCAGTTTTCAGTGTCACACCCATCTAACTTTTGATCTTAGACCGAAAATTTCGGGGGAGCATATAGTCGGCGCCTTGTCCGTCTGTCCGAGCAAACATTTTGGGTTTAGGGGCTATATAACAGTAAAGAGAACAAAAGAGAACAATAGGTTCATTCCGTGATCAAGGGGTTTATGGGCTAGTAGCCCTTAAGAAAACAAAGAAAATAACAAAGAAAATAGCCCCTAAACCCAAAATGTTGGAACGTCCGTCTGTTCGTCCGTCCGTCCGTTGTCTTGTCCGGAGCATAACTTGAAAACCTTTGGAGATAATTTGTTTAAACTTCATACAGTGGTAGAGGGCATTGAGGGGGAGTGCAGTGTCAAAGAACCATAACTCTATTTTGCCCGGTTTTTGAATTATCTCCCTTTAAAGAAAAATCTTGTCCGGGACATAACTCTAAAACTATAAGAGATGTCAACATGAAACTTTGTAGGTGAATAGATCTCGATGGGTAGATGTGCAGTGCATAAGAACAATAACTCTTTTTGTCCTAATTTTGGAGTTCTTTGCCCTTTGTTAATTCTAACATTTTGAACTTTGTCCGGAACATAACTCTAAAACTATATGAAATATCAAGATGAAACATTGTAGGTAGATATATCTCATTGAGTAGAAGTGGAGTGCAAAAGAACCATAACTCTGTTAAGCCTAATTTTTGAATTATCTCCCCTTTTAGAAAAATCTTGTCCAGGACATAGCTGTAAAACTATAAGATATATCAACATGAAACTTTGTAGGTAGATATATCTCAATAGATAGATGTGCAGTGCACAAGAATCATAACTCTGCTTTGCCTAATTCTGGAGTTATTTTCCTTTGTTTATTGTTACTTTTTGAAGTTGTCCGGGACATAACTCGGAAAGCATAAGAGATAGCGACAAGAAACTTTGTAGGTTGATAGATCACATTGATTAGAAGTGCAGTGCAAAGAACAGTAACTCTGCTTTGCATCATTTTGGAATTATTGCACTTTGAACTTTTTCCAGAGACATAACTCTGAAACTACAAGAGGTGTACTTTCCTGTGTCCAAAACCTATTCGGGGAGCATCACCCGGCTCAAACCGGGCTCTTGTTTCCTCAACTGGCAGGCTGTTTCAATTTCAAACTGAAAATTTCCTCGTTATTTTGAGCATTTATACCTAGTGATTGTGCAGTAGCAGTCATATTTCCCTGCAGACTAAACTACAACTAGCACAGGCAGTGACAATCCTGGGTTAATGATTATATCAAATTCCATGAAACTTGAAGACCTTTGTAGCTATTCAGATACATTAATATAATCAAGTTTTTGTTTACGTACAAATGGATCTAAGCTAAATGAACCAGAACATACTGTTGTTATTTCAGAAATGGAAGAATGCTTTGCCATGTATAAGATTTTCTCATCATTTTCTTTTGATTTATATAATATTAAAAACGTTTAAAAAGTTTACCCTTTTCAAATTTGCTTTGGTCGAGATATCTTATTTAAACAGTATACAATTGCATAGCATCAAACACATTAAGTTATTGTTTTCTTTATTGTTTCGTTATTTGAGTAATGAAATATAAAATGTGTTGCGTCCGAGAGCATGCTCGCTTAATACAGTTTTTTTAACCTGTGCTATACAGATTTTCAACAGAATATTTGCATAATTATCTAAATGGTAAATGGTGCGTAAACGATTAACAAAGCACATAATTTCTGTGTGTCAAATACGAAAAAGGTTTTAAGTTATGGTCCACATCCCGGGGAAAAGTTCTTATTCGCGTAGTTCTTACAATAAAAAAATTCGCACTATTTGTACTAATGTCTGCAAAACATACAATTTATTTAAAGACCAAGATAATTGTGGAAAACCAAAGAGTCTCAACGTCAGGTTTGAGTTTACACGATTTTAGAACATTTAATATTTACATGGCGTTTTGCAACTAAATCTTGTCGCCGGACAACAGGGACTGACAGAAAATGAAATATGTAATGGTTTACGTACATGCGGCATTCTAACACATTGACTCCTTCATATCATTGTTTTGTTCTTAGACTATCAGAAAGCAAGTGTCATGGAACCTCGTTGCAACACACAATTCATTCAATTTAAGGGCAAAGAGCTCTCAGTAAGAGTTTGGCTACATGACAATATACATGCTCAAATTAATGTCGTGAAACAAATAGAAAATGATTTATTTTATTATTGTTAATTTTTTTTTATTGGGCAATTCGAGTAAATAAAAAAATAACACAAAAACAAACAAACAAACGTGTCATCGTATATCATCATATCTGGCGCTTGCATTAAGTGTATATTACTCTAGCATTTGCTGCGGTATCCGAAAGATATATATTTTTTTAATGACTTTTCTTTGAAATGTCTCTTATTTCAGTATATGTATTTGCGAAAAAAAAATTCTAGCACATGAAGGAAAACTGGAAAATCAGGCTTTTAGAGATGAAAAGCAGTTATAATATAAGGTTCTTATTGTCCCCTAAGTCCACTACCTATCCGTTATAAGCTCGCCTGGATTTCTTAGTTCTCATCTGTATTAACTTTATGATTCTCTCTCAAAGATTAAGGTCTTATAATGCCCAAATGAGCTGTTTTTGTTACTGTAAGCAGTGCAGTATTGTTCATTACAAAAGCTTCCGTGCCGGAGTAATGCCACTGAGGTAACAAAATGCCCATGCCCTTTAGGTTAATTATTTACACATTTGTAAAGTTAAAACGGCTAAAAAAGCTTCGTTTCTAAATACCACAATGCCCAGACATGTTTTGTATGTAGTAGTGTAGTCATCAAAAAATTAGTTTTTGCTCCATTCATCAAAACTACCCCCAGTGGGTATTAGTTAATGTAAACTTGTATAGGAAAATACATTTAAGTCTTCTTTTATGTAACAACAATGCCAAGGCCTTAGATATTTGACCAAAGACATTTAATAGCACACATGTTTTAAAAATTATGAAGCCTGGGGAAAGATGATAAACCAATTTGCTAGATTTTCTAGCAATGTATCTCAGGGAGATCATGACCCTCTTGTTAATTCGTTGACGTTCAGCAAACATACCATTGTATTCGGGCGGGGATTTTATTTCAAGTACCAAAGTTTTAAACAACCCCCTTCGCGATTGGGCAATTAAAAAGGGATAAAAGGGTTTTTAAACAATACTTTTTTCGAAAAAAAAAAAGGCACGGGGCTAAAAACCGAAAACCTTCACTTAAATTCAGTTTTAACATATAAAAAAGGGAAAACCAAGAAAAACCATTTAACAGAATTTACATTGGGAATTCTTGTCACCCTACAATACCTTGTTATTATCTTATCAATCGTTTTCATTTAACTAAATTTTAAAAAGGACAACATTTTTAAAATTGGAAAATAAATATTGCTTATCGTGTAGTACTACAAGTTCGGGCACTCTGAAGAATATATTATTCTTGCTGAAGGTACTTTCAAAAGATAAATGGGGGACATTTTTATTTCAGCTACAACGAAGCAAGACATGAATTGGTTTGTTAAATACTATTGTAGGAACTACGACACTTTCAATCAAAACATGCAGAAACAACTGGGCAATGTTGCATTTGAGGTATTTTTCTTTGGGAAAATCAAGCATTAAGAAACGTTTGATATTTAAACTTTTAACATATTAAATCATGTATTAAGAAAAGGTTTGTTTATTTCCAAGACCTTATGAATATTTGCTTGCATTTATTTTGGGTGCTTGGTTTAAATTGTTTAGTATAACTTTCAAATTCTTATTAAGACAAAGTAACATATATTGTACATATTCAAAATAAAGATATCTGGCAATTGCATCATGTTCCAAAAATTATTATAGGCTGTGAAAAGAGGAGACGCACTCGAATATCAAACCTTTGCAGATAAGGGAAGCAAGGTATTTGGGGAACTGCTTTCCAAGCTTTTTTTGTCAGAGTGGCAGAAGTTCGAAGGGGAAAGCAATAATGATGAACACATGATTGTCAAGTTCCTTTTGAATTGGTCAGCTTTCAGTGAATACTTGAAAATATATTGTAAGTTTTTCAGATAATATTGCAATCGTAACTTAACAAACTAAATAGCCAAAAAGAAGAGGCAGGGGTTCATAATTATTAGCTTGTCTCAACAATTTAATCTGATTTAATTATGCAATTAATGTGTCGACTTTGCAAGAAATGGACATAATTATTATCTAAATTATTTTCAATATTTTCAATCACAAACAACTTCTCTTATGCATTATTTCTAAACTTGAAAAAATCTAAATAAATAGCTATTCGTGTTCTGTTCACATGCTTAAAGTTGCAAACAACCAAACGTTACTTAAAGAGCTAAAAACCTTAAAATGTTTGAATTCTGGAGAAAAACTTCATTAAATTCAAAGGAAACTTCCGTCTCGCTACAACCTATTAATTGATGACATCGGTTAGCCCTTTTAATTTACAATATTTTTTCAAGTTGAGAATACAGTGCTAAGCGACATTGAAATTCTTTTTATAGCATGGGTAATATTATTTAAAAAAAAGTTGTATACTCATCTTCCGGTAGAAATATTGTTGTTTCTGAAAATCATTTGAATTTTGGAAATGTTAACATTTGAATACTGAAATCATTTAATATTTGTATCTGTATTGTCTGTTACTGGCGAAGTTGATGCTGTCATTTCATTAACAACACCAGTTTCTTTAAATAGAAATATTTCATTCTTTCTGTTTGAAACTATAATGAGTTCATTCTAAAATATCAGATATCTACGTGTGTACTTAAAATAGATAATATTAAATCTAAAAGTGACTGTCTAGCAATTATATGTTGTCTTTTTAGATATCAAATTATAACTTAATCCTGATATACAGTACTCACTTAACACTCAAAAAGATACCCTAAAACTGTAAGTGTTACAGTATATTTATATATTGAGTGAGTACTGTATATCATTATTAAGCTATAATTTGATATCTAAAAAATACTTATAATTGCTATATTTATACGGTATTGAAAAATGTTTTCATTTGAATAATTGCAGTCGGTGACAAGAAACTTATGCAGATGTTAAGCGATAATTGCATAACAAAGGTTGTATTGGCAGCGTCAAAGATAGAAAATCTAGCTGAAACGCTTTTGGAAGGCACGTTGACAGTAGATAACTTATATCTTATTATTGAGAAGAAGACAATGTTTTTAGAGTTGATAAATCTTCTTCCAAAGAAAATATCGCGGGAACTGATAAGTAACGCTATAGCAGTACGACAGAATGAGATTGATACATTCAAAGAGTATATGAAGCAAGTTTCAAATCTGTCTACCATGTGTCAATCTTTGTCTGAAGGTGAGTCATACATCTTTTTTACTTCTAATTTAAGGATTGTTTTCGCTGAATAAGAATTAAGTTAACCCAGGTAATGTTCGATTAAGAAAAAAACGTAAATAATTAAACACACTGCTTAAAAATGTAGGTATTATATTGATGAGTAAATGCAAACAAATAAGGCTCCTTTAATAATTCTTAATACACTTTTTTAGAATATTTCACGTAGAACTGTACATAGAGAATATCAATGATTTGTGATGAAAAACTGATTTTCTTGAACGTGTTGAATGACATTAAATTATGCGTGCCTCTGGCAAGCATAATATTCTTTTATATTCAACGATTTCAATTAATTAAGTAATGAAGTTTTATGAATATAAGTATATTTTAATTATTACATATCCAAAATAAAGGCTGTTGCCTATAGCGCAACGCTAATATCGCGCTAGTTTTTAGCAATATGTTTGTATAAAGCAAATGACGTGAAGTCAAAATATATGCAATATCGTTTTACGGAGTTGCAATAGCGTCAAGGGTATAGCGATAAATCATAAATTGGCATAACGTAGTGAAATTGTAAAACATCTTTGGTAAAAGCTTGGAAGGAAAAGAAAACTGTTCATTTTATGTGCAAGTTGAAGTGATATTTCAATGGTTAACACCAGCAGCGTTCCTCGTAAACATTTTTAAGATACCTTTTATGAGCAAGTTCATACAATTGCAACGCTTATCATTCAAAACTTTTGTCATAATTTTGTTTTGTTAAAAAAAAATTTTATTAATTTTTTTTTATTTCAATGCAATACAATATCAATAATGAAATATGAGTAAGCAGTCCTCGAATATATAAACAAAACTAGGTTATAAATAAGTATAACAGCTAATATATTATTCTCTGCAACAGTTGACAAGACAGAAATTGATTTGTTCATGCGGCGTCAACCCAAGATAGGCCAATTTAAAATCAGCGATTTATGTCAAGTACAACGGATAGATGAAGATACTTGTAGGGACATACTAAATTTGCATCCAAAGACGATTGACTTTGAAAAAAGTCCAAAAATCGGTGGAATTCTCCCTGAATTTTGTAGATGTTGCAGTAGTACTACTTTCGTTGACATGTGGCATATGAAGTGTCGTGAAGTAGGTGACAGTTGTAAGACATTTGATGATGTATTGACAAAAATCTGGAATGCAGTCAAGGAAAGGTAACAATGATTAATCATTGTCATAGCTTTTAAAATGTAATTAATTATAATTTTTCTTAAAATATTTTCCGTAATAATGCCTCCGCTACGTCACGCAGATAGTATGTCTAAGTAATATATTACCAGTAACGTACTCGTTTTCAGGATTTTAGCTAGCAGTTGATACTAACATTTAAGGGGAACGGTAGCCAAATGAATAATGTCACTGCCTCTTAAATTCTCGTGTGTTCAAGTATACGGTCATATTTCCAACTTAGACACAGTTTTGTAAATAAATGTCAATAATTTGTGAGTGGTTTGAGTTGGCTAAATCTTTTCTCCACAATCGGCAATAAGTGAAAAAAAGTTTAACGTAATCTATACAAATCATATAGGATGGTCTCCTATGGAACAGCTGTTCTTACTTTATACAGAAAATTGTAGAAATAAAAATAATTTACATTTACTATTACATTCTATTGTTTGATTTTATTAACCTGTCAATTCCATACTGATTATACGGTCAATGCACGGAACATATTTATATTCGATAAATGTTCGATAAATTCCGTGAGATTTACGCAGTAAGATATGATTAAAATTCATCGGGTTTCTATACATTAGTCATACTGACCGTTATAGCGCAATAGGGTAAACTACGGGTATATAATTTCTAAATGGCCTACGTGTTGTAAGATCATAATATATTCATAACTATTTTCGACATTTTTGAAGTTGTGATTGTTCTTTCTGTTTTTAATAGGTTTTGCACTTTTTTGTGAATACTATACTTTTGTATATAACATTGTTGAAGAATTAATATTCAAAATTCATTCGGATTAAGATCAATAAATGTCATTTCAGTGCCGTAAAATACAATAAGAAACGTGACAATTCAGTGTTTCTTAGTTGTTTTATATCTGTGTAGAAAATTCTGAAAGCTCTTGACCAATTTCATTATTGTATACTTAAAAATAAAGAAAAAATAAGTATAAAAATAATTGACGTCTTAAAAGAATGTCAAAAAGAAGGGATCGAACATTGGGCCTCTCATACATTAGGTAATCACTTTACCGACTTTGCTTTTGCTGATGTTACTAGAACCTACATTAAGCTTGGGGGAGTTTTCCAAACGTTAGTTATATACTCCATATTATTTATCGTAAAATAAACGGACAAAACCGAAGTGGGATCGAATATTTAAATGAGTACCATAATGTATTCATAATTGACAGGTCAATAAAATCAGACTATATTACATATGGACTTTTTATTATTTATTTACGTTTATTACGCATGTAATTCAAAGCATAAGTCGATGACATAGATTAGAAACATCTAAATAAATCGGCTATGTTTTAAACGGGTACCCAAAAGGAGAACACTATGGTACTTATTGACACGAAAATAATGGTGTCAATTTAGGCACATCACTTCAAAAAAAAAATCCTTGTATTTCACTTTTAAATTAATCAAAATTTTCATTTTTTAAAATTATTAACTTTTCAAATTTTACAACATTTGATGTTTTTATATAATTTATCATGTTTATATAAATTAAAATGTCTTTATAATAAAATGTCTGTTGCATGAAACTGTCAGTTCAGTTAGTTAATCTTGGGTAAAATATTTTCTGAAAGCTTTGTATTTATGAAAGAAGTATGTTAGAAATGAAAATATTTCAAATTATTTCTGTTTCAATACCAAAGCAACACTTCCGGTTTCACTAAAACAGCTGAAACAGCTGAAAGGTAGCGCTATATGTGCATAAAACATATTTCTGATTACACGAAGTTGGGACAAGTATAGTATATCTATATACCCAATAAATGTATAATGCATTAACACATATACATGAACTTGCATTTCAACGGTTTTGTTTTTCTCAATAAAGGCAATAATTACCGTGATTCGTATAACAGAGTTATTATAAAGCATGTAAATCAAGTTAACAATAACTTCAATTGATTATAATACACCTTAACGAATGTAATTATGTGGCGAACCTTTTGGACGGACAGTCCGTTTGAATATCTGGCCGACTGGTCTTCTAGGTGTCTTTATACCGCTGAAACAATTAGATTTAAACATAAAATGATGTATTATTATAAGGTCTTGCCAATGACGACCATTAAGTTATCTTAATCATCAATGTTAATGATCTCGAATGTTCCTAAAATTGACATAATTGGTTATAACTTGATGTTTTGGGTTCGTATATGAGCAAAACAACTGCTAGACAAAACCGGAAAGCAGGTTAAACTCAACTTGACCTTGATTTATATATTATCCTCAAGGGTGAATGTTTTTTTTAATTTAGACCTTGTATATCAGCACAAATTATTTTTGAACATAATCAAACAAATACATCATACAGCCCGAATGGATATATTTTTAACAGTACTTGTATTGATTTAATTTCATATGATTTTGTTATATAATGGTGGTTTAAGTTTAAAGTAGACAAAACAATATCCAGGACCCAATTTTCACATTTAGTAATTGCAATATTGTCCTTTGTAATACCTTTACAAAATATTAATGTACTTGCCTTTGGTAATAAAATTTGCTTGTTGTGGCCCTTATTTGAATAAAAACTAGTTGAAAGGTTAATGTATAACCTTCAGTGATAACACTAGTAACATATTCTTGAAAATTGGTCAGCAATATCATATTAAGCTCTTTTTTATTACCGTTCATATTTTGCTTTTCCATGAACAAGCAACTGTGTTTTTCTTTTTTGATTTTTATTCCAGTCTCTTAAGTGAGTACAAAATTTTGAAATTGGCTTTGATATTTTATTTAACCAAAACTAGATCTAATTCATGTATGAATCCAACAGCATATAATAATATGAAATTTATTATAACTGTAATGTCACGTTTGAAGTGGTTTTCGCACTTTATAAACAGTATTGAACGTTTTATGTTAAAGTAGCCCTTGAACTTTTTTTGTACATTAAACAGTTTTGAACTTTTGAGAAAACAAATAGAAACTGGTGACACGACATTCAAGGAATTTGAGCGGTTATTCTGTGATAGATACCGTGATGACTTCAAATCAATGAAAGAAGAACTGCTAAAAATGCAGTTGAAAGCTGATGTAATTGACAGTAGAATAGAACAGCTACGAAAGTTTCAACAGCTACAAACTTGCAAGTTTGGGGCAAACAGCATTCTTCAATTTGTACAACAATACGAGTTGACTGGCGACTTTGAATTAGTCAAGACTATAGCTTCTGTAAGTATTTTTGATCGAAGGCCGTCTATGAATAGTTTGAGTTCCTGTAAAATTTACAGGGAAGAACTATATCTAAGTAGCATTTTCATTGGTCATTTCAAAATAACAAACTAAAACCTGGGAATCTCATTAGCCATTTTGCTTTTAAAACCTTATAAGTATGCCCACTTCAAACAAGAAGTGGTATATTGCTTTGCATTTGTCTGTCTGTCGGTCCGTCGGTTCGTCGGTCTGTCGGTCCGTCCGTCCGTAGACCAAATGGTTTCCGAGTGATAACTAAAGAGCCCTTAGGCCTAGGGACTTTAAACTTAGTATGGTGATTGGTCATGACAAGTAGATGACCCCTAGCGATTTTAGGGTCAAGGGGTCATAGGTCAAGGTCACATTGACATTGTAAGTAAAAACGGTTTCCGATCAATAACCAAAGAATGCTTAGGCCTAGGAACTTCAAACTTGGTAACTATAATGATTGGTCATGACCAGTAGATGACCCCTATTGATTTTGGGATCAAGAGGTCAAAGGTCAAGGTCACATTGACCTTGTAACTAAAATCGGTTTCCGATCAATAACTAAAGAAGGCTTAGGCCTAGAAACTTCAAACTTGGTATGATGATTGGTCATGACCAGTAAATGACCCCTATTGATTTTGGAGTCAAGAGGTCAAAGGTCAAGGTCACATTGACCTTGTAAATAAAACGGTTTCCGATCAATAACTAAAGAACCCTTAGGCCTAGGAACTTCAAACTTGGTATGATGATTGGTCATGACCAGTAGATGACCCCTATTGATTTTGGGGTCAAGGGGTCAAAGGTCAAGGTCACATTGACCTTGTAGGTAAAAACGGTTTCCGATCAATAACTAAAGAATGCTTAGGCATAGGAACTTCAAACTTGCTTTGATGGTAAAAACAAAGAAACTTCAAACTTTGTATGATGATTGGTCATGACCAGAGGATGACCTCTATTGATTTTAGGGTCAAGAGGTCAAAGGTCAAGGTCACATTGACCTTGAAGATAAAAACGGTTTCCGATCAATAACTAAAGAATGCTTAGGCCTAGGAACTTAAAACTTGGTGTGATGATTGGTCATGACAAGCAGATGATCCCTATTGATTTAGGGGTTAATGGGTCAAAGGTCAAGGTCACATTGGCCTTGTAGGTAAAAACGGTTTCCGATCAATAACTAAAGAATGCTTAGGCATAGGAACTTCAAACTTGCTTTGATGATTGGTCATGACCAGCAGATGACTCCTATTGATTTTTGGTCAATGGGTCAAAGGTCAAGGTCACATTGACCTTGAAGGTAAAAACGGTTTCCGATCAATAACTAAAGAACACTAAGGCCTAGGAACTTCAAACTTGGTATGATGATTGGTCATGACCAGCAGATAACACCTATTGATTAAGGGGTCAATGGGTCAAAGGTCAAGATCGCATTGACCTTGTAGGTAAAAACGGTTTCCGATCAATAACTAAAGAATGCTTAGGCATAGGAACTTCAAACTTGCTTTGATGATTGGTCATGACCAGCAGATGACTCCTATTGATTTTTAGTCAATGGGTCAAAGGTCAAGGACACATTGACCTTGAAAGTGAAAAGGGTTTCCGATCAATAACTAATGAACGCTTAGGCCAAGGTACTTCAAACTTGGTGTGATGATTGGTCATGACCAGCAGATGACCCCTATTGATTTTGGGTTCAATTGTCAAGGTCACATTGACCTTGTAGGTAAAAACGGTTTCCGAACAAAGTTGTACGGAGGACATACTGGAATCAGCTTTTCTGTCTGCTTGGTTTTGCTTTTCTGTCCTGAATTAGTTAAAAATCCTTTATTCTGCTGTCTTCATATTTGTTTGGAGGTTGGTCATGACCAGTAAATGACCCCTATTCATTTTGAGGTCAGTAGGTCAAAAGTAAATGTCACTTTGATTTTTGCCATTTTAAACATATACAATACATAACTTAGCAATGTACTGGCTTAATATCCTAAAATTTGGCAGGGATGTTGTATTTGGGTTGAAAATAACCACTGTTGATTTTGACAAAACGTATGCTGGGGTATATAAAGTTAATATTTTCCATATATTTTTGCATATTAATAAAATCCTCTATTACCGCCAACGATTAAATGGTTTGTCAATTATAATTATTTTTCAATAGTATTTTTAGATTTCACAGTTAGGTTGCTAACGATTTTTCCAGATATTGAAATTCCATGGATTAAGATACGACAAACATTTTCCTTTAAACTTGATTTTATTAGACTTCAATCGCTTATTCATAAGAATTCTGTTTAAATCTAGAATGGCATTCCGAATTATAAATATTGCCAACAGAAATATGTTTCAATTTTATTCTAACGGGAATTCATTCTCTATAAACGATAAACACGATGGTGAAAATGAACTGAAGGGAAAATTTTGAGTACGAGTAACATTGTTATGGTCAGTTAATGCTTTGTACGTATTTGCTAATGGATTTAATAGTTGAATTGTATGAGATATTGGTATACTTTTATTTTGAAAACGTCAATATTTTTTACAAAATATAATTTATAATGATTTGATGATTTTAACTCTAAACAATTATACGTAAAACATTACGTAATATCAAAAATATAACATCAGAGATGACAATTGAGATACCTGCACCCATGTAAAAATATTTTAGTCATGGAAATTTTGCTCGAAGAGTAATGGATTCGTGTCTTTCAGAACCTTCTGATATTCAAATATTTCAATGCCAAAGCTAGAGTCTTGGGAATATTTTGTTCTTGGTCGGAATATTGCTTCTACCTCGTTGAGGGGAGATATATACATGTACCATATATAAAAAAGCACCATACATGAACTTGTAGTACCTTTTATAGACTAACCTTACTGAGAGCCCTTTATAACTCTTTTAAATCATAACTTTTACTTTGCAACCATAAATCTGAATTTCAGGAAGTAACTATAGTCATATTTTATCATTAAATAGGAATTGTTTACATTTTTTCATGAATACAAAAATCCGAAACATTTTTTGCAAATAAACATATATTAAATTCGGTCAAATCTTTGTTTTTATAGGTACTTCTTTATATCTTACTGATGTTTTGTGATCTGTGTTTTCAAATATCTTTTGATAAGTCATAATGTTTTCGATTAAATTATGTCTGATATTTATATATTAACAATAAGGTAAAAAGTTATCTTTTTTAATGTGAGCAGATACTGAAACAATTTGAAAGCAGTGTATATATAATATTTAAAAGTGATGCGTGTATATCAACGTAAATAAGTGGGTTTTACCTTTTATATGAAAGTCATAGAAATTGGTAGTATGTTCATGGCTTCTTCTTTGTATTCAATTTAGTATGAAGAAAATGACATGAAGATGAAAGTTTTTGACGACATATTGGTATCAGCTTGTGAAAATCTGCGGGATTTGACCAGAGATAAAGCTAAATGCTTACAAGCATTTGTTGACTGTAAAAAACTGATATCTTGGTTAAAAGAGTCAATGGAAAACAGTAAGTTCATTAAAATAGAGATAATCTTTAGAAAGATATTATACATGAACAAATTGTTATCATTGTTTGCAGTTTACTATTTTTATTACATTTATAATTTCCTTAGACAAAAATATCTTTAATGTAACAAAAAGTATAATTTTTGGATAATAACAAACATAGTGCACGAAAACAATAAGAAACATAACGTTTAAAACCCATTTACTCAATTTAACATACTACTCGTATTGGTCGATTAAATATGTCTTTGCGATGACGGTCGCCCCATGTCTATACACGTCACGAAACAGCTCACTTTTGCACAATTGTGTGATATTTATAGTATCATTCATTCGGCCTTATAGCTAACGACAACATACCTATGAAACCTTGCATTTATCAGTGAGACTTGAGAAAAACAAGATTAAAAGGCACAATACCTGTAAAATAGGATGAAGCGCTATGTAATAGCAGCCATCAGTAATGTTCTTTTAGATAAAACACACAGGTACATGCTAAAATCCTAATTCAGAATAGAAGTACAATGTTGGAAACAGCTTTTTGATTTGTTTGCATATCAAACTATCCAAAATAATTTCTAACCAATCCTTTGTTCTTAAGGTGGACTCAAGGAACTTAAAGTGTTCGTGGATCTAGCATTGATGTCCGCTGGAGAGGAACCAATGAATATTGCACGTGTACAGTGTCTACATACAGCTGTTACTGGATATGCCCCTCTGATATTTGACTTGCAAAAAGATGCTGGTTTCGAGGAATTACTACAGCTTTGCAGAAGTGTATGGAAAGAACTGGATGCAAACCCATCTTTACCAGATAAATTGGTATATTTTAACTCTGTGCTTGAATGTAAAACTCAAAATACTTTTGGTTGCTTACGTAATTGCATTTTCATTTACTTTAAATTGTACGTAAACAATAACCCGAAAAGTTAAGCAACAACTCTTATATCATTGAACCCATAAATATAAAGAAACGATACCATTCATAATAAAAACAACATTTACATGGAACTGAGGTTATTCAAAAACACAAACAGTTAAGCCGTTGAACGATTTCAATTTCGTCCATACTTTATACAGATTGACACGGCTCGACATTTACAATGGCTTGATACCATACAAAAGGCCCACGGGTCGGTAGAAATAACGTCTATGATGCAAGTTGAGGCATGTAACGACTGCGGCGAATACACCATTGGTTCAAACGCGTGGCCAGAAAGGCTTGTTTTAGATGACAAAAAGTCAGCAATGCTTGTAAGTCGTATTTAATTATCTTCAAATGAACTAGTCGTCGCGTTAAACATTTTCCACTCATTCTATAGTATCACAGTCATATTCTTTTAAAGGAAAGCCAGCAGATAAATATTCTGGACTTTGGCGTAATAACTTGTGATTTTTTAACAAAGTATGTTACAAACCAGTGATCTTTATTTCAGTTTATTAGTGAAAACAAGTTGTAGGAACAATCCAAATTGATTGAAATAAAATAGCTTTCCTTAGATACCAGAAGGTCTGAGCTATTTCTGAATATTATTTGGTATGTTTTCTCAGCAGGTACAGGATGTTCTTAAACTTACGGTTCCCGGAGACAAAGAAGGAAAACGGGAGTCAAGAAACTATAATACTGAACACCTCCAAGATTTGCAAAGTCGGTTGATGTTGGTATCTGGAAATTCTGAGACTGGAGCTGAAAGAGTGGAAAAATTTACAATGGTATCTCAAAAAGCTTTTTTTTAGTCATAACCCATTGTTTATTGAATAAATAACCTGTATAATTTTGGTAGCAGTGAAATATCCAGAGGCAAATACTGAATTATCCGAGCGAGTGCTTATATCTTTACTTTTCTCTTACAAGCCTATGCATTGTTTATATTTTACCCTGATCAAATAATGAAATTATCTGAAATTAAAAACAAAATGTTACAAAATTGAACTTTAACACTAACTCAACATCTTAACTCGCACTTTTTAATTTTGAAAGTTAATTTTCTTATATTTTCCTTGCACATCATTCTGTACAAAAAAAACTCAGTAGAAAAAACAGTTATGTTGAATAAGGAGATTCGAAACATGTAAAATTATAGGTTATTGATAAGGTTTTTTCTGATTAATTCTCAATGATAATATTTTTCCTTCATCTTGTTAACTATTATCATTTTTACTTTTTTGCAAACTGCAGCCACAAATTGATTAAGATATCTATAATAAGATACTTCAATATACTGTTTAAAAGTAACGCTATTCATGTTATTCTAAAATTTTGTGGCGTCTCACTTTTGCATAGACAGTAAGATTACTTTCCGTCTAGAATAACAATCAGGAACAAAGTAAAGATCGAAAATAAGTACAAGACCATTGTGTAAAATATAATGTTATGTATTAGTCAAAATTCATTTCGTTGTCAATTACAAGGTTGTGATCTTAGATTCAGATGATGTTTAGAATACTAGTTTCATTAGTCCCACTCAAATCATTTTTCCTCACACACATTTGAACAATACAAACAAGTACTTAAGCTACGACATATTTGATATTAAAAGATACGTACACGACGCCATAAAACATCATTGTCGTTTGAGTAATAAGATTAATTGGAAATGTTATCTTCAATCCCATTGATTTAATCAACATTAACTTTTTTGCACCAAAAATGATACAAAAAAGACATATAATACCTATTATTTATGGACAGTTGCACTAGAAACATTGACTGTTATATAGGGGCAAAAATAAATACAGTCACTAAAAATATTTCTTTAGGGTTTAGTTAATATAGTTAAATATCATTTTATGTATTTTAGATATTTGATGGAGCGCTGAGACTGAGTAATGTATACGTGAGACTGTGCTCTGCTGGTTGCGTTTTATTTAAAAACTGGTCTGCATGTTTCTTTTGTGATCCAGAGAGTCCCGTCTGTGCAATTGTGGAGTTCGGGGAATCTGACTGTCAGTTAAAGGTTTGTCGCATTTGCTCAGACTTTTTTAGAAATTGTCAAAATATTAACGCTGCAAACTAGCGTTTTTTAACCAGGTTTTCCGAAGGAAAAAACTGGTTATTAGATTGAGGTATGTCGGCGGGCGGGCGGGCGGGCGGATGGGCGGACGGGCGGGCGTAAACAATTTCTTCTGTGCGCAACTCCTCCTACATTTCTCAACGGATTTTGACCAAACTTTCACAGAAGCTTTGTCATCAAGTGCCCTGGCGCATATTGTCGGGGTTTTGCGATTAGATAATATTTGACCTAATTATGGCCCTTTGTTTTTTTCCTTATATAGAATATATAGTGAACAATTTCTTCTGTGTGCAACTCCTCCTACATTTCTCAATGGATTTTGACCAAACTTCCTCAGAAGCTTTGTCATCAAGTGCCCTGACACATATTGCCAGGGTTTTGCAATTGGTATATATTTGACCTAATTATGGCCCTTTGTTTTTTTTCCTTATATAGAATATATAGTGAACAATTTCTTCTGTGCGCAACTTCTGCTACATTTCTCAACGGATTTTGACCAAACTTTCACAGAAGCTTTGTCATCAAGTGCCCTGGCGCATATTCTCGAGGTTTTGCGATTAGATAATATTTGACCTAATTATGGCCCTTTGTTTTTTTTCCTTATATAGAATATATAGTGAACAATTTCTTCTGTGTGCAACTTCTCCTACATTTCTCAACGGATTTTGACCAAACTTTCTCAGAAGCTTTGTCAGTTTTCCGAAGGAAAAAACTGGTTATTAGATTGAGGTATGTCGGCGGGCGGGCGGGCGGGCGGATGGCGGACGGGCGGGCGTAAACAATTTTCTTCTGTGCGCAACTCCTCCTACATTTCTCAACGGATTTTGACCAAACTTTCACAGAAGCTTTGTCATCAAGTGCCCTGGCGCATATTGTCGGGGTTTTGCGATTAGATAATATTTGACCTAATTATGGCCCTTTGTTTTTTTTCCTTATATAAAATATATAGTGAACAATTTCTTCTGTGCGCAACACCTCCTACATTTCTCAACGGATTTTGACCAAACTTCCTCAGAAGCTTTGTCATCAAGTGCCCTGACACATATTGCCAGGGTTTTGCAATTGGTATATATTTGACCTAATAATGGCCCTTTGTATATTTTTTCCTTATACAGAATATATAGAGAACAATTTCTTCTGTGCTCAACTCCTCCTACATTTCTCAACGGATTTTGACCAAACTTCCTTAGAAGCTTTGTTATCAAGTGCCTGGCACATATTGTCGGGGTTTTTTGATTGGATAATATTTGACCGAATTATGGCCCTTTGTATATTTTTTCCTTATACAGAATATATAGTGAACAATTCTACAGTGCGCAACTTCTCCTACATTTCTCAATGGATTTTGACCAAACTTTCACAGAAGCTTTGTCATCAAGTGCCCTGGCGCTCACTAAATTCCCATGTTTCTTCCAAGACATCATTCAAGTATTTTTTTAAAATTGTGTACATACTTTTCTTGATATCGCACAAAACACCACACGCCAATATTGTTGACAAAAGAAAATGACAAGAGACGCAAAAATGCAAAAATTAAGCAAAAATAAAGTACTGTTTACCTTTCTAAAACATTTGGGAAAAAAAGGCGCATAGACAACATAAAATTTCTCAATCATTTTTGTTTGAGGAATATTAAAAAAGCCATAATTCCTCCTAAAAGTTCAATTAAAAACAAATGCCCCTTCATGACAAAGCTTCTGTGAAATATTTTGCTGAAAACCTGGTTGCATCGCATTGCGATGTTCCTTGTATAATAAATATTTGAATTCAACCAAAGGCATTGTTTTTCTTTCTCTTCATATTCAATTGCATAAATATCGATAAAATATTATATAAATATCGATAAATATTTAGAACATATACTTGTTCATAGAAATTTGCATTTGTTGGACTTTGTATGTATGATAAATAGAAAAATTGAAAATTTTCCAAAAACAACAAAACAAAACTCACCTGTTTTATGTCTGAGGTGACATATATTTTATTAAAATACTGAAAATATTAAGACGAAAAAGATAAAGCAAATAGATATATCAAATATAACATTTCTGTAACACCTATGTAACACCTGGCCGATTTCAATATTTTTTCAACTTACTTCCGGTAGGGATGTCTTTCTCTTACTTAAACGCTTTTTAGAGGTTTTATGTTAATTAACTCAAGCACGTTTAAAAATCAATGTACGGACAAACTTTATCTTTAAATGATTTAAGGGATATGTAAGCTATTCCCCAACGAGGAAAGCTTTAAATTTTAACATGGTCTAAACAGTGTAGCAGTTAACAAAAAAGTGACGAATTGGCTAGATGATACCGTAAATAACATTTATTTAATTAAAGGGAAGACAGTCAAAAACAGAAGAGTTAATGGATATAATTCCAAAACTGGCTGGATTTATGGAGTCGTGTTTTGACAAGTGGATGGATTTTATCAAACAGAAAAGAAAACAATATCACCACCTTAACTTCTTTACAACTGACCAGCTTGTGATTTTGCAACGAGAACTAGTAAAAATCGGGACAAATGAAGAACCTTCACATCTTATTTATCCTCTCCTGTCTGCTGTAAAATCTGATTGTTCTAGAGGTTTGATATAATTTTGTTTTATTCGTTTAATCTTTGAGGAAAACGTTTTCATAAAAAATGCAAAAGTTTGAAATTACCATTTAATACTTAACGACGAGTTTTCCCTTAAAAACAGGAAGAATGATTCTCTGCTTTTGTTTGTAATTTTATTTACACGTCAAAGCTGAAAACATGTTCTGTAATTACTATACATGTAGTTGACTTGCAAGATGCAATGACAAAAGCTAAAAACGAGCTTGATGATGTTGTTGAACAAGCACAAATTGGCGAATCTGAAGCAGATGACAGTGAGCCAAAAGAAAGTGGGCACGAGGAAGAGATAGACTTTATAAATTCACTAACTGAACAAGGCTTTTCTGAATCTCTTGCACGAAAGGCATTCAAGCAAGTTGGCCCAGATGCATCTGAGGGTACGTTTTCTCGACACTATTAAGAATCAATATCTGCATGTTTAAATTGTTTAAATGTTTAATTGTTTAAATTCTCATTGTTTAGAACAGTAAATGACAAGTAAAATGTTATCAGTTTTATCTTTACAATTTGCAATGTCTTTTATAACATTTTATTGTAAACGCTTTCAATTCATAAATATTGTATCAATCTTTTGTAATTTCAAAAATTAAAGAACAAAGTTAATTGAAATTCATGTTATACCAGCTCAGTGTATTTTAGCTTTGTGTTCTAAGGTTTTGAATGGTGTATGGAAAATGCTGATGAGGAAAGTGAAGAAAATGAGTCATTTGAAGAATCTCCAACTGTACTTAATGATACAGCATCGACTCCTATATTTACAAAGTGGAATGAATCGGGTGATTCCTTTTTGGATATAATGACATCTCGTATAAAGTCTATGAAGAAACAAGGGTAATCATTATACTTATAACAAGATATTTAAGAATCATTTTAAACATGAATCAAACGCTCTTTATTGCTTAAGTGCCTTTAAATTGAGAAGAGACAGCATATTTTGAACGTCCGTTGTTAATCTCTTATCAGTTTCAATGAGTAATTATGAAGGGCTTTCAACTTTGTATTTGTTTCCACATAAATCGTTACCTGGCTCACAAACTACTTTATCATATTGTCATAAGACACAGTGATCCAATAAAACAGATCAAGACAAAAAGAATCGTTTCAATACATTTTGTGAGCTGTTATGATCAGCAATTCTCTATCTTCCACGAACAGCCATATGTCGTCTGTAAACACGTTGTGATTGAAACAAAGGAATATATTATTAACAAACAAGTTTCTTGTGGAGTATTTTAGTATACTTTTGATTCACTGAACAAAATGACCATTATATAAGCTGAAAATAATAACATTCATTTCATTAATGTGCAGATTCCTGTGATACATTATCTAATTGAATGTTGCTTTGATTGCACTTCAAATATAGTAAAAATAGTTTCTTCCCGAATGCAACATGTGTTCTAAGGAAGACTTTTCAGCCGAAACGTTAGTATACACGTATTAGAGGGAATTTTTACGAATTTGCAATTGACTATTGTTTGGCATTATTTACCTGAGACAGTTGAATATTCAATGACCCTTTGCCGGTAATTATCGGATTCCGAAGTAATATGTAGATAAATACAGAATCCCTAAAGAAAGCCCAACACGACAAAATTGAAAATGCTGCAGGCTCGGTTTGATTGAGCCTGTTCATGAACGGTACTGGAAAGTGCAAGTTACCGTACACGCCCCCTAGTTTAAGTCATAAAGTATGGTATAACGGTGTACAATGTACACGGTTTATGAATAATTTAAAGTTACCGTCTCAACACTTACCTAACTAGCACCGGTGATAAGGAGTTAAGACCTTAAGAATTTTGAATTGAAGGTTATATGTTCTAATCTTAATGAAATATTATTTTATGGGATTTTCTGTTTATTATTAGTATTATTATTATTATTTTTATTATTATTTTTATTACTATTATTATTACTTGACTAATAAGTTTTTGTGCAATGCCAATCATTCACTGTATGACTGCACAAATTGAAATTATGAAAATTTACATATACACCTATATATTAGTTTTGATGTTTCTATTTAACCCGGGGTTCTATAATATCAATGTACTTATGGTTTATCAGAAAATATATAAAAATAAATATCATACATGAAAGTGATTTTTCTTCTGTTAAATACATGAACTTTTCCCAAAACAGTTTGTCTATGATTTATTCCAAAAGATCCAATTAAAATTTCATTTTTAAAACTACTTCCATTGTTTGCCAATTGTTGTTGATTTTAGTGGAGGTTACTACGGTATTACGGTAATCCCTAAATGTAAGTATGAAAGGATAGATGGGGTAAAATCTTCAAATTTAGTTGTGAAAAGTTTCCAACAGTTTACTTGCAATAAAATTCAAACTATAAGAACAGCCGATGTGGCAGTATATCGGATTACAACATATTTTAATTTACTGTGTAAAAACAATTAAGAGAAATAGTAGTCAAATATGGATATTTTATAGAATGGCTGTCCCCCTTACCATGAATATATAAATTATTTACAAAATTAAACTTCTTGGCGGATACTATGCGATTTAGTGTGACAGTTTTGAAAATGTTAGCATCAACATGTGTTGCTTAAACTAGCAGTCGCAGAAAATGTAAATACCATGATAACATAGAACCCATTATATCAAAGGGACTGTGTATACATGTGATGTAAAGTAAAGGCATGCAAGTTTAAAATTAAAAAAGATTATCTTCCTTCTTGTTGATAAGATTGCAATAAATTGATATCAAAATGATTCTTTGGCAGTTCAGTTCTGTATTAAAGTCTCTGAAATCGGTCAGTCTTCTTGAACAAGATGGCCACAAGTGAAAAATGTAATAACCCTTTAAATACTTTAAAAATCTTTTTTTTTCTACTACGTAGAAGATTGTGTTTTTTTACAAAATCTCAAATTCAATCGATGGACTTTATGCAATTTATACAATTGCCTTAATTATTTCTTTTAGGTAACAAGATGATTGAAAAAATAAAATCAATAAGCTTTTAATAACAAATATTCCACATCGAATTTGCGTGTAAAACTTAATAGGAATTATTGTATTATTGTTGCAATTTCCAAAATTGTTGACATTGATTTGTTAGCATAAACAAATGAATCTATCGAGTTGAAAAAGAAATTTATAAGATGCCATTTATCATGGTATTTTCTCAGACTTGCAAATCAGTTCAATCTTGATCCATTTGTTTTAAAAGAGAATGCGCGTTTAATAGTTTGATGCTTATATTAACAGGGGGACGGGATCTGCACCACTGCTCAATGACTTAACAGTGATATGGCAAGAGTTTCTAGATTCGATATCATCGAATATCGAGGATTATTTGAGTTTAGAGCACCTTGGACTAATACTGAAACATCTTGACACATCTGGTAAGCCTTTCAAAGACAATATAGAGATAATAATAATGCCTAAAAAAGCCCAACACGGCAAAATTGAAAATGTTGCAGGCTCGGTTTGAAGTTGTATTATACCCTTCAGTTTTTTATTAGCAAATACAGAATTAACCAACAAACAATTGATCTTTTTCATGTCATGGAGTTAAGGGCAAAGTTTTATTGCTTTGTAAATATCGTTTAAGTTATCAAAATTTTTTCAATAGAAAGACCAAATGATGCTAGTGAGCAAAAGTTAATGAATGACTTCTTTTCATGATATATTTTGGAACGTAATAATTTTTCCCTAAAGGTCGTAAATTTTTCATTAATTTACACGATTTATTGATAAACAGAAGTGACGATGGACAGAAAATTTCCACCAAACTTTGAGGAAGGCATGCCAAATTTAATCGTGTGTAGGCAAGGTAAGATTCTTTTGGCTTCTAATTTTCATTGTCCATTAGCTTTGCAGTGGTGAGCAATAAGCGTGTAACAGTTATTATTTATTTTAATTGTTCGTCATGTACTCAAACCGCTTTTTAAAACGGTAATTCTTTCTTTGACATCTAGTTTAGTTATAAAATGATTTTTCAATATTGTATGGTAATAGTTCCTTAAATCCTTCTTTGAAAAAAACTAAAGTAGCGGGTTAAAATTTATAATTTTGAGCTTTTCGAAGAAAAAAAGCTATTGCTGCGTTCATGTTGTCGTTGACATTCACGATGTTGTTTTCATTGCCGATACCGTTGCCGTTGCGGTGCAATGTTTGTCAATAGATTAAGGTCAAATATTGAATTTAGTTAAAATTGTGATAACTTATATACGAGTACATGCACGAAAAAAAACCAATGACAAAATCCAGTTGTTAATTATTCAAATCTCAAATTATTGAAATTTACTGTAATTGACATAACTTTGTTAGTTATTTACATATTTGAATAATACTTGCGCATTGTACAATTAAGAATACAAACCGACATGTAGTATTATTTTATTATGAGTTTGAACTTTTTTTTCCATCAACGTCATGTTATTTAAAAAAAATTATAACTTGGTTATTTATTTATGGATTTGATTCATTTTTAAAAAAAAAAATGAAATATGAATTATATTTTGTTTAAGAAAATTATATTTTCTAGGAGATTTTTGCTACATTTTATTTCCTCCGATATGTTTAACTTTAGAATTAAAAAAATAGCGAGCGTGTCCCTGCTAGGCGGTGGTTCTTGCTTTAAAATAATTAACACTTTTCACTTTTTAAAATAAAGCTAACTATTCTTCAAGCCATTTATCAATATATATGGAGTTTAAATTTCTTTTAAAAAGGCATGTTTCTTTGCATTTGTATTGTGCAATCTTTTCCATTTTAGATATTTTATTGTAAAGCAATATGAATAATTTGTAGGTGAAGTTCTGTCAACAACATTGTCTATATATATATATATGACAAGGACCAGCCATTGCCATCATCAGATGAGACATTATTGTGCACAAACACAACAAGTACAGACGAAGTATGTACTTGTCATTACTATTTTTTGTGGTCATTTTTTTTCAAATAACTTCCATGAAAATAACATTTCATTTTCTTGTTTCGTAAAGAAAAAAACATGATTTTGATGCAGCTATTTCAATGTCTTTTTGCAGAAGAAGGAAGTGTGTTTCACCAATAGTTTAGTTTATGGGTTTCCTTTTTTAATTTCAGATTGACATATTTTTTAGAAGAGCATTGTTTGACAAGGGCAAAAAGATATATTGCCTTGTGAGTGCAGACTCGCTGCGATATGATGTCAGCGAACAAGTTGAAAAATTATTAGAAGACTACCTTGTAGAGAGTAAATGCCAAGGTACATAGTTTTATAAAATCGGATTGTATTGTCAATGTCTTTTGAGTGTATACGTTTTGACTATTTGTTTTAAATGTTTAGGTCACCTGAGTTTACTGCTATCCGTTTTTGTACGTTGTCCTGCGTCGTGTGTTGTGCGTTTACATTTTAACATTTGAAGCTCCTTTCTGGAACCACTCAACCAAATTCAACTAAATTTTGCTTTAAGCATATATGGGTGAAGGCGAACAAAAATTGTGAAATTCATGGCCCCTTCCTGTTGGCCTAAGGGTAGGTATAAAAATGAATGCAATCTTTAAAAATTGTCTTCTATACTTCTGGAAATCAAGCAGTCAAACTGTTGGCATTATTAAAACAAACATTGAGCCCTCTACTAAAATTGTTAAATTCATAGTCAAAGGGTCAGGAGTTCTGGTGCTATGGTGAGGCTCTTTTGAATGTATAGTGAAAGTACATAATATCTTCTAAAAAATCTTCTCATCTGCTCCTTGGTATTTAGGAAACAATGTAAATGCATAGTTATGAAGGAAGATGTTGTCTTTTTCAAAATTATGAATTTTACGGCCCCAACGTCAGGGGTTCTTTTGTTTATTTTTATTTATTCATTCATTTATTTATTTTGATTTTATGTAGTGAAAATGCATTAATTTCTACAACATTTTGAGCTTCTTTTCTAGTGCCGCTGAAACCAATTTCAACCAATTTTGGCATAAAGCATCTATAGGTGATGAAGGGGAGCAAAAAATAAAATATATAGCCCCTGCCTCCCTAGGTCCTGATGGGTCGGGCTAAAACCATGAAAAAAATACCGCAATAGTTTCCAGAGATGATCGTTCTAGAAAAATAGAAAAATGGTTTCCGGACAATAGCTAGAGTTAGGAATGAGACATTGTAATTAAACTTGGTATTGAGCAAGCTTATATAGATGACTAGCTTGGTATTGCTTTTGGACCCGCTGAGGTCAACGTTAGGGTCACTGTTACTGAAAATAGAAAAAATGGTTTCCGGACAATGACTAGAGTTAGGAATGAGTTAATGTTATCAAACTTGGGGGAAAGCAAACTTATATAATTGTCTAGGTTGGGATTGCATTTGGACCCCCTTTGGTCAAGGTACAAGACACTGTTTCTTAAAATAGAAAGATGGCTTCCGGACAATAACTAGAGATAGGAATGAAATATTCAATGTAATATAATCAATCTTGGTTTTAAGCAAACTAATACGAAGACCTGAGTAGGCATTGCATTTGAGCCCCCCCCCCCCCCGGGAGTCAAGATCAAAGTCACTGTTACTTGAAAAGAAAAAGAAAAGGTTTCTGAAGTTAATGAGAGTTAGGAATGAGAAGTTATATTCATCGTACTTGGTATTTAGCAAGCTGATATGAAGATCTGGCTTGGTATTGAATTTGACCCCCTTGGTTCAAGGTCAAGGTCACCATTACTTAAAATAGAAAAATGGTATTCAGTTAGGAATGAGATATTGTTATCAAACTCTGTATATGGTAAGCTTATATAAAAGACCCTTTGCTTTTGTACCCCCTTGGATCAAAGATCACTGTTACTTACTATGGAAAAATGGTTTCTAGAGGTTAACATTAGTTAAGAATTATTTTACATAGTTTATACTTATAATTAATAATAGTTTATAATTATAGGTTGAGTAAATATTTTGCTTCATACCACTTATGTTTCCAAAATGTCTAGTTTGCTGGAGGGGGTATTAATTACCTTTGGTGATTGCTCTAGTTATAAGAAGTAAGGAGCCTTAACACTGTAGGAATGCATAACCCATTTGCTTTTAGCGTTTAGGCCCATGGAGAGATTATGAGATTTTCATAATATAATATTATACTTAATATCATGTGAAGAGATTGTATTGAAATAAATATTTATGTGATGTTTGATAATTTTAATCCTTCTCTATAAGTTATTTACGCAAAAAAAGAAAACATATATAATCTGCTGTAGAACACGCGGGTGACCTTTAAGGCCCATGTGCTTCTTGGTCTCATTAAGATATTTTTTCATTGTACGTGCAAAGTGTTTTTGGTTGTTGAGGAAGATATTAGTAAATATGATGAGATTAGTATTCTATCTATTAATAAAAAATATTTTCAAATTAAGTGTTCAACTTAGTTTCATGTGAAAGGTTACATGTAATATTAAATTTTGAGCAGGACATAACGGTTCGGAAGACCCAGTGGTCAAACTATCGGCAGTTGTTAATCTTTTTCATATATGACATCCACAGATAAAGAATCATGTTATAAACAATCATTGACACATGAGGCGTTTAACTCTGTTTGTTTTGCACCTCTTAAAAACCCATTTTTTTTAAATTCAACGTAGTTTTTTTTACTTTTGTATTTAATCATGTTTTGTTTAATTAATTCCTGATGCCTTTATGTAATTTTGAAGCATAATCTGAAAGCTTAAATACCAATACACACATTTCATATACTTTTTAAATCAACCGTCTATGACAATTGTTCAACAAGTTATATATAACACTTTTTAGACATCAAATTCAAACTAGTGGTAATATGTAGTTTGGAGAATGAATACAGATCGACACTCGTGACTTTTCTCGACAAGTACAAGCGAACATCTTTGCTAATAAAGATTAATATCATCAAAACCTACTTGAAAGATAAGCTAATCTGTCGGCTCGATAATATCGATGGAGTTAAACCGGCTGCAGCAGTGGACAAGGAAAGGTATTTAGTTAAATGTTTTTGCTTTTTATAGAACATATTACTTTGGTATGCATCGCAAAAGTTAATTTAATTTTGCATAAACATTTTAACAAAGGATCAAATATTTATGAGAATATAGAATCATTTTTTAAACAATTATCCTTTAAAATGTAATCAACAAACATGCTATACATTGTTTTATAAATTGTAGCAGTTAAGTAATTGTAATTATCAAGTCTTAGCTATGTGTAACTGTCAAATTTACTGACAGATGTCATCCTTTGTACTTAGTTTCTGGAACAGTGTAAGATTTAATTCCGTATTTTGCAGTCAACAATACGGCACAAAGAACTTATACCTCTTATCAAGGTTCCTTTTGATTTTACACCTTGGTTAAAAAAAACAATGCTAACTAAAAGTTTATTAGAGTTGTCATATAGACGCAATTGCAAATGAAATCCAAATTGGTAAAATTTCCTTAACTTGGCTGACATTACCTTTATAATGTTTCACGTGCCTTTAAAATAAGCAAAGTATTGGTTTCAAGGGCAGGTAACTTACATCGAGATATGTGACGCACATTTTTCATATTCCGAGATCATGCAAATTTAAAGAAATTTTATCTAACAGTATATCTACATTTCTATATAACTACTGTAGTTAATATCCATAAGGGGATTAGCAATGTTCTCGATCTCTCGATTTCGAAAGTCATATCCTATTATTGGTCCGATTCTCCCTCTAGGTATGTGTCTGTTGATGTAGGAAACCTATTTATGAAGTTTTGATTTCAAATTTTTAGATTAACAGTACGTGTAGTAAAGTCATGGCGAGCAGGTGTTGGTAAGAGTTTGTACAAAGATCGGAGAGCAGAAGATCTGCAAAATCTAAATGACGATAACGTGGTTTCATCAAGTGTTTCCATTCCACTTCAAGATAAATGTGTGAAAACACATAATGTTGTTCAGAGACTTTTGGAACAAGTTAGAAAAACAGATGAAAAGAGATCAACATTATTCCATATTGACGTTTTTCATGAGGTATACTCTTTTTATTGAAGCGTTTGCTTGATATCGGTATATGTCTTTAGTGGTTGTTTCGAGAAAATTAAAATAACCATGAAAATGAATGTTACCTAATTCTGTATAAGTCATATTTGTTTAATGATTAACTTAAAATAAACCATTCTTTGTATATTAATAGCGAACACACTGCTTATTGTTATAATATTGGAATTTTTATTTAATTGCAACAACATCTACTTCGTATGTTTCCACGAACATGATGCATTTTATATCATTTATCATACTTTCTTTATTTAAATTTTGCTTAAACCTCTTTGTATTGTATTTAAGGTTCTAGAAGGAGTTGATGGTCTTCTTTTTAATTTGCTGATACTTGGCTACCTGTCTGATGAAGCAGGCTTTGTATGGAGGAAACGTAGCACAGATATCTATTTGATAGAGACATTGCCGTTTATGGTAAACGGGAAAAACAGATTTATTAAAAATTCGGTTCTTCATTCAAAATAATCATTGATCTTGCTCTTCGTAAACGCATCCAATTTACAAATTTCAACAGACTGAAGTATTTGATAGAGGCATTGCCCTTTATGGTAAACGAGACAAAATACACTAATTTGCCGTATAATTCAGTTCTGTCTAAAATATTTAGTTCAGATAACCAGACCATCCTTCACACAATAATTTTATGTGGAGTATATGGTGGCTGTTGATATATGTTAAACCTCAGAATGAACCACTGGAAACGTTGGAAACGCTAATAAATTGGCATTCCTAGCTTTGTGCCATAACATATCATATACATCTATTAAACTACTGAACAGAATTACTCATTGCGGTTGACACTTTTGTTAGAATTAATCCATTTAATCCTCCTATTTTACAAAGGCAAATTTGAACACAAACCATAACAGAAAAAAAATAATTTTACATTATGTATACTTTGAATTAGACATCGGAATGATTTGCACCAACCTTGGTATACATATTGTGTTAGTTGATTAATTTAAACATATAGCATTAATTTACTTAAACTATGTTTAATGTTATTTTGACAACTCTCGAGCACACCAGTACTATTGATAGAAAAGTGATAGTTGGTGTAAATCTAACGATTAGTTAGTTGATAGGGAGGAGTCACCTTAATCACCCCATCACTTCTTTCGAAAATAGTCAATTGATTGATTCTTGAAGGGTTTGTTAAAGGGCAATTTATGCTTTATACTTCTGTTTTATTTAATCTTTTAACATCAAAAATAGATACAAAATATTAAATTCATATTGTTAAATTACATGTATTATTTGGAGATCTGTTGTTCGTTGCTATACTAGATGCCTTTTCGTTAGTTCTATATGACTTGCTGCATGTGCAATTTACAAAACATAATATGAATTGAATTTCAAGACATATTTTAAGCAAATTACGGGTTTTAGAACGTCTCTATTCTTAATTTAGCAAAAGGAAACCTCTTACCTCCACCACATGCTTGATATTTTGCCAGAAGTGACATGTAGATCACCTAAAGAAAGTTTAGAATTACTCGAAGCTAACAGGCAACCTGGTAAGTTATGCTTTAGACATTGCGTAATGCATTCTTTCAATTTATGTATTAAGGTAAGTTACACATATTTCCCCGAATGTTTGATATTGTTTAATTGCAATCCTTACGTGATTGTTTCGGCCTTAATTTCTTGCTTTATTGATATTGACTCATATTTTGTTGCCCCTAAAAGAAGCTCTTTTCTCCGTAATATATCGATATGCTCCCATCCTATCGAGGTGGATGCAGTTTTTGAGCGTAAATGTCAGATGATGATTTAGCCAAAGACAATTTTCTTTTGGGTGCCTTGTCTGAAAGTAATTATACGTTTTTAACAGTGATAGATTTTATGAGATTTAGTGTAAATATCATGTTACAATATGCAATCGTCTTTAAATAGTTTAGATAAGCAATTTTTTTTATCTTAATGTCAAATAAATATGATATATATTTTATGATGTGACTGTAATGGAAAAAAAGATATGTAAGTTTAGGGAAGTCATTGGGAGTTTATAGCATTTATTTATAGAAACAAAATGTTTTTGTTTTGAAGGAAGTTTTGTGGATTTCTCAAATTCGTTTGTATTGAATTCTTGTGAACTCAGTTGACCTGGGATAATTTGTGGTATGGAGTTGTATTGGTTCTTGAATTATATTTGCTGGTTTAGATACATATATCAATATCGACTTTTTTTGGACCAGTAAGTTTGCAGATATGTTAGATCATATACATTTTGTAATAATTATTATCAGTGTGTTATAACTATGAAGGTGATAGTCTTTAAACTGAATACTGAATATCTGTTACCATTGCGTCTTGTGTAAATGCTCAGTCTTAACTCAGACCTTGTTGGACTGCCCTCTCCCGTTTTTGGTATCAGTATCTTCTGGATACCCTGCTGGTGTGACTTGGTTGTGTCGGGGGGCTACCGCCATGCCTTGTTGATCTTTGTTTTCATTTTTTGCGACTTATCTCTCATTACACTTGCTTTACAGAAAGAGTTACATCACAAGTTTTGCAGAGCAACATCCTTTTAGAGACATTTCTTTTAGTAACTGTTTAGAAGTAGACGTCTTTCAACTGACTTTTTTTACTGTTTCTGTAAAGACATTAGTTCCAATAGGAACCGAAATTAACCTTTTCTACATTATTTAATAGTCAAACATATTTTTTAACTTGTTGATTTATAATCATTTACCCTTTTTTCAAACCTACACGTAAACAGGCTTTCATCTAGGTTTTTTATGTTGATATCTATACTATGTAAACGACACTTAGGTACAAGGACTGGGATAGATTTTGTGGGAGAAATGCTATATGGTTCTTTCTTTTCTCTCTAAATGCTACCAATTTTGTATCTCGGATTAAAATGTAAATAGCTCTCGCTTACATACGAAAAAAGTGTTGTTTTTTTGTTTTTACGTCGCACCAAAAATGTAAAAGTAATATGGCGTCTTTTCAGCTTAACTGGTGATTACATAGTTAGTTATAGCTGAAATCTAGAATCCAAAAACAATCATCGGTAGCAATAATTGGTAGCAGTTAAACACAATAAAACTAACTTTTACTAAAACTTAAATCAACCTGATTCTTTCAACACATATATCTTTTTAGATTTCTTGTCTTTTTAGAAATTCCTTTTACGGCAGCAAAACCCCCATCCCCAATAGGTTTATCGATAGCACTGTCCTATTACCTGTATTTTTGATAATTTTGTAAGAAAAATGTGGCAATATAACAAAAGTGATTATTCAGATCTGGAGAGGCATGTCTCTTTTTTCTATGTGGAACCTTACAAATAACGTCAAAGACAATATACACACATCAGCTTACCGACACTATCAATCACATTACAGCTAAATGTATTTCAAACGAAATAGTAACAAAACGTCAATTGTAACCTGTAGGGATGGACGCCTTAATTAAACAAATAAGATTATGCAGATGCGCACATGACAAATAACAGAAAACACAAATTCAAACGCATGTAGACAAACTCAAAACTAAAAACTTATCACCATCTTATTTCTTGTAAATATTAGACCAACAGATATAAAAACAGACAAGAAATACAATAAAAATCCTGTTGTACTAGAACGATATTAATATCCCAACGTCGGGTATTTTCGTGGGTGGGGTATTTTCGTGGTTTCACCGTTTTCCGGTATAAATAAGTTTTGTGCGCACGAGTGGTTCCGGTCACGTGATTTTTTGGATGTCTGCATCATAATGTAAACACTGACGATTTTTTTTTCTAAAATGGAAGTTAGAAAGGTAAGTAGAAAAAAACTTGAATGTAGATACGAAGATTTCTACCTGTTTTTCTTAATCCCAAAGTTTGACAATTTTCTAATCTGTTTTTAAAATACATCAGAGCCCTCAAATTTTTTGACAGTTCGGCTGCATTCTGGCTATTCTCCCAACCAAAGGTCACGTGACTTTCATTGATAAAAAAAGTGGTCTCACATAGTAAATTTTTTTGTCCAAAGTACCCAGCAAACACATGACGTTGTTTCAACGTGGCTCAGACGTTAGAGTCCGACGTTGGATAGACGTTGGAATTTAGTTGTATATGAAAGTTTTTTAGACGTCAGAATCCGACGTCAATCCAACGTCATAAAATGACATAAATCCAACCTATATGTAACGTATATACAACTACTTTCCAACCTATTCCCAACGTGAATCCAACCAGTTTCCAACATGATTCCAACCAGTTACTGACGTAAAAACAACTAGTTTCCAACGTAATTCCAACCAATTCCCAACATAAATCTGACTCGTTTTCTTTAAATAATTCCCAAATAAAGAGAAAATACAAAACTTTCTATACTCGAAAAGTGATTTAATTATTCAAGAAAGTAATCATAAAAACAATTAAACAAAATATTCATGTAGAACGTACTATACAGTAAATATATATTTCCAACATATATGCATAACAGCAAAAAGGACTCACTTTTAATCATTTATAGTGATAATAAAATAAGGTTTGATATTTATAAAATGTATATAAACTATTAAAATTAAAAAAAAAATAAGAGCTACATGTCTTTTCAAAATTGTTCAACATTTATCAGACCTCTTTCAGTCAATACAATAATACACATTGTGTAATTCAAAATTGTAACAAATAACAGTCAACAAATCATTTACATTTAAAGGTCTATGTACAGTATACATTAACTACTATTATCTATTACAACATATGTCAATTAAAGTTTACAACATGCTTAAAAAAGGTTTTCTTTTAAAAACTCATAGAAAATGGAATTCATGGAAAATAAACATTTCTTTTGCAGTTGATTTCATCGGTAACAAAATCGGATAAGTGAGGGAAAATATTCCTTTCTGTCAAAATTAAATGTAACACACAAAACAATAATATTCACTTTTAAAGAAAGTAGGTGTTTTTTTGTTGTTTTTTTTGTCTTCATACAATTTCTATATCATTTGAATCCCAAAGTACGAGTTAAATTAGGGCGAATCAGAAAATGTTAATTAAATGGTTTAGAAATGAGATAATTGAATATCATGAAAATATATATTCCTAATGTAACTAATAATTTTTCAGTTATTATTCTATGCATGCAGTAAGTTTAATAATAATCTACCTTCAAAAATATCACTTACTTTTGACTTCTATGATGTCTATAATGTCCTTTGTCTTTGTTTGAATTTGAAAACAAGTTGTTGTTGTAGTCTCGTTTTGAAATTCATCAAGTTTCCATTATTTTTTCAATTTATTTGAAATACTAACATTGTTCCTTTCTATTGTCTAGTATAACAAAAAAATATTTTAAAAACACAATGGATGTGAAGAAAAAAAATGAATAACAAAATTCGAATGATTATCTTGAACTGAAATAAGAGCCACCTATCGGGTTTATAAATCAGAACAAAGGGAAGTGACTCAATCAAGACTACTATGTTAGATTTCACTGAAATCCGACGTCGTATCGACGTAATTCCAACACGTTGATACGACGTCGTAAATACAAGGTTGTTTCACCGTTGTATTAAGGATTTTGACGTCGCGACATAAATCCAACTTAGATCCAACGTTGAAACAACGTCAGGTGTTTGCTGGGTAATGATGGTAGCATATGACAAAAACTTAGTTTGGTAAGTAAATTTATTTACATATCTTTTCTGTTTTCTTTTCTTTTCAGAGGGTACCTGCTGTTCGTGGTCCCTACAGGTCCTATGATGTCAAGGACGTGAATGAGGCATATAAGGCTGTTATTGAAGAAGGTCTGCCAATTGATAGAGCAGCTAGAAAATATTCAGTGCCTGCTTCAACCCTCAGAGACCGTGTCAAAGGCAAGGTAGACATTGACACTGTACGATCAGGTCCAAGGTCAGTGTTCTCGCAAGAGCATGAGGCAATTCTGGTCCGACATTTGATTATTATGGGTGAAGTAGGCTTTGGTTATTCAAGACAAGAGACAATTAACCTGGCCACTGATTATGCATTTCATCTTGGTGTCAGAGACAAGGTCCATCCTCTAGGTTATGACTGGTTTTATGCTTTTATGTCCAGATGGCCAGAGCTCAAAGTTGTTAAACTTAGAAGTCTGGAGGCTGCTAGGGCTAAGTGTGCCACTAAAATTGTAATTAATAAGTACTTTCAGGAGCTTGAAAATATCTTACTGAAGTATAGTCTAACCAACAAACCACACTGCATCTTCAATATAGATGAAAAGGGTTTATCTGTTGAGCACAAGCCACCAAAGATAGTTGCTGGTAAGAACTACAAAGTTCAAGCAGTTATATCGGGAAAAGCCCAGAATGTTACCTTAATTGGCTGTGTGAATGCTCTAGGTCAACAGATCCCTCCATATTTCATATTTCCAGGGAAACGGATGTTAGAATCTCAACTTGATGGAGCTTCACCTGGTGCTACTGGTACAGTAACAGAATCTGGATGGTCTAATTCAGAGACTTTTGAGGAGTATATGAAGGAGAACTTACTAAAGTATTTACCAGCTCGTGACTCTGACAACTTTGTTCTCGTACTTTATGATGGACACAAAAGTCATGTTACCATTCCTTTAATTGAATGGGCCATTGAAAATCATATTGTGTTGTTTGTTTTGCCCCCTTACTGCAGCCAAATTTTACAGCCCCTTGATATAAGCTGCTTTGGTCCTTTGGAAAAGGCATGGAACTCTGCATGTCATACTCATCTAAGAGAGTCTGGTGGTAGGGTGCTAACAAGGTACGATGTTTGCAGAATTGCCTGCAAAGTTTACTTGTCTACCTTTAATCCATCAAATATCCAGGTTGCATTTAAGAAATCTGGGGTCTTTCCTTTCAACCCCAATGTCATTGCACCAGAGTCAACTGCATCTTCTACTGCTTTTGCTCATCCAGCAGCTTGTGAACCAGATATTTCCTCTGAACACTCATTGTAAGCAGAAACATTCCTAGAAAATAGAGGTGGGCAGATTTTAAAAAATGTTAAAACTGCTAAAGCAAGAAAAACTCTTGGAAAAGTTGGTGGTGGGAAAGCCATTACAGAGCCAGAAGTATTTAATGCTGTAAAAGAACATGTTCAAAGTCAAAAAAGACCAGCCAAACCAGCTTCTATAAAAACTGTTAAAGCTAAAAAAACAAGATCAAAAGTAAATATTAATTTACCAAAGTCACCTGTCCCTGGTCCTTCTTGTCTTAATAGATGTGAGGATCTGTCAGATTCTGATGAAAGTGATTCTAGTGACATCCCAGATTCTGACAAGTGCATTGTTTTTCATGAGTTCTACCCACAAGACAGGAATAAGTACCCATATCTCACAATTGTGAAGTGGGGGAGATGTGATAAATGTGATGGATGGGTGCACTTGACATTCTGCTCAGAAGTTAGAATTTTAAGACTTTGGGACACTTTCCTATGTCCCAATTGTCAAAAATAACTATGTGAGACCTCCAAGTTTAAATAGTTAACTGTTCCTGTTACCGCCGTTTTTGTTTATTAACTTTACTGACATTTTAAACGTGTTGAAAACAATGATAATTGTTTGAAGAAGGATTTAATGTTAAAATATATGGATTTTATTCTGTTTATACTGTTTAATCAGCAACATAATATGACCCACGCCTCGTAGCAAAATGCTAGCTCTGCTTGACTACCGGAAGGTATGTACATCGTATTTTTATATTGAAAGTAGGTCATGTGTTAAAAATTATTCTATTATGTAGGCGAATGATTGGTTTATTTAAACTTTATTGCTTTTTATTAATTTTCTGAAAAATATCCGTTACGTCAGCGATATTGTCCTTATACCCACGAAAATACCCGACGCGGGGATACCTTAATCTGATAAAAAATAACTGTCGTAAAGATGACGCTACCTTGGTGGAAGCGGCAGTCAGACAACTGGCAGAAGAAAAGTTAATCAGACGTTATTTCCGTTTTGCTGCTTATAAACGGTATCATTTTACACAACACCAAGTCGTTGCTTCTTAGCCACTTTACGCGCAACAAAAGAGCAGTAATGGATTGAGACGAAGTGCACACAAGGCTTTCATAACACACCAAATAAGCAAATAAGAATGAATATGCAAGCGAAAATTCACACTTTAAATCCGTATTTGTGATACGTCGCAGCAAACTGATGGCAAAGGAAGAGATCAACGAGGGAAGAAATGACGACCCACTCCAATGAGAAAAACATAGAGACGGAGACAACAGAAGATTATTATGATGAAGGCTGAACACTGCACGGTTATGGAGCTCAACTAATCCTTAGGAACACTCCACTTGAAGAGTCTCTACCTAGTGACAATCCTTAGACCACACGACTAGTACAGAGGAACATCGGCACATCTTCCGGGAATCGCAGTAATAGCACATCGGCAAATAACATGCGTTTCATTTCAATTTCAATAAAAAGTGAGAATAAAGATCAAACAAGGCAAAAGCCAAATCACAATCCAGTCACACCAGTAGGGCACCCAGAAGTCACCAAACCAAGAACTGGAGGAAGACACAAGGGCAGCCAAAAAAGCGTAACCAAGAAAGAACGTCACAAAACGTGCAAAAATTTAGACTATTTATCAACTAACAATTCATACATGTGACGGAACACAGAGGGGTACCGCCTTGGAACACTGTCATAAACTTCAGAGTATCGCATTGCCAAATTTTACTGGAGATATTTTAGAGTTCTGGAAATGTTACAAGTTAAGAATTTGTAGCAGAAATTTTGCTCTCAGATATAGCTTATGTCAAACGAGACTGCCAGTGTGATTGATGATTTGTATGTTACACATAGAAGCCATTTACTAGATGTACATTTACTTAAGGAACTTTTTCGTCAGACAAATCAAGCTGATTTATTTTTTGCAAACAGTGCGGCAAATGATAACATTATTATAGACATCTTTATTATATTTGCATATCACCAAATAAAAGGCACATGTTCTTTATTTTTTAGAAATTTAAATATGTGTTTAATCCTGTTTTAATGATTGATTAAGAGCATGTAAGATGTTTAACAGCGGAAGAAAGTAGTGCTGAATATGCAGTTATTTGTCATACATGTGGTAAAATGTAAACAAAGTAGTATTTTCACTACCATACAAAATGCTAATTCACGATAATTATAACAATTGCCTAAAAACCCAAAGAAGCAAAGATCTATATGTCATTTTGCGTTTGTATAAGTATCATGATGGTGTGCGTTTCGGAAATACTTCTCTCCTATGATGCTCTTTACTCTTATATTTTTTCAGATAACGACCAGCTATTTGACAAGAAAAAATGTAAAGATGACATTTATCAAAGACCATATCAATATTTGGTTCAGTTAGACACTAGAACATCAGGTAATATCAAATTCGACCCGGCTAAAGAGAAAGGATCTGAAAAGGAAGTGCTTAGGACTGTTCTCAGGTAAAATATTATCATCAATAAGGATGATTAAGTTACAGTAAAAGTTTAAAATTCGTCTTTGAAACAAATTTATGAAGTTTTGTGCCATAGTTTCTTTATAGTTAATAGCAGAAATATCCGTGTTGTATTCCGAATGTTGTGCCAGGTTAACAGCGCAATGAAATATATTAATCGGAAAAATAAGAGAACGCCCAAACGTTAAAAAAATGATAATGGTTTAGTCTGTTCAGGAACGGAAAAGATAAATGCAAGCTAATGTCCACGTCCCCTAGCAACAGATCAACAGAAAACAACATTTGAATATAGAAATAACACTTAATGTAGCTTTATGTTGTCGGTCCATAAAAAATGCATGTAGTCCCAAAATATAAGAATGCGGGACTATATAATGAACACAAAAGGAAGAGTTTAATAATATAAAATATTAAAAGTAGTTGGTAAACCAAGTCTGCATCACTTTCTTATCGAACTGTAAATGTTTTATTTCAACTAACTTATCTGATAAATGTTTTCCTTCAATTGTTTGTTTACTGTTTCCTAAATTTCAGTCCATAACACACTTTTACGTAACCTTTGTTCATTTTACAAAAGAAACAAGGAGGTATACATTTATTTACCAAAAATAATTCAAAACTGAACAAAGTATTGAAAACCGTTTGACAGGCTTTATTTAAGCTCACCGAGCAGAAAATGATGTCATAGATGATTGCCTTATTATCGCTTTTGAACCGATGGAAGGGATTATAACTTTTTTGCAGAAATGTTGCTTAAAATGAGACAATTAGCAGAACGAATGTGCTTTTATTGAATGTCGACCTTCCTTGTTGATCTTGTTTTTCATGGTTTTTTTTTGCTTCCTGAACCCCTGGAGGTCACATTATTTTTCATAAACTTTATATAAGAAAACATATTTTAGTCTTATTGTGTTAAACTACTATGATATATTTGTGAACCTCTGCAAAATCGATATTTACTAATTGGGTCAATATTCGCCCGCCTCGGGGGAAGCTTGATTTACATTGACTTTGAAAGGTACCAACATTAAAGTTATATTTTGTGAAACTACAATGTCCAGAGTTAAGATATTTTGTATTTGGCAATGTATTGTTCGGCCAGGGGCTCACTCAATTTATATATACTTATATAGGAAAAATATATTGAAGTCCTTTTATGTGGAAAAGTATAGTGAAGTCCTTTATTGTGAAGCTATAATGTCAATGGCAAAGATATTTGGCATGTAGCATTGCCATGTGTTGGCCTAGATTTTCACCACCAAGCGACTTTTAAATTGTATTTTGACAAAGCTTTCAAATCTATATAATAAAAGTTAAACGAGTGTATTTGTTCGCCTATATTTTGAAGTTTTTACCCTCTTTTCGATCAAACTAAGCTTTTTAGCTTTTTATCTTTAAAAACCGTTTAACATGCCAATGGATTTTAATTTCATAAACCTAGAACCTTAGAAACTTATAACCAGTAACCTTCTTGTGAGGACATTTAGACTATATGCACAATGACATTTACAGAAGTGCACTTTAATATCACATAACCTAGATTTTAACCATGTGACCAAATTACTTTGTTTTTAATGACCTTAACCTTTAGGGTAATATTGTTGAACTTTGTTCAAATGACCTATATTTTTGTTATTTATAGATATATTTGATTCATATTTGAGCAGCCTTGACTTGTCATGTCAAATTATTGCATTTTTCTTTAGTTGACCATTTCATTTTTATTTTTAACTACCATTAAGTTAACACCTATAAGTAGATTAAACTGAACTTAAAATCTTTGAGATTTTTTTCCAAAATTTGTCATTTCTTATTTTTAAAATGGACGGAGTAGATTGATTCTTGTACAAACAAACACTGTCGATGCAATAATCATGGTTAGCAATTTTGCTTAAATTGCCATTATTGCGCTTTTGGTTTGGACAAATTGCCATTTAGGATTAAACTGTAAAGAGAAGCAATTCAAAAATCACTCTGATATCAAAATTACCTATCAATTGGGCAAATATTTGTTAAAAATGAATGAATTTAATCGGATAATGTAGAACTTAGTAACTTATGCATAAATGTTAACAATACTTAGACCCAATGTCATAGTGGACAGCTGATGTGTTTTTTATATATATTTACCTTTTTTCACATAATCCAAATAAGTAGATACAATATGGTTATGATTAAAAAAAATGGTATTTAAGGTCTTTAATTTGCAACGACGCTTGGTGTATATTTGGACAAAACATCTCAAAGGATAACACAGTTAAGCTGAAATATTCAAAATATGATTAAGACATTTGAAAGATGTATTAAAGCCGCCATCAGTGTTTTTGTATTTGATAAGGAGTAAATAAGATATATTTTGTTACGGTTTATTGAGGTTTTTGTTTTAGAAATTAGAACTATGGGACATTTATTACATTCAGTAACAGTTTTTTTTTGTTGTATTTGTAGCTTCAACACAATTAAGACCCTTTTCAGACAGTATGATATGACATTGAGTTGAGATAGCTTCAAGTTTTATAGTTACTAAATTCAATCAACAATTCGCGTTAACAATATATCATGTCATGTTTAAGTTTTAAATAAATGTATGTACTAATACAATGTTATCGTTTTTCCAGGACATAGCTAAATTTCTTACGACTGATATTTATTGCTTGACATTAAATCATTAAATTTATGAAATAAAGGTGCTACATGGAACTTTTCAATTAAATACTTTAAATGTAAACTAGTATAAAGTGGACAAATAAGGAGGAAATGGTACTTCGTTTCTACTATGTATTGACAATATATACAAGTTCTCTCTGACTTCTTGTTATAATTTCAGATGCCGCCCCTTTTCAATCATAAGTTCATGTGAAGATGATCTAAAAGCAACTAAGACCTTTCTGAATTTAAATTTATCAATGTAATCTGAATATGGTTCAAAGCCAATTTTTTTAATGTATGGTAAAAATAAAGTTTACTTCAATCCTGGCATGTCCTCGACCAGTTTGGACGATCCGTTTAGCGTAGAGAATAAACAAACAAAAATAGTATTATTACCAAGACCGTGGGCATCCCAAACGTAATCAAACCCAAGTTGGTATAAATGTTATCTAATCTTTGTAGCCAAGTTTTTGTAACCATTATAATCAAATAATACAAGCATCTGTTAAGCTTTTGACAAAACGATAATTTGGCATGAGTAATATTCGAAACCAATTTTTACAGACTTTTTTGGCAGTAACACAGTGCATGCTATGGCGCTCACATTCACAAAGGACTGCTGCAATACATACCTTTATTGAAGCAATCATATAACTTTTACACGCATATAAATTACTCGCTGAACTGAATCCTGTTTTTCAAGTCCTCAAATTCCAGCCCCATACAATAATATTGGAGCTATTTTACTATCAAATGATTTAAAAACATAGATACAGAACAAGGAAATAGATGATATAAGGATTTCAATAGAGATATCAGTACTCGCTTTGCTTCAACAGATGTTCTCTCAGCCATTTTATGCAACGACAACATACATAAAATGTATTATCCAATTTAAGTAAAACCACCTACAACCCCAAGGAGGAAATCATAGTAAAACCATCTTTCAGCTCTTGCAATAGCTCAACCATTTTAAACACAATTATCTGAGATTTATTAATATTGACATTTAGTCCCCAAATATTAAAAAATTCATGTAGAAAATAAACTTTAATTTGCAGACCATGAACTGTATCTGCAATAAAAGCTTTATCATCAGCGAACATTAATAATATAACTTCAACTTTATCTGGAGTTTTCTAACTGGTTGATCAAAATTGAAATAAGACAGGGCTTAAATTACGCCCCTGACGTTAACCTATTAGGCGCCCGAAATTTAAACTCATATTGTTATCATTTCGGACCTATGCATTTACTGTATGCTTTTTGCTTTGTATTTACTTCGGATTTACAAACAAGTGATCTCTTAACCGACTAAAAAGCTTTACGGAAGTCTACAAAGGTCACATACAATTTTATTCTTTTTTATAGAGAGATATTTATTTATTAATTCAAACGTAACACAAACATTATCAATTGTGGAATAACCAGAGCGAAAACATGTCTGTGATTCAGAAATCCTATCAAATGCATTAACATAAAATGTAAGACGTATATTCAGTATGTGAATATATAGTTTACTGAAAACATACAATAATGCTATACCCCTATCGTTATCAGGTGTGTTAATTTGACCTTTTTCATATGTAAGAACAATTTCAATTTGCGCCTATTTTTACGGTTGACCTTACTTATTTTATACATCTTTCATTTTGTATCGAGATTAACACCTATATTATTTGTACTCATAGTTTTAGATGAAGTTTCAGTTGACCTGGACCTTGACCTTACGTCATTCATAGATATCAAAGATAGTTTCCGCTTGCCACGAATATCTTTGTATTTTAGGAATATTTGTGAATCTTTTTACAAAATCATAAAAGGCAAACATGGTGAACGATTCCATTGAAGAAGGCAGGATACTCTGAGATCGAGTTTTGATAATATATATATATCATTTTTTCCAAATTTCATCCTTTTCTTTGTGTATTTCAAGTTTGCCTAAGATACCGATTTCTGACCAGATAGAAATATCTTATTACAATGTATTTTATGGGGCCAGGAATCCCTAACGTGGGGTTATTTTGAAATGCCTCAAAACATGTCAACGTAACATAATATAAAATATACGACATATTTCAGATGGATATGTGCTTAAAAAGACTTAATCAGTTACATCTCTTTTCTCGATAGTTTTCAGTGTTTCAGATGCAAAATGAAAATTCCGAATCCGGCCAATTCTTTAAAAGAACTGACTTTTTACACATACCTTTGAAGGCAATACAATAAGCTACTTAGAAATTGAAATAACTTTGATCCTCATTTCAACAGCATTATTCTTTTCTAATGAAAATAAAGCGTGGTGAATGTTATTATTTTGCATCGAAAAGTGACGTAAATTGAAGTGCGCTCTTGGACGGACATACATGTATATTGTTGCGTTTATACCTTATGAATCTGTGTCAATATAAGCATCTTTCCCCAGATTCGTATCTTGAATCTGTATTTCTTTACGTATACATGACAATTAATAAGATTAAGGAATTAATAGATTTGATTCAAAACGTATATACGTGTAGTTCTCGTTCAAAACATATTGTAAGTAAGATATTAACATCTTCAAGAGCCAAACTTATTATTCTTTGAAACGAAAGGCTCAATATATGACTAAATGTTTGCAAAAACAACCTAAAATTTTGATATATAAATCTCAAGTATAATAAAATTGAATGAACAAAACATCTTCAGGATCAAAAGGTATGTTATTTTACAAATCCTAAATATGTTATTTTATATAGTAGTAGATACTTGTTTACACATTGTGAATTCTGATTTTTTTTTATTTTTAGTCATTGCGGTTTGCAAAATCCATCATGGGCAGAATTATTCTACTTTGTCAACTTCCTAAACAACCAGTTAATGAGTTTTGAATCAAATATTTTCGTCAGTGATGCGTTGGCAGGAGATTTACCAGGGTTTGGGCAGTTTGTCCTAAGATTTCTAATCCATATGTCAAGGGTAAGAAATTTTCTATTCATTTTCATCTTACCTCCGCCCGCTAGGGATTTTTTATGACGGTGCTACGTTGTTATCGTCAATTTTTACAGTTAAGTGCCTTTCTCCTTGTGTAACATTGCCCTTCGATATTTAGCATGTTACGTGCCTAATAAAACGTTATTAAATTGTTAATCATGCCCCTAGAATTTTGAATATATTTCCTTCTGTATGAATAATATAGTTTTCATATACGTATATACAGAAATTCATTTGTAAAACTGAAATGCCTAGAACTTAGATATTTTTCATGATACATTTTATGGCTTGTAGCTTTTAGCCTACCTGAATATGTTCGAAACACGTACTTCTGCATTGGAGAACAAAAAATGTTCCAAAAGAAAATCATTATTTCAATAAAGCATTTTTTTTAAATTTCCTGCAAGAACATATCTCCTTAAATCAGGTCGTAAGTTTTGACTTTACTTCTCAGGAATAATCCATAAGTTGCCGTCTATCGTCTACGACATTAATATAAAAAGCTCCTATGGGATGCAAGGTAGGTCACAGGAGCAAAAGCTGTCCGAGAAACAGCGTGCTCCACCTTACTCAGAATTATATAGTTTAATGAAAGAATTGTAGAAAAGCAGCACAATTCTACAAATCAAGTTGTTCGTCTTTATCATTAAACAAGAAATAAGAATTTTAAATTCAATACCAGTGAAGTGCGTTAAGAAAACAAGGAAAGTATATAAAAATATCAAAAAGAAAAAAGTTACACAAATTAACTTTCATGGTTATCATTGTTCCAAGTTTAAAATGAATATCTTTAATAGTTTTTTTGAGGAATGAACCTTCACAAAAGGGTTTATCGGAGCAAACCATCTTCCGTCACAAAAGGTTATATCTATGCAAATTATAAGTTCAGGATAACCTATCCCTAAGATATGGCTAATATTTTGATAATGAACCAGTATGTCAGAGGTAAAATACTTTATAGTTTCTAATAAAAAAAAGAACTTTATCATTTTTCTTGAACAGTGGCCTTGACCTTTAATATTTGACCTGAAAATTGATGTGGCAGTAAAAAAACTCACTAAGATGGATCATAAATAATCAATCTAATTGTATGTACTACTTCCACTGTAGAACTTATTGTTGTAGATTTATTTAGATAACACTTACAATGGGTGAACTTTTACATGTCGTTTGTTGATGAAATGAATATGGAATGGAAAATTCAAAGAATAATAAAGAGTTCGTTTTTATTACTAAGTATTTATTGTAAGTATAAGGCAAGATAAGTAATCACATATAAAGTAAGTATACACTCGAGCGTACATTTAGAAATTGCAAAAATAACCAACATATGATAAAAAACGTAAGTAATTATCATTAATATATCAAAATCAAAGTTTTAACCATATAATTATAAATAATTTATTGCGGTGTAGACTGCCTTTATACCAGAAGATGCGCTTAAAATGGCTTATTGACTGCATCATATTTAGTAAATGTTTGCCAGTTATCTGTATGATGATAGTGATCTGATTCATTTGTATGGGGTTTTGATATTTTTTTAGCTTGACGGTATTTAGTGCTTTCTGTAAATAAAACGAAATTAAGTTTATTTTGTCTTTATTTTGCTGAGATTGTGTCTAGATGTTTAGCATGAATCACATAATTCGAATTGGCTTTCCAAGAAGATAAATTCAGCTACTAATTGTGCATATCTAAAAACGGGAAATTAGTTGTTACTTTTTTGTCATAAATGTTTTATATACTTTATTGTTATTGTCATAAGCGTATTTTACTCCATTGAAATACGGTTTGTAGCGCATATGTTTTACACTGTCAAAAGAACATATTGACTATTATATCATGATCTGTGCTACTGGTGGTAAATAATATTTCATGATGGAATATCTCCAAGTTGAAAACCTTTTATTTAAAAATGAATTCTTTGAAAGTGTTGGCGTCGCTGGATGTTTTATTAAACAAGAACTTTTTTGATAATGGATAATATTAAACATCCGAAATGAATGCATTTATAGATATATTAATTTAATTTTTTCTAATTTAAATACTTTTTGATATGCATAAAATTCTGTATAGGCTAATGGTTGAGTCCTCATTTGCGTATGTCGTAATAATCAGATAAGGGTTTGTCAGCCCTTGAGTTCATATTTCCAGGAGACATACGCTGTAATTTACTCAATGCTCTTTAAAGAACTGGTGCCAACTTTGGCATTTTCTTCAATGGGCTTAGATATTACAATCGATTTTGTCATCTTATTTGGAATAATTTAGAAGTTTGAAATTTTAAAAAATATTTTGAAATAAGTTCATTTCATTTCTAGATAAGTACCAATGTTTTCTTATTTTCTCTTTGTATTTGTGGTTGTTTATACAGTGATAAATTACTTTTCGTAGTTTCGTGTTTCAAAATTGCAGTTTCAACATTTAAGTACCTCTACATTTTTTCTGACATGCAATGAAATGAATGTAAGTCTAACATCTTATTTCAAAATATGATAAAAAATGTAGTGTCATCAACTTTGTTGATTACGATAAATATGATACAAATTGACTATGTCAGTTGTTAGATATTATACAGGATCAATACTTATTATAATACAGTAGCTACACAACACGCGACTCTGTATTACAGCAATACTTGGTATATGATCATCCGTCAGTGTGTTCGTGCATCAATTCGTCCGTCGTAAACTTATTCAAAACGACTTCTATTCTAAAACCACTTGATCTTGGGGTGTTCCTAGCACGAAACTATACACAATGACTCAAATGATTTTGCGCTTTCTTGGTCAGAAGAGCTGAATATAGTTTTTGAAAAGAAAATAAGTTTTTTCAAGATATTCTTCGATGAATGTGCACGGCCTAGGGCCTAGAAATTTTGTGTGTAGCATCATTAAATGAAGCTGAAAATTTCAAATTATTGCCCTAGATATCAAATGTGCCTGCACTAGGTGTTAGCGGCTTTCCTTATATAGTAAATAATTCAAACATCTTGTTCTTGAAAGCTGCAACCAGTGGCTCCCATAACAAACATTGACTTTCTAGGCAACCTGTGGTTTCTACAACTAATGGCTATCCTTAGCAACTATTGGAATCAGATGCTGCCATTGACTTTTCTTGGCAACCAGTGACTTCCATAGCAACCATTCAGTTCCCATAGCATCAGTGGTATTTCATTACAACTATTGACTTTCAAACAAATACCATTGATTTTCCATTGCAATAAATAACTTTCCATAGCAACCAGTAATATACATAGCTATGTGACCTTTAACATAGCAACAAGTGACTTCAATAGCCAACATTGACTTTTGATAGCAATAAATAAATAACAATTGACTTAGCAGCCACTGAGTTTCATAAAAACCATTAATATGGTAAAGTAAATGTGACTTTAACTCTAAAAACATGCAACGTTTATACCAACGGACTTTTTTCAGATGCAAATATGAATTTTGTGATATAATGAAAGCAAAAAAAAACCAAGTTCACATTTTCAATAAATAGAAAATATGAAAATATGAAAACCAAAAGGAATGCCCAAAAATGAAGTTGTTGAAACTCGGTTTGATGAACGACAGTGGAAAACGCAAGTAACCATTCAACTAACACTGTTTTATGCAAAGAAGAGTCCCAATTTATATAGGAAAACATATTGAAATATTCTTAACTAAACTGTTGAGTCCAAAATCTAAGATATTTTGTTAATAATATTTTCCAATAGAAAACAAAGGTACTATTTAACGTTACATTTTAGTACAAAATTAAAATGAAATCGCCATATAGAAGGGTATTTTTACTTTCTTTTCGATTAAAAAATCAACAGATGAGGCCAAATTTACTTTCAGGATTTTTCTACCCACTCCCTTGAAATAAGTGAAAGAACGCCAGAGACGTTTGACCATGAGAAAGAAGCATCAGGTTCCGATGATTTAGACGAATTTGATGAACTGAGACAGTTTCAAATGAGACGTACTTGGGAAAGCAGGTTAACTTTACATAACATGTATTTTAAATTTGAATAAGTTATGTACTTTAATTGCCCTGTTTATATGGTTTTATTTTGTTTTCTAAAATATACCAATATACTCGCATTAACAGCTTTAGCAAAATGATGTTTAGCATATATGAAAAAACTCTTTTGCACATCAAACACAATTCAGGAAAGGTTGAAAGAATAACAGCACTTCAACATATTGAAAGTTAACAGTTGATGACAGTTTATGGATGCCCTTCAAGGCATTAAAAATGAATATATTGCGCCTTAGAAGACAATGAAACTTTATTCTTAATGGGTAAAAGATAATGATATATAGTTATGAGTGAGTTGCTTTAGGGCTTTGCACTGACAATCAATGACTTTTCTTAATTAAGCTTAATCTTTTTTTCGGGCCGATTATCACCTTCCAGTTTTTCTCTGTCGTGTATCAAAAGCTTAATATTATATAGTTATTGAATCATATGTAATACAGGTAAATATGCACCACAGGTTTGCTGTATGTTTGGTACCCCATATGTTTTCCATATGTATAAATATGTGTTTCATGTGTTTTGAAAAACATGTGTCTAAGAACATGTGTTTTTCATATGTAATATTAACATATGTAAACAGGACCATATGAAAAACATGTGTCAACAAACATATGTTAAACTCATGGTTATCACATGTTTTTCATATGAATAAGTTTTCATTTGTTAAATATTGTGAACTTCCATGTGTTTTTCATTTGAAAAAATATGATTATAATTTCTGCAAGATTTACACTTTGAACAGTCTTAATTAGATTCTTAAAAGATTCTTGGTTTATGCATCTATGTACAACTTGTAAATGTAGTAAATCTATCTTCACTGCCAATACTTCTTATCATGTTGAAAAACAAATATAATAAAATACCTTTATGAAAAAGATGAAAATAAATGAATGATACTAAATATCTTTTTGGAGGAAGAGCTGATTATATTTTAAATTAACGGAAGAACTGTCAGGGGAAGAAACAGTTTATGGGGTTTATGGGTGAATAGTCAGGGTGATGAACTGGTTAGGGGAGAATAGTCGGCCATTCATTTTTATTCATGATTTTTTTCTCCCTTTGTATGTGTAAGTCTTTATTGATTGACATTTTAACAATCAAGAACCCAAAAGGAAGTGACCCCCGTAGGGAGTGACCTTGTTAAAATGTTCACTCAATAAAATCTAACTTATACTTAGTGTTTAAAGATCATGTATGTTGAAACATTTAAGTGAAATTATATATATTTGTATATAATTATGCTTATAAAATAATTTTTAAATATCGAAGAATATGTAAAATATGTACTGCAAATATGTATACATATTATATGTAATCATTAAAATATATGCATTCATTTCGTATTGAAAAATTTGACTTAGACTTTTAAGGAAATAAACTTTTTATTACCTTTTTATTATTAACATGAAATGTTAAACTCTGTAATATCTTAAGTTTGTAAATACTGCTTTTTAGAACTTACAAAATTGATAAATCTTAATTTTAGCTTAACACTGAACACTTCTTAAATTCTTATGAATTTTCATGTTCAAGCAAACCAAACCCAGGAACACAATTAAGCATTTGAAATAAAAAACATAAGTCTATACCATTAATGTAACATACAGTGTCCTTTTCTTGGAGACACACTGTTTCCTACCATATGAAAAACATATGTTATTCATGTGTACCCATTTAAAAGACATATGAAAAACGTGTGTCTGCACCATATGTGAAACATACTGGGTACTTTTCTTGGAGAAACCATATTTCTCTACCATATGTTAAACATGTTTGTCACATACGTTTAACATGTGGTGTATATTTACCTGTGTAATTGTAAATTATAATGAATGTGAAAAATGTCATGATCACATGTCTAGTTCTACATGAAACTGTATGTACTTACTTGAAGTTTGTTTTGTATTCTTAATAAAAAAGATGTTTGAATGCGCAGTATCTATAAATTTTGCATATTAGGTTTAAAAAATGTATTTAATTAAAACAAATGTTTTCCAACTTATTAATATCATTAAACTGAAACAGCTAGACCGTAGCAATATTCATACAAATATATAATATGAACCTAGAAGTAGCTTTCTTAGACTTTTGCAAATAAAAAAGAAAACGGAATAAAATCATAAGTAAACATGATTACACAAGTAGAAGCAATTCAGTCAATTTTACTGGAGTTATCCAGAAGTGTTTGTGATGTTAGCAACTACAGATAAAAGTAATGATTTGACCCAAGTCTGCTAATATACTAGTTTTTCTGATTGAAAATTGTCTTTTTCAAAAAGCGACTAAGAGAATTATCATCAGGTATTCACAATCTTTAATGTAAGTGATTGTGTACAAATGTTCCAAAGGTGTTCCTTTGTTCCGCATATACATTCGCATATACATTTGTTCGTGTAGATGAAATATATCTACTCATTGTGGAGCATGTGCAGAAATACTTTTTGTAAAATATAGACACGTCAAATTATTACTTTTATCTGTAGTTGCTAACATTACAATCACTTCTGGATAACTCCAGTAAACTCCATTTGTATTGCAAATCTTTGTTAGTTGAAAAATATGATCCAAACTCATGCTTACTTGATTAAACTATTTTGCAACAACAAATTTGAACACTTTAAATCAGCATATTTCCTTGAAATTTTAAATTTACTTTTACAAGGAATTATACAAAACTTTTGAGAGATTATTCATTATTTATTAGCTTTCATTATTTATGAAAAATACAATTTCAGTAAAATATGGGCTAAGGTCCGCCTTCGAGGTAGCTTGTCAAGGAAAACATAAAGAACGATGTACTGTAATGTTGAAATAACACACTCCTATTTTAAACTTATACCTGTCTGATATATGTACACATGTTTAATTACAGTCCTCATCCATATCTTTTCTTCAATGAGGACAAAACCACATTTACATTTTTGGGATTCCACATCGATAAAAACACGAGAAATGTTATAGATCAACAAACAAAAACAGTTCTTGAGAAAAACATAATGACAGCACATTTGTACACAGCACTGGATATGAACGGAGTTCCTTTAAATGAAGACTTTGATAATTGTACAAGGTGAAAATATGTTTTATTTAAAAGTATAATATCAGAGCAGTAACTTTATTATTATATTTAAGTATTATATGTGTTTGTTTAATCAAGTCCAATGACACCTGTTTTAAGTATCAATGGAATTATAAGTCGATATTATAGTTTCATGTTCTTCAATGGTCATTGGTGAGTCAATCTTTATAATAATGCGTTCCGATTCTAGTATTGTTAATAATCAAGCGCCTATTTTCTAATTATGGTTCGAGGACCAAAAGGAAAAAGAGAAATGACATGTATGCCAATAATATGTTTCCGTTATTGTGTTCTTATACAACCGGGTTATTAATGTTCTGTATAAAACTTTGATTCGGTATTATGAACCTGTGTTTTAATAACTGCACACAATATTTATGTTTAATAGACAAGAAAAGATACAAAGGTTGCGCAATGTGATGGGGATTAATGAGACACATGATCCAGATGATACATACGAGCTTACAACAGATAACGTGAAGAAAATGATGGCTATACACATGCGGTTCCGGTAAGTGTTTATATCATGATTGCGTTTTTTTGCGGTTATACTGAGATTCTGATGCAACCAATAAACTTGTACGAAAATGACATATTACCATTAATTTATGCGCAGTAAATAAAGCTCTCAAATATAAATGAAACAACACAAAAGTGAATCCTTATTATGTTAGCTTATAAGTTTGTATTGCTACGCTCAATATTGCCAAACGTGCGTCCTGTTTTTTATGCTCCCCGAAAAATTTCGGGGGAGCAGATAGTCGTCGGGTTGTCCGTCAGTCCGTCCGTACGTACGTACGTCCCAAATTCGTGTCCGGCCAATTACTTTGTTATTTGAAGTCGGATTTTAAAATTATTTCACAGAAATGATCGCCATATTTAGACAACGTGTCGCGCGCAACATTTTGATCGCTATCTTGAAGGTCAAGGTCACAGCATGACCTTGCAGCAAAATCGTGTCCGGCCCATAATTTCGTTATTTGAAGTCGGATTTTAAAACTATTTTACAGAAATGATCACCAAATTGAGGCGACGCGTCGCGCGCAACATTTACGTCGCAACCATGAAGGCCAAGGTCACAGCATGACCTTGCAGCAAAATCGTGTCTGGCCCATAACTTTGTTATTTGAAGTCGGATTTTAAAACTATTTTACAGAAATGATCACCAAATTGAGGCGACGTGTCGCGCGCAACATTTGGGTCACAACCATGAAGGCCAACGTCACAGCATGACCTTGCAGCAAAATCGTGTCTGGCCCATAAATTCGTTATTTGAAGTCGGATTTTAAAACTATTTCATAGAAATGATCACTATATTGAGACGACGTGTCTCGAGCAACATTTAGGTTGCTACCTTGAAGGTCGAGGTCACAGCATGACCTTGGAGCAAAATCGTGTCCGATACATAACTTCATTATTTGAAGTCGGATTTTTAAACTATTTCACAGAAATGATCACCATATTGAAACGACGTGTCGGGCGCAACATTTGGGTCGCTACCTTGAAGGTCGAGGTCACAGCATGACCTTGGAGCAAAATCGTGTCCGGTACATAACTTCATTATTTGAAGTCGGATTTTACAACTATTTCACAGAAACGATCACCATATTGAGACAATGTGCTGTGCACAACATTTGGGTTGTTTTTACACTTTGAACTTTGTCTGTGACATAACTAAGACACTACAAGAGATATACCTTTCTGTGTCCAAAACCTATTCGGGGAGCATTTTGTGACCCAAATGTTCATGTTGAATCAATAACATAGCATTCTTATGTGATGTAAATACAATCTGTCTAATATATGTGCTTCTTTGGACTGGCCTTCTTTTTATCATAACTTTTAGATATTTTCTGTCAAATTATTGTAACACATGTCTCGGTCTTCTTGAAAAGAGGTTAAAGATTTTGTAGGAAAAAATAACTCACACAAAAAGTTTTCATCAATTAATGGAAAACGTAGACTGTTCTGATTAACCTTAATTCAGTAACCAAACAGGGTTCATCCATTTTATTATTTCATTACGAATATTTTTGAAGATTGAAAACACGTTGTGTATCTTGGCAGGGATTATTTACAATAAATTAAATTATTCATATGTGTGAAAGTGGCTGGTATAAGGTGTATTTCTTATCTCCTTATTTACCAGAAAACAAGTACAACAAAAACAATTTGATTTAAAATGTATTGCAAGAGTGAAATGTTCTTATCTATCTCTTTCTCAATTACATCGAACCACTCGCGGGGAAGTAGACTAGCATTTATTTATTTTTTCAGAATTCACATTAGACCTTATTCGACCGTTATTTTATATGAACTAGCCATTGACTTAGTAATAATTGAAATCCTGGTCATTCTGTCTTTTTTACAAACTTCAAATTAAGTTTATGTTAGCCACCCGCCTCATATGACAAGATTTATAACTCTATCACCTTTTTAAAAATCATTTGTCCTTTGGACTCTTATTTTGCTTAATATTTCTTATTTTGCCTCATCTTTGTTGTTAAAGGTAATTATTGTCTTACAATAACTTGCAGTTTATGTAACTGTAACATCTATGATCAAGATTTATTTAAGAATTAAGCATCAATTTGATAGTGTAACACTTTATTTTAGCTTTCTAAATGGATCTACTTTCACCTTAATTGTGTGTTAGTTTCATCAGTACCATTTTATGTGATAAGATTAATAACTTCAGCATCGAGTTTATCTACTTTAAATCAACCAATAAGTTGTCTTCAATTTTTATACTCTATCCTCAGTTGTAGTAAATTTGTTTACTTAAAACTTCAAATCGTGATCACATACATTATATATGTACATATATTATATAAGATTTTCACTTAAGAATGAATCTATATCGGAAGAACACTTTCCCCTTGGACATAGCATCTGGCACGTTTACATCTTTGTCTTTGTAACTTAGAATAATATTTAAGACTTCAAAAACACTGAAAGTCACATCAAATTAACAGTTTTTAAAATCGATTTCCATAGTAAAGATTTGAAAATCCTTTACCACATTTCACCCGAAGTGTTTCGGCTACTTTCTGTATATGATTTCAATAAGGTATTCGTCCACGACGGTTGCACACGCTAACTATATGATATCAGCTATCAGCACAAGGAAACTTGTTTGTTTTTTTAGTTTTGTGTCACCTTGCATAATTCAACTAAGGATGTTGAATTCATGGTCATTGGTCAATATAGCACTGTTTAGGCGGGAGTATTTGTTTTCCTCATTTCCTTATATGTATATTGTAAATCTTTCAAAAATATCCTGAGACAGTAAAATAGCTAGAGCTTAAATTTTTGGCATCATCTTGTTGACCTTAACCATCGTTACTTAATTCATGGCCCTGAGTTCAAAATAGCCCTACCCTTGGAAATATTATATGTTTTATATGTTTACAATAAAACTTTTAAATCCCAAAAGCTAAAGTTAAGATAATTGGAATTAATCTTTGTCTAGTTGTCCTCTACCAAGAGTTTTCAAATTATTGTACCAGGACCGAAAGTTACCTCATCCAAGGAGGTTATTGAATTTGCTTTTATTCACATAGTAAACAATTAAAATGTTCTTCTTTTAAAGTGGATTGCTCAATAAATGGAAAGAATCGAAGTAAAGAATATATATATATATTATATATATATATATATATATATATATATATATATATATATATATATATATATATATATATATATATATATATATACCTATATATAACAAATCATAAGTTGTTAGAACAAAATATTATTTCATTCTATAATTGTTCACATTGTTTATTATTCAGAACTTCATTTACATTCTTAGTTCGGCTTATTGAAAATTAAGTAAGACTATTGTACTCATTCCGGCTTTGGTGTCACGGTTTGATAAACTAATTAGATGCAAGTTGGTATCTCCAACACTACAAATAGGAGTCCGTTGAAACTTCACACATTTTTATAAGACCATTATATTTGAACACTTTCCAAAGTCCAAACATGTAATTTTACGGATTAATTGCCCTTTCTTGAACTTTGAAAATTCTACATTTATTCAGATCTACCTACCTACCTACCTACCTACCTCTATACCTAACTACCTACCTACCACCCACCCAATCCATCCATCCATCCATCCATCTATCTATCTATACTGCAACACCCTCTTTCGAGTATTATGTGCAAGTGCGTGTCTGTCCGAGAGTTTAAAAGAAATGTAAAGGAAAATATGAGTAATACTGTACATGTATTTTTGAGTGCTGAAAAAAAAGTATCTAAAATATCTTAATGTAACATGATTTCTATTCGCATGGTTAGAATCTAATCAGGTCCGATCTTTTCTTTTATTTCCACATTTACTATTTTATGCTCCCTTAAAGTAGAACATATAGTTGTAGCATTGTCCGTATTTCTGTCCTGGCTGACATGAAATGGTTAATGAGCGCCATTCTATCTCTTATCTCTGATTTAAAAAAATTAAAATTACATGGACAGTTGTTGTAAGGGTTAATCGGGGAAGTGCTCTTAGTTTCCGCTTGTTTAATTATCTCCCTTTACAAAAGTTACTAACGCTTGTCCATATAAAAGCTTACAAAATATTTAAAACAATTTATATACACAAAAACCAGTGTTATGGAGCAAGTAAAGGAAGTTAAAAATGTAATGTTATCTTGCATAGTTGTTTACTCATCTTCCTTTTTATTAATTGAACCTTTCTACAAAATCTTTGTTAAAATGATAAATATCTCGATAAAGTGTTATCACGTTAACAATTACAGACGTTTTTATGTGTTAATAAAGAGTGCAATTTGCATATTATCTTAGCTGTACTTTATGCAGTTTCGCACCAGAAATATTAATCTTAATGTATCTATGTAATGCCTACCAATCAGGTAGGAACAATTTTGACTCTATGAGCTTCATCTAGAAAACCACAGAGTAAGGCTACGATCAATATCCCTTAAAAGCGTGTCGTGGGTTCTGAAGGGACGATTTATATAAAAAAATTCTAATCAAGTTTTTTGACGCTCCTGTGAAAGTTTCATTTTGCATACTTGTCTAAAGATAAAGATCACAAATTGAATTTTGCTTGTGAAATCCCTTTTTTATACTCTCATAAACGAATTTCGTTGTTATGTTTTGTATAGTTGTTTTTGTTTTGTTGTTTTTATGCCACCGCATAATATCATCCATAGGACCTCTACCAATGTTGTTCAAATTTTGCCCTTGGTGTCAAAATTGGCTCTGCCCAGAGGCATTGATTTTCAGAATGTACACATAGTAAACTAAAACAAATGTTTTCTGAATTGGAGAAAGCTATAGCTTAGATATTTGACATGAAATGTTGTTTGGTGGACCTGTATCAAGATTGTTTGAATTTAACCCTTGGGTCAAAATTTCGCCTCGCCCAAGGGAACAGTGACTTGCTTTTATGTTCTTTGATGTAAAGCCATGATAGTTGGACCATGTGCACAGATTTAGATGTAAAGTAAACTTTGATATCAGCTGGCCTAGATTTTGACAAAGTGTCTTACTGTGTTGTCCTTTGATTTACAGTCATAGAAGTTTGGCCATGTGAAATATGACCTTCGCCACCTAAGGTTAAGGTTAGGGTTCAACTGCATTGATAGATTCCTACTCTGATCTTTTATTTGAATAACAATAGATTTAACCACTAATCTAATAATAAGAATTAGAAAGGTAAGTGATCTATGCATTATGGCAAACTTCAATTGTATAGAAACCAAAAATTTCTATTCCTACATTACTATCTAGTGTTGAATTAATGCGGTGGCATAGCATTTTTCACAAATGCAATCTTGTTTGTTGTTGTTTTTGTACTTTTTTTGCGTTGTCATATTGATCCTTCCCGCTTCAAACATTCCTGTCTCCCCAAAATGAAAAACACACCATAAAAATATATCCCTTAACAGATTTCTTTTTTATGATTTTGCTTACACTTTCTAACCTCCATTTTATATGATTGTGTTGCAATGCACAAAAATGAATTTCAATGTTAGATAAAATAAATTGACAGAACTTCTATTCAGACATAATTTAATCATTTTTGAAATATATTTGCATATCTTATCATCTTTTGCATATTTTATATCATCAACTATTATTTACTGATTTCTTTCTTTCGACTTCTACCTATATATTTATACCCACAAAAACGAAGTTTAGGGGGGAATATAGGAGTCACCCGGTGGTCGGTCGGTCGGTCGATCGGTCGGTCGGTCGGTCCAGACGTCCGTTGCATTTTCCTTGTCCGGAGCATAACTTGAAAACTTACGGTTGGAATTCAATATAACTACATACAATGGTCAAGCACATTGAGAGGAAGTGCAGTGCACAAGAACCATAACTCTATCTTGACTAATTACAGAGTTATTGCCCTTTGTTACTTTTCCTTGTCCGGGGCATAACTTGAAAACTACTGGTTGGAATCCAAAACAACTTCATACAATTGTCAAACACAATAAGGTGAAGTGCAGTGCACAAGAACCATAACTCTTTCTAAAGAAATTACAGAGTTATTGCCCTTTGTTGCTTTTCCATTGCTCTTTTTTCTTGTCCGTTGCATTTTCCTTGTCCGGAGCATAACTTGAAGACTAATAGTTGGAATTCAATATAACTACATACAATGGTCAAGCACATTGAGAGGAAGTGCAGTGCGTAAGAAACATAACTCTATCTTGACTGATTACAGAGTTATTGCCCTTTGTTACTTTTCCTTGTCCGTGGCATAACTTGAAAACTACTGGTTGGAATTCAAAACAACTTCATACAATTGTCAAACACAATAAGGGAAAGTGCAGTGCGCAAGACCCATAACTCTATCTAAAGTAATTACAGAGTTATTGCCCTTTGTTGCTTTTCAATTGCCTTCTTTTTTTTGTCCGGAGCATAACTTGAAGACTAATGGTTGGAATTCAATATAACTACATACAATGGTCAAGCACATTGAGAGGAAGTGCAGTGCATAAGAACCATAACTCTATCTAAAGTAAATACAGAGTTATTGCCCTTTATTACTTTTCCATTGCTTTCTTTTGTCCAGACCATAACTTGAAGACTAATTGTTGGAATTCATTATAACTTCATACAATGGTCCAACACATTGAGAGGAAGTGCAGTGCACAAGAACCATAACTCCATTTTGACTTATTACAGAGTTACTGCCCTTTGTTTCTTTTCCTTGTCCAGAGCATGACTTTAAAACTACTGGTTGGAATTCAAAACAACTTCATACAATGGTCAAGCACAATAAGGGGAAGTGCAATGTACAAGAACCATAATTCCATCTTGACTAATTACAGAGTTATTGCCCTTTGTTACATTTCCATTGCTTTCTTTTGTCCGGACCATAACTTGAAGACTTATTGTTGGAATTCATTATAACTTCATACAATGGTCAAGCACATTGAGAGGAAGTGCAGTGCACAAGAACCATAACTCCATCTTGACTAATTACAGAGTTATTGCCCTTTGTTACTTTTCCTTGTCCAGAGCATAACTTGAAAACTACTGTTTGGAATTCAGTACAACTTCATACAGTTGTCAAGGACATTCAAAGGAAGTGCAGTGCACAAGAGTCATAACTCCATGTTGACAAAATACAGAGTTACTACCCTTTGATACTTTTCCTTGTCCGGAGCATAACTTTAAACGTACTGGTTGGAATTTAAAACAACTTCATACAATGGTCAAGCACAATAAGAGGAAGTGCAGTGCACAAGAACTATAACTCTATCTTCAGTATTTATAGAGTTATTGCCCTTTGTTCTTTTTCTTTGTCTTTCTGGACTTATTACAGAGTAATTCAATTAAACTTCATCAATGGCTAACCACATTGAAAGGAAATGCAACATACATGAACCACAATTATCTTTAATTGCCCACAACCATAACTCTATGTTTCAATTCTTTTACAAGGTATTCTGTTACTAGTAACATCCTCATTTCCGAAGCAGACTTGTGGGGGTATTAATCACATTTAGTGATAGTTCTAGTTTAAATCTAATTTATTTCGTAGACAATATTAATTTAGATTTGACTGGCAATATATTGTCATTGTTGTTTAATCATAGTACACTTGAAACGGATACATATGGAAATCTATAAATTTCGCCTTTTTATCTACTTTTAAATATTAACGATATGACCTTCAAATTGAGAATATGGGTACGGTCTTGTATATGGTAGTGACCTTTAACCTTCAAACAAAGTTAACCGTTTATTTATTACTTTTTTCCGTTTTTCAGATGTGATATTCCTGTTATAGTAATGGGAGAGACCGGCTGTGGTAAGACAAGACTGGTAAAGTTTTTGTGTGGTTTACAGATTCCACCTGGAAGCACGATGCAGAATATGATAATCATGAAAGTTAGTATTAACTTGTAAACTATTTTTTTTCTTAGTAATTCTTATTTATTAATTTGATATCAAACGTAATGAGTTTGCATATTTATTGTTAAGTAGAAAGATATTGGATGATATTAAAATGTATTTGGTCTTTTGTGCAGAATTAAGTCTTGATTAAGTTGCCGCATTGTAACATGGGAAATGAAATAGGAAAGTATATACTTGGTTGCTTGGGAATTCTGTATACATACATGCGCAAAAATAATGGCAAAATTGTATCAAAATGTAGAAATGTATTGACTATTCAATGGATTTAATTGTATTAAAATTTGATAGTAATTATTGATAAGAATTAGAATTTTGTTTTTGTGTCAATTGTAGAATTTTGCCAAAAATGCCGACTTTGGTTTTTAACGTTTTATTTTGTCTCGTTACCTTACTACGGGAGCGTATTTTAGTATCTGTTGCGTTCATTGAATCGACAAATCTACAGTTTTTTAGACTGCATGAGTCTAACGTCACGCCATATTGACTTAGGTTTGAATGATGTTCCATTAAACAATTCAATTTTCTAAAGGCTAAAAATGTATTTTAAACGTATTTACAAAACCTTTGAAACAAAAGTTCTTATAAAATTTCAAGTTTCATTTAAATATAAACCATCGGGTATTCAATACATTTCTGCAAATCGTTATACCAAATATGCCGATATTTAAGTGTTAAACATTTTCCTCTTACCAAGTTCACAATCTTTTACAACTCAATATACACTGCTTCGATTGTCTTCGTCAAGGATGGAATTTTGTTTCTCAAATATGTCAGACAGATTTGCTTTAAAACGTGCTCACGGTATTAATATTGCTTTAAATAGAAAAGCATAAAGCTTTTTCAAATAAGCGGCAGTTGTTCTTATAAATAGAAATACATTTGTAGCTATATATGCGTTTGCACCAACCAATAGTTATACATAGATCATCATTTTATTGTTTATATGTCTCGTTTGATTATATGTATCGGTCTAAATATGGTTTAGATGGTGTTCACTATCTTAATGTAAATAATTCGATATTTTAATGGCTACTAGAAATATATATTTAATTTATGATGTCTTCTTGTCATGAACCAAACTTGTCTCAGATTGTACTCTGTCTAGTCCTTAAACAGTGAATGCACTAGATGTAGATATAAATTCAACTTGTTTTCTAGGGAACCATGATATAGTTTAGCAAGAAATGTATTGATATTTATTTTGTCGTTCAGGGTACTCGCATTGTTTACTGGTGACCATAGGTCGCTTTTCATGGAATGTCACAAATGTGTCACATTAATGTTTGCATGAACACATCTGCATGTTTTCAAAGTTGAAAAAACAACATTTAAAGTTAAATATTTTAATCGGTGCTAAGGGTCGAGGACACTTTCCAGTGTCGTCCATGAGTGGGCTCATGTTAGATCCCACAATAGTGTTAAATTAATGACTATTCTAAATTCTTCTGCTTGAAACAAAATAAATATCTAACAATTAAGGAGGTCCAATATTAAGCAAAAACAACTTTTTTCTCATTTAATTGGCGGATTACGATTACTAGTATTATCAAGCTAACATCCAACCCCCCCACCCCCGGTTTATTCAAATTTGCTTACAATAATTTGTTCAGTCATAGTGGAGGCGCAAAAATCAACAACAAAGAGTAAAATTAAATTATTTGTTCTTAAAAACAAATCATTTAAGGAATTCTCATTAAACTTGGTATACTTGTAGAGTCCTAAGAATATATATATTATCAAGTAAAGAATATTTTTGTCCAAATGTGAGGTCAGGTAAATTGTAAATTGCTTGTTTTGTTTATAATTTTTCATTCCTTCTATTTCTTTTTTTGTCTTGTTCGATGGTTTCAGATTTCACTTAAAAACTTTTAATTTACCTTATGGATAAGTATCTTGCTTTCAAAATACGTTTTGGATGTCATGTTTCTGATATTTAGGTATCAATATTCCTTATCTTTCAAAATACGACCTGATTTAGTTTAGCCCATTGTTTCTTGTTAAGGGCCAATTCATTTTACTTTTCACGGTAAGACATGTATTTGTCAAATGTATGGCTCCATTATAATCGTTGTATGAACACATTTCGACAACTTGCAGTAATGAGTTATTTCTGCATTGAAGAATAATAACCAAACTTCCTGATAATAGATTACACGTGATCGATAATGGGTCATCATGGCGCTCTTATTAAAAAAAGCTCAAGAGCAAAAGAGAATTATTAATTATTATATTTGTCTGCTTTTTGATTGGCCTCCGTTAGCGTAGAAGAGAGAAGTTATGAAACAGAAGACAATTGTATTTTCTGTATTTTTATATGGACATATTATAGCAATTCGTACATTTTACCATTGAACCATTCATACCTTTTTTAAAAGATTGAAATTACAAAATTTAATTCTGAATGTATGTTTTCGTAAGGGCAATTGGATAATCTATGTTTATTTGAAAATAAGGAAGGATATCATCATTAATTAAATTGAAAAATTTTGTGTTTTCGAGGGATCAAACTGGGTATGTTTAATTATAATTATTATAAAGCTCGATAGATGTGTACACAGTAGTGACAATAAAGATTAATTCAACAATTTCGATAATTCAGAGAGCTTATAGCACTATGAAATAACCTCTGATCCCCTTTCAAAAGTCCATGTTATTTAGTTCCGCCCATTGTTTTCTTGTTTAGGGCACTCTCATTTTTTACTTTTGGACCATATGTCTTGGAATGGTTATCACGTGTCACTTTGAAGGTTCCATGATAATCGCTATATGAAACACATCTGCGGATGTTGCAAAATTCCAAATCGTACCAGTGCTTGTTAAATGTTGCATTCTGCTTAAGCCGATGCTAGAGGGCGTGGATGGTAGATTGCACTTAACAGTACCGTCCATGCACAGGCTCAATCAAATCGAGCCTGCAACATTTTTCAATTTTGCCGTGTTGAGCTTTCTTTAGGGATACTTTTTTTTCTCTATTTTAGCAAATGATAAAATTTAATAATTTATGTGAAATAATGTTTCATTGCTCATACAAATTTTTCTTTCACAATTTGTCTTTAAGGTCCATGGCGGCACATCAAAGAAAGATATAAAAAGAAAAGTTGAACAAGCACAGCAAATCGCAGTTAGAAACATGCAGATGAACAAAAACATGTTTACCGTTTTGTTTTTCGACGAGGCCAACACGACAGAATCGGTTGGTTTAATCAAGGAAGTCATGTGTGACAAGAGTCTTGAGGGCAAAAAGTTGGAATTGTGTGAAAATTTGAAAATGGTCGCTGCATGTAATCCTTACAGAAAGTAAGAGTTTTTAAGATGTTTTAAAATTTGAAGGCTAGACAGGCAGAGCAAATTAGCTCATAAAATTTTGAAACTGACAGTAATTTAAAAAATGTCCTGCTACACGTATGCTACATGTATACTTTAATTTGGAAGGAGCTTTGGTCTATGGATGTCTGTGTTTGGAAGGATCTTTGGTCTATGGATGTCTGTGCTACTTCGTTTAGATTTGTTGATACATATTCATTGTATATCTGTAAGAACAAAATACTTAATATACTATTCATTTTACCAAAATATTTCGAACGGTTATCTTATTCCGAAAGGGACTAATTATATTGTTTTATTATTGATTACGTCATACAATGTATTTATATGCCATAATGTCATTAAATATACTAAGTTTTTGAAAATTATTCTGATTCTCTGATTCTAAAGCTGATGAGCAATTCATTAAATAATTGAATTTAACAAAGTACTGTCGTTTCTTAGTACATTTAATGCAAATATTGATCACATATCTTCTACCTAAAGTATGTATGCATTTAAAACCTCCAGACATCCTGATGAGTTGATAAGAAAACTTGAACAAGCTGGCCTTGGTTATCATGTTGATGCTGAACAAACAACTGATCGGCTTGGTAGAGTTCCAATGAGGCAGTTAGTTTACAGGGTCCAGCCTTTGCCACAAAGTCTTTTACCATTAGTTTGGGATTTCGGACAGCTCAGTACCGAGGTTGAAAAGCTCTATATAAAGCAGATGGTCCGAAGATATGTAAGTTTGATGTTTTGTTCATGTGCCACACATTTTAAACAAATTCATCAGTCATACTATGATAAGGGGGGCTTAAAGTTCGTTGGCGGTACGTCAATACTCCGTCGTCCACAATGTATTCTATTGACATACCATATCAGCTAAAACCAGAAGACTAGAATGTGAAACACGATAAAATTGGCAATATTATTTTATGCATTGATTTGTAACAGATTTGAACTAATAATTTTCGTCCATTAATAATCATGGTCGCAGAAGCTGGTAATATAAACTGAAAGAATAATCCTTAGGAAAGAGCAAGACCTAGAGCTTTGATTTTTTAAGCAAATTCAAATTATGAAATGTTTGTTCAAGTTATAACCTTCGCGTCAAAATTATTTAATTAAAATAAATCAAGATAACATGATTGTTAAAGTCTCATATGGGAAATCTGGCAACTAAACTATTAGCTGATAAATATTATGACCTACTTCTTATTGTTTGAAATTTGGACTTTTTGCACATTTTGATGCAGAATTGAACTTTGATATCAACTGACCTATATTTATTCAAGGGACCAATTTGGGTTTTAATGCACAACTATAAAATTTTGATAATGTACACAGTTTTTTTTGCAGAAATTAACTCTGATATAAGTTTACCTACTTTTTGGCAAGTGACATACTTTTTAGCTCACCTGTCACAAAGTGACAGGGTGAGCTTTTGTGATCGCTTTTCGTCCGGCGTCCGTCCGTCCGTCGTCCGTCCGTAAACTTTTGCTTTAAATGACATCTCCTCATAAACAACTGAGCCAATTTCATCCAAACTTCACAGGAATGTTCCATTGGTGGGCACCTTTAAAAATTGTTCAAAGAATTTAATTCCATGCAGAACTCTGGTTGCCATGGCAACCGAAAGAAAAATCTTTAAATATCTTCTTTTAAACAACCCTAAGAGCTAGAGCTTAGATATTTGGCATGAAACATCTTCTAATGAGTGTCTACCAAGTTTGTTCAAATAAAAGCCCTGGGGTCAAAATTGGCCCCGCCCCGGGGGGTCATTGATTTTCCCTATATGCATATAGTAAAAACTTAAAAATCTTTCTTTTAAAGAACTGTAAGAGCTAGAGCTTAGATATTTGGCATGAAACATCTTCTAGTGAATGTCAACCAAGTTTGTTAAAAAAAAAGCCCGGGGGTCAAAACTGGCCCCGCCCCAGGGGGTCATTGATTTTCCCTTTATGCATATAGTAAAAACTTAAAAAATCTTCTTTTAAAGAACCCAAAGAGCTAGAGCTAAGATATTTAGCATGAAACATCTTCTAATGAGTGTCTACCATGTTTGTTCAAATAAAAGCCCTGGGGTCAAAATTGGCCCTGCCCCAGGGGGTTATAGATTTTCCCTATATGCATATAGTAAAAACTTAAAAAATCTTCTTTTAAAGAACCCAAAGAGCTAGAGCTAAAATATTTGGCATGAAACATCTTCTAGTGAGTGTCTACCAAGTTTGTTCAAATAAAAGCCCTGGGGTCAAAATTGGCCCTGCCCCAGGGGGTCATAGATTTTCCATATATGCATATAGTAAAAACTTAAAAATCTTCTTTTAAAGAACCCAAAGAGCTAGAGCTAAGATATTTGGCATGATACATCTTCTAGTGAGTGTCTACCAAGTTTGTTCAAATAAAAGCCCTGGGGTCAAAATTGGCCCCGCCCCGGGGGGTCTTTGATTTTCCCTATATGCATATAGTAAAAACTTAAAAAATCTTCTTTTAAAGAACTGTAAGAGCTAGAGCTTAGATATTTGGCATGAAACATGTTCTAGTGAATGTCAACCACGTTTGTTCAAATAAAAGCCCTGGGGTCAAAATTGGCCCCGCTCCGGGGGGTCATTGATTTTCCCTATATGCATATAGTAAAAACTTAAAAATCCTTCTTTTAAAGAACTGTAAGAGCTAGAGCTTAGATATTTGGCATGAAAGATCTTCTAGTGAATGTCTACCAAGTTTGTTCAAATAAAAGCCCTGGGGTCAAAATTGGCCCCGCCCCAGGGGGTCATTGATTTTCCCTATATGCATATAGTAAAAACTTAAAAAATCTTCTTTTAAAGAACTCAAAGAGCTAGAGCTAAGATATTTAGCATGAAACATGTTCTAATGGGTGTCTACCAAGTATGTTCAAATAAAAGCCTTTGGGTCAAAACTGGCCCCGCCCTTGGGGTCATTGATTTTCCTTATATGTGTATAGCAAAAACTTAAAAATCTTCTTTGAAAAAACCCAAATAGCTAGAGTTTAGATATTAAGCATGAAACATCTTTAACTAAATATCTACAAAGTTTGTTCAAATAAAAGCCCGGGGGTCAAAACTGGCCCTGCCCCAGGGGTGTCATTGTTTTTAACTATATGTGTATAGTAAAAACTTTAAAAATCTTCTTTTAAAAAACCCAATGAGCTAGAACTTAGATGTTTAGCATGAATCATCTACTTATGGGTGTCTACCAAGTCTGTTCAAATAAAAGCCCTTGGGTAAAAATTGGCCCGGGGGGGCTATATACAGGTGAGCGACCACAGGGCCATCATGGCCCTCTTATTTATAAGAGCACCGACCGTAAAATTAGTACCGCATACTCAATTTAAGATAAAATCCTCCGAATGCATTACCTCCGCTTTAAAATAATCCAAATAGACTAAAAGTACTGTGAACTGCATAGAAACTGAGGGTCATGGGTTTAAACCCCAGATGGATCTTTTTTTTCCTTTTTCTTTAAACATTATCTATGTTTATCAGATCGCTTTTGCGAAGAAAGATAAGTGTTTTATATCAATTTTATAATTATTATAGGCATTTATTGGCTGCAAATTATTTACATGTTTTGTACCTGATATTTGTAAATGATATTTAAATCAGAACTACACAGTAAAGGTACTTAATATTTGATCTGAATATAAGATCAACCAATATACTATTGAGATAATTTTGGCAAACTTTTAAAACAGCCCCTCATTTTGGTAAACATAAGGAATATTTTAAGGAAGGTCCTCTACGTAGAAGAATATGCAAACAAGTGTTTAAAATGGGCCAAGGGGGACATTTTTGTACATATTTCAAACATCTCTTAAATTAGTATTAAATTAGCATTTTGTTTGTGTAATTTGTTAGTTGAATGTTTTTATTTTTGTTTCGTCTTTGATGTTTCTAAATTCAAATTTCACCATTTTCGTGTTTGGATGTTGCTAGATTGGGTGGACGGTAACTTGCACTTTCCATTACCATTCATGTAGAGACTCAATTAAACCGAATTGCAACATTTTTAACTAGGAATTTCGTTTTTCTCTATTATCAATAGAAAACATTTTTGATAAAGATAATTATTTCGATTTTCCTTTTTTCTGAAAGGATCATTTAATATACCAGCTTTAGATCAAAACAGCGTCCATAACTCGTAATCCTTAAGATAAATTTTGTTTACAATATCAGCAGAATTCAGCATTTAATCACAAAAATTGTGAAATTTTGAATTTAGAAGCATCTACAGATGTGTTCATACGGCAGTTATAATGGAAACTTCAATGCGACACTTTCGTTCAATTTCATGAAAAAGCGGCGTATGGTCCCCACATAAAAGAAAGCTTAAACTAAACAAACATGAATTTTGAAGGGGGATTAGAAGTTATGAAGCCTGCATATCACAGATAAGGTACAATATCCTAAGAGTGATTATACAGCATTCAAGTAGGAATACTAAAACCGCTCAAGTTTAAAAATGTCAAATAGAAGAAACTTATAATTCCACAAACATGTATTCACAATAATAATCAGACCTAAGGTAATCGTTAATCGCAATCATTGGTGTGTTTTTTATTGATTGCATGATTGCACTGTATTTATTATGTAATTTATTACCTTGCCCGAAATTGATTATATTAATTAAAATTAATCAATTTCAGCTTAAATTCGGTCAGTAGTTTTGATAACAATATGATTGACATTGATAACTTACAGATTTAACAGGATACTATTAAAATTCAAAGGATACTTTTATTTTAACTTTTTTTTCTTTTTTGTTTAACATTTATACAGAAAAAACCCTCATTTAAGACCTACATCGGGGCTGGACCAAAGTGGTCTCAATTGCGGGGTGATTTAAATTGTGAATATTCTTATCATTGCTTACATACTTTATGACCATGGTCTATTTTAGTCATTTTGTAAGAACAAACAATATGTATCTTAACCTACAAATACAATATAAAAGACACTATAAAAGTATGCAATGATGTTAATTCTGATGAAAGGAAAACATATTTCTGAAGAAATATAGCATCAAATTCTCTTTGGTCTGATATCAATATCAAATATTATATGGTGTAAATAAATCACTTTTACGATCTTTATGCTATAAGTACGCTGCGCACATTTTATATTTCATTTCTCATACATGCAATCTAAGGTTCAAATATGAAACAATTGATACTGAATATGTTAGAACCTGTATATAACCTGGACATCTTTCGTTTTTTTTTTCGATATGCTTTCGTCTCGCTTTGTTAACGTTATTATGAAAGGTGTAAACATTCTATTTTATCTATTAATCATACTAAATAATTATGTTAGCTTATAATATATTTCTTCTCACCAAATTTTAACTATATATTACTATCATCCTAAGAATATAATAAAGCCGTTTTCCATTATGTATTTGTATATGTTTGTGTTTTTATGCTGTTTCCCGCTATTATGGGACTTGTGCATTTTGTAAATAAATTGTTCTGAATAAATAAATCACAAATCAAGTAAAATATTAATTCTTCACAAAATAATTGATTAACAGCTCTAAAAATTTACCTTCTTACCTTATTCATACAATGACCCAATAATAACAGCTTTTCACACCTTGGGAAACCAAGTTTCATTAGTATAGATAGATAGATAAATCTACATTGTATATTGTTGTCCTCTATGCTATACAATTATCTTTGTGTTGTGTTCATGTCAACTTGTTAATTTGCTCATAATTTTGAAAATTTTACAAACTGAGTGTTATTGTAAATAAACTGTTTTGAAATTGATTTTAATATCAGGGGTCTCAAAATAGTTTGGTCAAATTGAGATTAATAAAAGAATTTGGACTGAGTCTGGTGGTCTTAAAAGTGAACAAACGGGGTGGTTTCAATTCTGGATCATGTTACCATTGACGTAAAGAATCTTTTAAAAATAGTCTTAATAGTAGAGTGGTCCTTGTTCCCAGATGGTTATACGTAGGGATTCTTCTGTACATTGAATGTAATCTATTATAAATCAATTACAATCTTAAAGTATTTGTAACTTAATTGATTACAGAGGCAGGTCTGAGTAACGCATCATAATCAATTACAAAGAAAATTGAAAGTAATTGTAATCAAATCAATCGGAGTAAAAAAGTCCGACCGTTAAGTGTAAGATTCCAGGTAATTTTTTAACAAGATAATGAAAATCCGCGAATTTAAGAACCCTCATTTCGATAAAACCACGAAATGTCATGACTTTGAATATAAGTACATTCTTCCATTTAACTATGGATATAAAGCAGCTAAAGTTACATAAATTACATTTGCAAAATATATAGATCCTTTAATTGATTCGGTTGAAGGGGTTAATTCCTTTAAATGTAATTTATAAAGGAAGATTTGTATTTTAATATTTAGTTATAATTGGTGACTATAAGACCTTTATATTTTATTTATTTGATATAGAGATCATTAGTGCAATAAAAAGGTTCTCTGCACAACCTTTATCATTTGAAAATGCAAGCAACTACTAATGTTAATATAAGTGAGGACAAATAGTTGTTTCTACTTATCTAATAAAGCTTTTATAGATGTAGAGCATCTTAACTTGCTGCTCTGGCACGATCACTTACATTTGGCTGGTTACAAGGCATACTTGTTGATGAACTCTTTTAACGTAGATTGTTTTTTTTACCTTTTATCATAGAGCATACATAAGCGTCTTTGTACAGTGTGGAGGCCGTAAAAAGTCGCTTCGTACAGACAATCTGAGATGTTATTTCCCGATCCTTGAAGATCTTCAACACGGCATTATTATTGTGTTGTGTACTTGTTGGTATTTCTATTTGGCTTTTTCATAGTTGGATGGGCCAGTATTTCTTACTGATGATAATGTTGAATAACACTTAGGATATCTTTCCTCCTTTATAGATTTGTCTTTTGAGAGCTTGTGACATATGTGCAGGCTTCATAACATCTGATCCTCTTTTTAAATTCAATTTTATTTTATGTGCCTTCCATTTTCGTTTAGGGCACACGCAATCTTTTATATTGGGGCCACACACCGCGTTTCATTGAAAAGCACTAACGTGTTACATTGAAGGCTCCGCCGCATGAACACATCTGTGGATGCTTCTAAATTAAAAATTTTACCATTTCATGTTAAATGTTGCAAACTTCTTTAATCGGTACTAAAGAGAGTGATCGATGGATTGCACTTATTTTTACCGTCCATGAACAGACTCGATCAAACCCAGCCAGCAACATTTTCAATTTAGCCGTTTTGGGCTTTCTTTAAGGATTCTATACCAGTCTATTTTATCTTGCCTAGTATGATAAAAAGTCATTTTATTGGTCAGTTCAATTAAATATCACTTGTATTTATTTTCTTAATTGAAAATTAATTTAATGTCCGTATGATTAAAAAAGTATTTTTCTGTAGATATCAAATAAAAAGATTCCAGATACAGATAATATAAAGGAAGTCATCAGCAACATTCTTACAGAATCACAGAATTACATGCGACAACAGAGGGTATGTGATTTAAATATTTATATTTTCATTTGTAAGATGGTTGTGTGTTTAAATGTGCATTATCAAGAAAATGTTTTAAATGTTCATTATCAAGAAAAACATTTTACTTTTAAAAATCAATATTGCATGATGCGTGTTTATCAACATAATCATCTAAATGTTCTTAAGTAATGGAAGCAATTTAAAGGCTGTTGATTTAAAACAATGCTTACTACTTTATAACTGAAGATGCATTTTATAATCAGCTAAACATCTAAAGATAAAAAAGCTTATTACCTAGCGAGGAAAGACATTCTATATAAAAACGATATCCCTGTGAAATTAAAAATAAAACTTCTACGAATTGTTTAGTTCTAAATAAATTTAATGTCTTTAATTTTGATTGTTTTTTATCTTCCATGCAGTTAAGCTTGAACGTGATCGAGTAAAACGTTTTGTCAGATATTATATTATTTTATTTTCATAAATATTTAATCTTCAATAGGATGAATGTAGCTTTGTGTCTCTTCGAGATGTTGATAGAACACTGACCGTAATGAGTTGGTTTTATGAGGATAGTTTAAAGAATGGCCTACTTTTTACATCGATAGATAAGAAAATGTGTGACAAGCTTCAAAAGGTAAAAGATTAAGAAATTTGTGTAAAAAATTAAAAAATAGACATATCCTTGATTTAAGGGTTAGTGTTAGCAAATTGATAGATCCCTACTCGGACCTTTTATTTGAATAACAATAGATGTAACCACAAACATTGGCATGTCCTCTTTTGTTAACAAATATTTTGTGGTTAAATTCTTATAATATCCACTAATCTGATAATTAGAATTAAACAGGTGAGGGATATATTCATTAAATGTTAGTGCCATGACGATATTGAATTGAAAGAATAACAAGCCAATACCAGCATTATTTACTTTATGAAGATTTGTGTAACCAGTGATGTATATTTTGACATTACGAAAGTCAAAGTTGCAGAAATCCTGAGAAGCAGTAATTATTAAGTTCAGAATTCCACTATTGAGAATGTATCTTTGAACAGTGTTAACTGAATCATGACGACGCACATATAAAATTTTGTTGTATCGTAAAAATGTATTGTACAGAGTGCATTTTCAAGTTCCATATATGCAAAATTCATATAAAAGTAAAAGTAATAGTGGCACATTTCTTGACTTTTTTAATTTTTAACTGAATGTCAATGTCTTATATGGATCAATGTTGCAATTATATAAATCTAAATAAAAACAAATTTATTGCGCCAATGTATTAATACTCCAGCTAATAGAATAAAAGTGTATTGGTTAAGATTAAAAATGCTCTTACAGACAGATGCCTCCTGACGGAATGTTACGGCAAATTATCAATTACGCTTAAATCGCAAATGAATCAAAATAACTTTAAAACTTCAAACCTATTGAATGACAATATTATATACATTGTTACGGCTTCAGATGTACGTATTAATAATATTGAACAAATTTTCTAAAATATTTGAATAAAAACTTGAAAATATTTCCCAATTAAAATCATTACATATAAGCTACCATAATTTGCTAATTATGCATTTGCGTTTTAGCTACATAAATGCATATCTAAAGCAAGCATTAAAAATTCATTTAAACGTAAGGGATTTCCCATTCTCTTTGTACAGAATGGAAACTTAAATTCTACTTGAAAAGTATTTATTATGCCCCCACTTCGAAAAAGAGGGGGTATATTGCTTTGCACTTGTCGGTCCGTCGGTCCGTCCGGTCTGTCCGGTCCGTCGGTCCGTAGACCAAATGGTTTCCGAGTGATAACTAAAGAACCCTTAGGCCTAGGAACTTCAAACTTGGTATGGTGATTGGTCATGACCAGTTGATGACCCCTATTGATTTTGGGGTCAAGGGGTCAAAGGTCAAGGTCACATTGACCTTGTAGGTAAAACCGGTTTCTGATCAATAACTAAAGAACGCTTAGGCCTAGGAATTTCAAACTTGGTATGATGATTGGTTATGACCAGCAGATGACCCCTATTGATTTTGGGGTCAATGGGTCAAGGTCACATTGACCTTTTAGGTAAAAACGGTTTCCGATCAATAACTAAAAAAGGCTTAGGCCTAGGGACTTCAAACTTGGTATGATGATTGGTCATGACCAGCAGATGACCCCTATTGATTTTGGGGTCAAGGGGTCAAAGGTCAAGGTCACATTGACCTTGTAGGTAAAAACGGTTTCCGATCAATAACTAAAGAACCCTTAAGCCTAGGAACTTCAACCTTGGTATGATGATTGGTCATGACCAGTAGATGACCCCTATTGATTTTGGGGTCAAGGGGTCAATGTCATAGTGACCTTGTACTTAATGACCGTTTCTGACCAATAATTCAACAACTCAAGTTGCCTTGGTTGATATTTTTACGTGCTTTTGGTATACACATTTGAAGGTCTTATGTAATATAACAACTTGGCTGTCATTAATGAGGCCTATGTGATTCATAAAATTTATGTGTATATTAATTGGTAAGATTTTTAATTTAAACTTTAATTGCTGCACACAACCTATGGGGTCACAATAATTATTACCTTGTGACTAGTCATGACCAGTAGATACTAGATAACCCTTATTAATTGCTTGTTCACTGGGTCAGAAGTCATGCATAATAACCTGATCTAATGACAAATTGGCTGCCGATAGGGGGCATACATGTTTTACAAACATATCTTGTTTAATACATGGTATTTGTGACATTATAACTAATAAATTCAATACACTACAACTGTAAGACTCATACAAATGTGCATTTACTTCAGAAATACACCCTTGACAGAACAACTAGGTCATTGGTTTTGGCTCTTGGCGTTTGTTATCACGCTTGCCTAAGATCAAGGAAAGAATACAGGGACAGAATAGCAAAATTCTTTATCAAGCCATGTGGACTTGAAAATGGAAGCACACAAATTGGACAGGAAATAGACAGGTCTTCATTTCTAAACTGCATAACTGCATAAATTGTGTTTTTGTGTTTATCTTAACTGGCGTCGTGCTGTTTTGTAAAATGAAATTTTATTCATATTCTTTAGTTTATCATTTTATTTAAAAAATTAGTATTCTTTTATAATAAATAATGTATAAAAAGTCTTCTGGGATATTTAGCTTGACTGTATGTTATTTAAAATCAGCATGATCTGCTAAAACATATTGTTCAGCAAATGAAGATAGAAACTAATATGTGTCAATATAACTCTTGTCTAAATATTTATTATTGAGATACCCTTTAATTGTTTTGCATAGCTGCCAAGAGGTTTACCTTGACAATGTCCGTTTGGACGATACTATCGCTTGCAATACAGCGTTGAAAGAAAATGTATTCATGATGGTGGTCTGTGTAGAACTAAGACTGCCATTGTTTCTTGTTGGCAAACCAGGAAGCTCTAAATCGTTGGCAAAAACGATCGTTTCAGACGCGATGCAAGGCAACGCAGCAAAATATGACATTTTCAAACGCCTTAAACATGTAAGTTTAGAAAAATGTTTTGTTAACTGGATTTTTCGAAGAAAAAAAATCGATTTCTTGCTAAAGTCATGTCGTCCGTTCCTGTTTCCGCCCAGAAACTTTACCAGTGATCATTATTGTTTGATTGTTGTATTGGTTTGTCTCATAATTGAACACAATGACCCTTTGAACAAGACCTTCAAGTAAACTAGACTCAACTTGATCTTGACTCATCGATGATTTTGACCTTCAAGATCAAATGTGTAAATTGTGCTTGATTTTGCTATACTTTAGAATTAGCTATAACTTTGTTACAATGGAATGGCTTGTCTTCATACTGGGACACAAAAATCCTTTGGAAACAACCTGAAAGAAGGCTTAATTGATAATGACCTTCACTCATTAGTGACTTTGACCTTGAAGGTCCAGTCATTGAACATTGCTTGATGTTTGCTTTAATTGATTACAACTTTGTTTTAACAATTAAACAATGGATGGTTTTATATTTAAGAACAACAGTCTAAAGGACAATGTCTTTTTGACATTGATCTTGAAAGTCAAGTAATTGCCATTGCTTTAATCTGTTTTAATTTAATTAGTAATAAATGGATTGTCTTCTTACTTGGGTACAACTATCCTTTGGACAGGACATAAAGGAATACTTAATTGAACATGATTCGGCATATATGATAAAATAAGTGAACTTTGCTACAATTGACAATAATATTGTTATCCATCTATGGATTTGATTTATACTTGGATAAAAGAACACAACGCTGACATGTTACTTGTTATGTATTTTTGTATATAAATTACCCTTAAAATGACAGTGACTGTCAATATCAAATATGAAATCAAACTTCGACTTCAATTATGTTGTCATAACTTTGAACAATTTATTATTTGCAGATTAAATTTATATTTGGCAAAGGAAACCGAAAGTCAGAACATCAAATTTGCCAGACAAGGTCAAATTATTAAAAATTGCTTAAATTGTGTTTACTTTGTTTTTGTCTTTTGTCAGACTTTGTAGCCCAAATCTTGTTTTGTAGGTTTTGTTTTGGATCGTTAAATCCACCAATATTCCATCAACGATGACAACATTTGTTAATGTCCGTGAATTGAAAAACAACATAGCGCTTTGAACGCCAGCCTTTTAATTCCTGTTAAACTTAAAGCAAATGGGAGATCCACCTTACACTGCAGATCGTTCACGGAGCATGGAGTTGATCTTCAGTCCCACTTCACTCTCATTTGAATTTATTAAACCAACGAATAACTGATTCTGATAAAAAAGGCATATCAACCCGATTCTGCATTTATTCAATTATGCAATTTTAGGTGTTGGTGTGTTTTAGGGAATCTGTTCGGTATTTTATATTTAAATGAACATATGCAAGTGACCTTAATTTGAAAATAGCCTTTGTAAGAGATATCATTAACTCTCGGCATGAAGTTTTTTATCTGAGCATCATTAAGTGGGTCTATCTCGTGAAAGACATACACCTTTCTTATATGAGACCATACGTCTCTTTTAATGGAATGGCACGAATATCACATTTAAAAGGTACCGTAATCATAGCCCTAGGAATACATCTGCGAATGTTTTATATAAACAAAAATTGCACAATTTTCATTTTTAGAATTTTAATTCAGCTTAAACTAACTATATTTGATTTCTTGTGTTATTAAATAGCATAATTTGATAAATGAGCATACATTTGCAAGATTAAAGAAACTCACTGATTTCCAGTAGTCTAAAACCATCATGTTTGCAATTCTTTCTTAACTCAACTGGTACATCTAGAATTTAAAAAAACTATGCAATAAATTATATACAAGTTTGCTTCTTTAAAAAGAAGCATGCGAGAGATATTTTTGCTGTTGTGGAAGATTTGTTTAAATCAAAACCATTGGGAATTTTTTTCATAAAAAACACAACGAATGGTTATAAATAACAATTTTTTAACAAATTATAATTTATTATATATATTGAATATAGTATCATAATGAAAGTTTGTTTTACACTTCATTTTGTTAAATATTTTGAAAGATAATATGCCAGAGAAATGGATTTTTTCTTGGCGCATAAGGGATATTTTTTCTACAAAGGGAACTAAATTTAAAATAAATGGTATATCAAAGTAGTATCAAAATAAAAGTTTCTTGTAAAATCCAATAAGCAAATTTTCGGTTAATGTTTTGGTCAGTATATTGAAACATTTCCTCTACATTTTCCAAAACGGGCATAAAGTATGGTTATCAAACAATTTTAAGTCTAGGATTTACATAAAAAATATGACCTCTCCAATTAATATACACGTAAGTAAACTGATCATCGATTTTTATAAGAATGTTTGGCCAATTTGTTTAACAAGCCTTGCAGCGCTTTTCATTTTTGAGTCAATTATCAAAATAAAATTGATTATTCCATGGAAACGAAGTGAGCGAGTGAGCTGACATCATGTACATGAGTTATTGGTCAAGACCTACATCCATATGTACAAAAACCTTTAAAATTATTATTGGTTACTTCATGTCTAAAAACCTCAATTCAGTCCTCTTAAACTACACTTTTTCGAGAAATGGAAAGTTAAGTGTTAATAAACATACTTTGGTAACTTTGGTATCACATGTAATGTTATTCATTTCATTACATTAATTTGAAGTTATGTATTTACAATTTCTTATCTCCTTACGTAAAAGGGTGCAGTACTTTATGGTCTTATACATGTATATCATGTGAAAATGTATCTCACCTTGTTTGAACAAAGCGTAGTGTTCGTATGGGAAGATATCACAAATTTGTTCAATACTGACTAATTATGTAGATTTTAAGACAGAAGGTTTCAACTTCTGTTTAAATGTATTAAGTCAAGAAAGATTATATTATATTTATCACTTTTAAGTGATATTATGTCCATTCAATGATGGTGAACAGTGAGTGAACGGTTAAAAATTTAAAATAAGCTTACATTTGGCCATCATAATTCCTTTCAATTCTTGACTCTAATTCTGAACGATAAATGAATAATGTGGCCCAAGAAAGTATCCATCGGATTTACCTGTAACGAATAATTTATAAAAAGATCGGGACAGTCTTTTTATAATTTAGACATGTTTATATTTTATCTTAAACATTTCCCTATATCAACTGTTGGTCTATCATCATAGCAGTCAATGTTTTGAAATATATAGTAAATCAAGCTCAATTTGACAATAAAAATGATCATTATGTCACTGTTACTTAAGACCAAACTATTTCCGTTATTTAGATGATTGCTTGTATTTAGATGATGAACTTTTAAAACATTTTGATTTCTGCCATAACCACTTAAATATTGTTCATTTATTTATAATTATATATCTTACTAGAAATACATTTAAGCGAAAAAGGGAATCAAAATGTAAATGTTTGCAATGTTTTTTCAAAAATCAGCGGATTAGCAGTACCTTGAAGTAAAAACAACATTCATTACTCTCTTGAATGCAAAAGTGTGGTGTAAGAAAAAATGATGGCTACAAATGTATTTGAAAAATAATAGTTTAAATTAATAACTTTGCAAAGGTTTTGTATTGGAATGGTTAATCTAATTAGTTTAAATTTTTTTGCAATGTAATGCACGGTCATTAAATTAAATACTTTGCAGTGTATTTGATTCTAGGCTGGATTTGAATCATTATAATGAATAATACTAAATTCATAATACTAAGAAAGAAGTTTCTATCAAGTGAGTTGTTTCAGAGGGAATCAACCAGTTTACTTGGTTTTAAGTAAATTTATTGTTTCAAATAATGCCTCTGAAATAGCTAGAACGGGAGGCTTCATTATACTAAAGACTTACTTGTTTAACAAAAATCCCTTTTAATGGGCTATGTTAAGAAAGGGATAAAGAACATAACTTTTATTTCAATATTTTAAAGGTGAATATCAATATACAGCAATCCACTTGTGTATAAATATTTAGTTTAAATTAATATGTATATAATCTACACATACCAGAAAAGGTCATCATTGTCTCCTACTTCCTCCAATATTTGCGATCTAAAGTTTTTACCAATGTAATTTTAACAGGTTCAGATGGTTTCCTTTCAATGCAGTCCGCTTTCTACACCGGAAGGTATTGTCGGAACTTTTAAACAATGTGCACAATTTCAAGAAGACAAAGATTTGAATTCGTTTGTGTCAGTTGTCGTATTGGATGAGGTGGGACTAGCAGAGGATAGTCCTCGGATGCCATTGAAGGTTAGTTTTAATGACATGTACACAAAATAGAAAGGACCAATATTTAAAAAAATCGTAGTTAGCTGTCCTCTGCAGATTGCTTAGTCGAATACCTTTTCAGAAAATAATTGCTAATTTTTCGTGTGATAGTTGTTTATGAACATGTAAAAAGCAAAAGCTCAAAATCGAAATATCCAGTATTAATCTGTATTTTCCAAGATAGAACCTTAAATGTAGATCAAATATTAGGTTTATATATCTGAACGATTGTATATGGATAAGCAAGAACCACATTTACTATTTTTTAAGGTCGACTTTTTCAAAGAAAACTACTTTGCAATATGTAAAATTTATGCGGAGAACTCGCTTTGGATTGCTCTTTGACACCCTAAGTCAATGCCACTATTACAAAAACATATAAAATTGTTTTCGGTCGATAACTAGAGTTAGGAATAACTATTATAATGAAACTTGCTATATAGCAAGCTGTTGTAGAGACCTCACTAGAGATTGCTATATGGGCCCCCCTTAAATCTAGGCCAAGTTTACTGTTACTCAAAATAGGACAATTGTCTTCGCTCGATAAAGGTAGCTGATATTGAGTCATCGCTTAGGATTGCATTTGAGTGTCCCCTTGTCCAAATTGTCTATTACGTGATTAAGGTTAACGCATATTTCCTTAAATATGTACGAAACTACCTCTAGAATATAGGTTTTACTTACTTGTATTACCTATTCTATTCGGGTATCATATTGCCCTAGTAATTAAAATAGGTGTTCTAATTATAGAAGACCTATATTCTGGAAAAAAAACAACATTTACCCTATTTAGGTTTTCAGATAAGACAAAGCTCAAAGTTTCCTAACGATAACGACAGTTTCAAATGATATATTGTAATCCCGTAGCAAGTTTACTTGGAAACATTGCTTTTAAATAAGAGTTTGAAATGCAGTGTTGTAATTTAACTTTGTATAAAGCAAGCTGATTTATGGATTGCTTTTTGATCCACTAAGGTTAAGGTTATTGTTACTAAAATAGAAAAAAAAATGACAATATAAGACAACAGATCAAGAGCCATCATAGTCTTGTATAGGATTCATGCATTCGAATTAAACAATATGTTAAAATAAGAAAATGAAACTTCAGCCTTTAAGCCATATGTTTCTACTGAGGGAATTGAAATGAATTATCAGTATTCTTGTTAATCTATATGTTTTATTTATGTCTAATCATAAACTTATATAAACATACCATCCCTTTTATTTTAGACTTTACATCCATTGCTAGAAGACGGATGTCAAGGTGATGAAGAAGCAGAAGATTACAAGAAGGTAATATGACAATGAAACACAAATTATCGGCAGCCGCTATATTTTTCAGCAATATACTTAGTTCTCTTACTAAAATTCTTATTATACCCCCATTGAACAAAATTTGACTATTATATAGGGATATTTATATCCTGTCCAGTTCTAATTGTTTTGCTGTACCGTCCCGATTAACTGTATTATTTTTGAAACCAGTATGGTATAATTTTATAATTGAACAAATTAGAACAGATAATCTCTTTAATACTCCAAATGTCCCAAACAGATAAACTTTCATATCTCTGTAACCTGTGCACGTGAATATAAAATAAACGATGTTTACAAAGGCAGAATTTAGCTCAGTCTTACCAAGAAATCCCTAAAGGACCTCCAAAAAATGCAAAATTGTACATGTGTAAGGTAAACGTTTAACTTATAAAACTACGGAAACGGATGTCTAGTAAAGTTCCCATTGCATTTTGACAGATTTATGCAATTTTGTACATAAAATGTGTTCTCAAATTTGCACTTACATATTTCCAAAAACAAAGAAAAAATGATATCTTGACTTTTAAATTTATATAGCGTGTCAAGCAATTTAAGTTTTACAACTTTTTATTGCTTTTTACAAATATGCTTTTCAGCGAAATTTCTAGTTTTATTTATAATACATTGTTAAATGTTCACAGACACCATATTGTTTTAGGTTGCTTTTATTGGCATTTCAAACTGGGCATTAGATCCAGCCAAAATGAATAGAGGTATTCTAGTTCAGAGAGAAGTTCCAGATAAACAAGAGCTTAAGATGACGGCAAGGTATAGTCATAAATAAAATTAAAGTATTTGAGTCTTTATGCAATAGAAAATAAAATACTAGATTTCCATCCACATTTTGGGGGAGAATGGGGCGGGATGATGAATTATCGTTTTTTATTTTAAATTCTTATTGTGGACCTAAAAGATCAATATAATGTTTTGTTTTATTAACCAGTCAATTGCATACTAATTACATTGTCACTGCACACAATATACTAATCGACAGGATTCGTAAGATGTACAAAATAAGGTGTGTTTAAATTCATTTAGTTCTGTGAAATACTTATACTACGTATCATAGAGCAATAGGTTAAATTACGGGTTTGCATTGTTTGCATGTCCTGTGTGTTTTACCGTGTATGTCGAGTTTTTATTTATATTTCAAGCATTAAATTCCAGTATGACTAGATAATATGTATAGTTGTTGGTTATTCATTTAACATGTTAAAACGTAATGTTATTTGATATTAGTTAAATATGTAATGGTTGAAAATGTCTAGTTTGAAGATAATAATACATATATATTACATTGAAATATAACAAGAATATCTGTAGTACAAATTTTTAGAAAACTTGTCCCTGTATTTATATGTGAACTGAATTCTTGGAATCTCATTGCCCGCTCTGGAATAAAATGTAAAAGAATAAGACTTAAATAAAATGTAAAAGATAGACTTTGCCAATATAAAGTAAAATGTACAGGATGATTCTGAAATAAAATGTACAGGATAGTTCTTAAACTTTCTAGTTCAATTGCTCAGATATTTAAGTTCTATTTAACTCTACTTTCTCCATCAACATAGTTTGCAATGCATTTAGATCTTGTTACCTTTTCTAGTGAACAGTTTTTATTGAATAAAGCATAATGAGTTTTTTTACACAATAACTTACTGAGTTATAATTTATGGGAAAAACTACAACACCACCAATAACGTTTACGATCCTGTAAGTTTATTCATGCACATAAAAATGTCAAAAAACAAACACAAAATCCGAACTTATCAGATACCCTCCGTTAATGATGTTCAATATATGTCCAATACAATGTATATTATATGATCATTGATGTGTTCAATTGATTGATGTTTGTAATTTCATAAATTGTTACATAAAAATCAAGTATTTATGATGTAATTGCCTACCGACTGCGTAAATGTTAGTGTTTAAAATTGAGTTCACTTACTGAAATGCGACATGTTTATTTAGGAACAGTGCGCCATACCAAGTTCCATTTTTCTACAAGCAATTATTATGCTATTGTTATACAAGCATTGCTAAGATATATACATGTATTGAAAACGTAGAAACAACATACGCAAGTTAACAAGTTTTACTTCGGTCGTGTATCTTTTGAAAGATACTTGTTGTTTTACACTCATCACTTGAGGGGTACTGGTTTTCTATGTCATCATTTTTGTCAACACCAAAATAAAAGCACAAATACCTTTAAGAACCTCTGTTTAATACTTTATTTCAATGTCTAAAAAATTATTCCCAACATGTACTCTTTTTAGTACCTAGCAAGGAAAAAAGGTTTTCAAATATTAATAATTCAGTCGTAACCTGTGAGCTATGCAAATATTTCGAGTTGCAAGAAAACACTTTTGATAGAATGTAATGCATAAACGTACTTTGCCCACAGTAACAAATTCATTATAATTTTGGCTTTCATGCACTTTTCTGGGTCTTAAAGGGTCAACATGTTCAATTTACTGATATGTCTTGCAAAATTTGTTTTCTCCTGATTAGCAACTGTAGGTCTGCTATGCAAAAATTTAACTTTCCATTTAAGTCTTGCAAAAACATTATCAAGCAACATTTTAACTCGTTCAACAGAGTCTATCACATAACCTATAATCCTAGGATTATTTTCAGCAAGAACCCCGACTTGATTTAAAGATGCTAAGGATAGAGCTTTGTTCATTTCCTCATCCAAACTGCGTCACATAAGACCACATGACTAAACCTCTAAGATTAGCATTGACATCGCTCTTTCTTTCTGTTGATTTTTCCAGATGTTACAGGGAGGAATTCTTCAAGCAAAATTCACGTCATAATATCCAGCAAGTTACAAAATCATAAGTGAAATTTAAATCTGAACCATAAGTTAACCTTATGATATTGCCCTACGTCAGTCACCATATATGGACACAATGGGTTTTTCTTTATTCGATACCTGCTGCCTTTCAGCAGCAAACCTAAAATGGGATGATAGTTTTAAATGAAGATTGATTCAAAGAAACAAAAACTTTCCAATCATAAATTTTTTCTTTATTTTTTACGTGTAAATATACTCTAGTAGTCATAAAAACATTGTAAATATTGATCATATATTAAAAAAGTCTTACCCATGGCAACTAATACTTCCTTGTCCCTTCAACTGTGGCCACTTGAAACATAGGTTACAAATTTGCAATTTCCGTTATCATCTACACATAGTAAGCTACGAAAATCTCTGTACATGATGTAAAATCCTTTTTCACTCATCAAAAGAGTATATACATAGAACAGATATTTTTTTCGCTTAATTGCTGACCTTTAATCATGAACGTAACTCTAAGTTGCCAGGATACTGAACTTTTATTTTTACAATATCTAGTCCTGAAGTCTTAACCATGTATTACCTGGTTCTAGAAATCTTATTGAGAATGCATCAGCTAAATGAGTAACAGTTTCTAAATGACATATTCTTTTATCAACCTCAGACTGTTCATAATTAATACTAGCAAAACTATCACCTGTAAGACGCCTCTCTGGGAAATCAAGCTTTATCACTTATTTGTTTCCCAAAAAGGCTTCGGAATTCTATTCTCTATACATGTCTCCTGTGTGATAAGCAAGTTACTGGTTATGTATTTCTGCGAATAGCTCCATATTTTTAACTTACACATCTCTTTCTGTGTGGCTGTTATCTTCTTACTATAAGAACACTGTAAGCGCCCATTGCTTCCTGAATCGCTAAACTTAACATATGAATGTCTGTTTATATAGTCAAAGTTGCACCTTGGGTCACCCGGTACAAAGTCATTTAGGTAAACTTTTGGCAGTGAATTTCAATTCATATAATTTTAATCGAGATCCTTTGGTAGCATGGAATTTGCTATCTAGCACAAATGACACACAGTTTGGGCAAACTATTAAATAAATAAAAATTAATGCTGTTCTGATTTTCTTTTCAATGCTAGAAAGTTACGCACGTTTCAAACTGCATTTTAATAAACCCGACAGTTAGATATCCACATTTAACGGTGGATAAAGTTGAACATACCGGTAGCAGCAATGTTGTAGCATGGTTCATCAAACTTTCTTCAATCTTTCAAACTGCACTTCTTCAACTTACCTATTTTTAACATGTTAATATATAACTATAAATGCTGAACAAAAGCTATCAACTATATTAGTTCATGAAATGAGAAAGTTTATCATGAATTGAACAGGCTCGAACAGCAGAATTGACATTTACATACTAAAGGATATCTGTGATGCAGTTAATCAGATTATTTCTAAGAGTTAGGCAATTGGAAACGACAAGAATTCTACATTCAAATTTTAGCCATGTTTAAATGTTTAAATGTCATTTAAAAGTCTGGTTGTGACATCGATAGGTAATTTTTAAGGTGAGTGAAAGCTGATATTGACTGTAGAGTCACAAATTTAAAAGTGGTAGTTTCAGGTGTATAACCTTTGATAAAGGCAATGCAATTTATCAAGACTGCCTGTTGAACTGAAACATCTGCAGCTACCTGTGTCAGTTCTGTTTAATTTCGACAGACAAAGTGTCATAGTCATCCTTCATGGGCGGAATTTTGTCAAATTATTCAGGTCTGCCAATGTCAAATTATCTAAACCATACTATTCTCGCTGACTGAATTTTCGATTCGCACGGATTTTTTTCTCGTACTGTGCCGTTCAGTACTCAGCATTCAAAAACGATAACAACTAAGAATATTTGATATACATTTTTAAATTATATCTAAAAAGAAAGCTTTTGTGTGGAGCATTTATATCCTGGCGGGCGGGTCTACCATGCTTTCACAAAATAACTTTTAAATTGTTCTGAAAATGAAATGACACTGAAATGAAAATACTTTGAGTACTATAGTATAACTATTTTTCATTTATTCATTACACGTGCACATTTTAATATTTTGCATGCTTGATCATATAATCTTGGCGATTGTAATGTGTGAATCAATGCTTATATTAGTGTTAGTTAAACAGTTAAATCTAGGTTGAAGTTTAGGGTATATATATTTCAAAAATATAAAAATGTTTCTTATAGCGGAATTTGCAAAACATCGAAGCAGCTTGAATCATTGATAGAACCTCTGATTGAGCCTATGGCAGTTTCCTACTTAGAGGTCTTCAACAAAGCATCTGAAGAAATGAGAGAATTTTTCGGTTTGAGAGATTTTTACAGGTATGCCATTTAGGATGTTTCTTGTAAAAAGGGCTTCAATGGCCGAGTGGCGTCCAAGCACTTGCTCATCGCCGTATGTATTCAAATTTTGACAGTCGTTTCGGATTCTATTATGTGAGGAAGTTCTTCAGCTTGCTAACAGGCGGTCGGTGTTTCAGCATTTGATCAAAAAAGGGGCACACATGGTTTTCTTTGTCAGTATAGCTGTACACCCTATATCATAGTGCCCGGGTGTCTTAAAAAAACAATAAGGAGTTAAAAGCTCGAATAAAAGACAAAAAAGCTATTTTAAGAATCATTATGTCTAACCATTATTGATTTCTCTGTATTTGTAATACAATTTTGCGTAGTAGTGTAGTAAAAGAAGGTGTATTGGAACTTTTTGCTAATGCGTATGCTGACACGAATGATCTTAGATTTCGACACGTTGCCTTGGAAACTACAAATAGAGTAGACCGTACGATTTTGAAAAACGTCAGCTTTTGGGCCAGACCCAAGATAATTTAAAACGTATCAAATTTTAAAATAGAGGTAAAAGAGCAGAATAGCATGTACATAATGACTATTATAACATTCATTTACATTTATGATAGCTAATTATTAAATGTATTTGTTGCCTTTTTACATTTAACTTTTAAAAATTGATATTTAAAATGCTTTATTGTTCACAATTTATTCTATTCCAGTCTTGTTAAAATGGTTTTCGCTTTTGTTGATAAGTCGAAACAAAGTCCAACATGGCATGAGATGGTACATTCGGTTAAACGTAATTTTGATGGATTGGAGACTGTTGACCCTGTTGAAAGATTCGAAAGTCATCTTACACGAGTGATGCATATAGAAAAAGAGGTAGTTTCCTGTTTAAGCTCAGCTTTGGAAAGAAAGAAATGAAGCTATTATCATAACAGTCTAGTTGGCGTTGGCGACTTTAAAAGTTTATTACTTCAAACTTCGTTTTCTTGCTAATTTTTATTTAAGTCTGCCATTTGTAAAGGGATTAAAATCCTAGAATGCTTTAATATGCAATGGTATGCTATCTTCCAACTTAGCTTTTCACCCTTAGTAAGCTATTTGTTTATTTAAATCCATATAAAACTTATTCACTTCAAACATGAAATACAAATTAATTTGAAAATTTTTTCAAGTTTAGCTCACCTGAGCTTATATCCCTCGTTCGTCCACATTTGTTAGTTAACACTCTAGCGGTCACATTTTTGCCTCAATCATCATCACATTTTGTCAGGATGCTTGTCTAGGTAATTGCTCGGATGAGTTTCAACATCGGTCATCTTTAGGTCACAAGAGCTGAAAATAGAAAAATCTTGTTAGCACTGTAGTGGCTACTGTTTTCATCTAAATATCGTGAAAATTGGTTTGAAAGTTTGTTTTGATGATTTCGAGGTCATGTTTGAATATGGGTCACTTGGGATCAAAAACTAGGTCACACCGCCCAAATATAAAATAAAACCTTGTTTACTCTCTAGTGGTCACATATGTTACTCAATCATCATCAAACTTGGTCAGGATGCTTGTCTATGTAATTGCTCGGAAGAGTTTCAACATGGGTCATCTCGGATGAAAAACTAGGTCACAGGAGCTTTAAATAGAAAAATCTTTTTAACACTAATGGCTACTGTTTTCATTCAAATATCCTAGAAATTAGTCTGAAAGTTTGTTTTTGTGGTCAAGTTTGAATATTGGTCACCTCTGGTCAAAAACAAGGTCTCACCGACGAAATATGGAAAAACTTTGTTAACACTCTAGTGGTCTCATTTTTGCCTCAATTATCATCAAACTTGGTCGGAATGCTTGTCTAGGTAATTGCTCGAAGGACTTAGTACATTTATAATTTCGGATGAAAAACTATGTCACAGGAACTAAAAATAAAAAAATCTTGTTAACATTCTAGTGGCTACTGTTTTAATCAAAATATCCTGGAAATTGGTCTGAAAGTTTGTTTTGATAATTTCTAGGTCAAGTTTGAATGTGGGTCACCTGGGGTCAAAAAAAAGGTCACACTGCCCAAATATGGAAACATCTTTTGAACATTCAGGTGGTCACATTTTTGACTAAATTGTCATCAAACTTGGTCAAGATGCTTGTCTAGGTAATTGCCTTGATGAATTCGAACATTGGTCATTTCGGATTAAAAACAATGTCACAGGAGTTAAAAATAGAAAATCTCGTTAACACTCTAGTGGCTACTGTTTAGATCCAAATATCATGGAATATGGTCTGAAAGTTTGTTTCGATGATTTCTAGGTCAAGATTCTGAATGGATATGGGTTTCATGGGATCAAAAACTAGGTCACACCAGCCTAATATGGAAAATCCTTGTAAACACTCTAGAGACCACATTTTTACTCAACTTTCATGAAAATTAGTCAGGATGCTGGTCCGGGTAATTGCTCGGCTGAGTTCAATGGGGCAGGTGAGCGATCTAGGGTCATCCTGGCCCTCTTGTTAAGGTTTATTTTGTTGAGTATTAAGGTTTATCACTTGGAACTAAGAACGCTTGTTATTTTTTTAATTGGAATGTGTTGATAAAAAGGTTACATTTTTGTTATGCCCCCGCCATATAATGGCCGGGCCATATAGTGTTATCCTGTTCCGTCCTTTCGTCCTTCCGTCATTCCGTCCTTCCGTCATTCTGTCATTCCGTCATTATCAGTTTCCGTTCATTATCTTAGTAACAGTTTCACACATTCAACTCAAATTTGACATATGGATATGTCATGAGAACATACAGGTCCAGTTCGGTCAAACAAATTTGGTCATGGTTCGATGATTTTTTGCAGAGTTATGCCTCTTTTACTTTGAAAAATTTATGAAATTTTCAGTTTCCGCTCATTATCTCCCCAACGGTACAACACATTTAACTCAAACTTCAAATATGGATATGTCATGAGAAAATACAGGTCAAGTTCTAATTTGGTTATGGTTCAATGATTTTTGGCAGAGTTATGCCCCTTTTACTTTGAAAATAATATGAAATTTTCAGTTTCCATTCATTATCTCCCCAATGATACAACACATTCAACTCAAATTTGACATGTGGATACGTCACAGGAATGCGCAGGTCAAGTTCCATTTTGGTCAGGGTTCAATGATTTTTGGAGAGTTATGCCCCTTTCACTTTGAAAATAATATGAAATTTTCAGTTTCCGTTTATTATCTCCCCAACAGTATTTCACATTCAACTCAAATTTGACATCTGGATATGTTTTTGAAATGCGCAGGCCAAGTTCGAATTTGGTCATGGTTCAATGATTTTTGGCAGAGTAATGCCCCTTTCACTTTGAAAATAAATTTATAAATAAATTTGAAATTTACAGTTTCTGTTCATTATCTACCCAACAGTGCTACATATTCAACTCAAATTTGACATATGGATATGTCAAAGGAAAGCGCAGGTGAAGTTTTAATTTGGTCATGGTTCGATGATTTTTTGGCAGAGTTATGTCCCCTTTACTTTGAAAATGATATAGATACATCTTAGGAAAAAGCAGTTTAAGTTTGAATTTGGTCGTGGTTCAAAGATTTTGGACAAGCTTATCTTTCCTGAATGTTGGAAAAATTTTGAACTTTCAGTTTCAGCACTCATACTTTTGTGGAAATGTATGTAGCCATTATTTTGGCTACAAATATGCAATATGCTATTTTCAAAAGGTTAAGACTGAATAATTTCAGTGCCTTGAACATTGTATAAAAATGGTTTGTGTTAACATTGAAAAAGTTTAAGGGCTTTGAACTTTAAATGAAAAAAATAATTTTTGCAAACAAATTTGGAACTTAATATTATAACATCTGAAATTTTGGCTGCAGTTATTGCGGGGGCATCCGTGGCACATTTCTAGTTTCTTCTCCGCTTTGCTTCCTTTTTAACATTTAATTTCTATGATAATCTTTTTGTGTAGGTACATTTCTAAGCATCAAAGATATTAAATTGTAACATGGAATAGTTGGTCACTAATCCTGAATCCTAAGATTTTTTTGTTTTTTTTTCCCGCTTTTTTTATTTTAAAATACTTACTTTTTCTCAAAATCTATTGAAGTTTAAATAATTGTTGACTATCAAGGGCATGTAAATCTGTTAATCATGTTTACAGAATTATGCCTCCTTTTCTATGTTTTTTATTGAACGATTATGGACTGAGAAAAGTGAAGCGCGCTGACTGTTGACAAGTCTGATGAAATCTTGTACTAAATGTTTGTACTTTTATTTTATTGGCTACCATAACGAAGTCAGGACAGCGAGCAAAAAAGAAACAAAGAAGTTACACGTTTCCTGAGCTAGAAAAACAAATGAACTTTGTTTTTTGTGCTATGAATAGTATAATTTATCTTCATTCAACTTGATACTTGTCAGTTTTGATAGTCTTTTGTAGTGTTTGTTCAGATTTGTTCAGATAACTTGAACAAACCACTTTAAATCTCGATAGAATATTTTAACAACATTTTGAACCAATATCCAAGTGCTTGACATTAAACCTTTCGTCAAACAATACGTGTCTTTGGTTCAACAAAGTAGAAAGTGTTTTTTTTTATCCAAATCATATGAATTGTTAACAATAAATTAGGAATAATGCATCGATTGACGGCCATCTTTTTGCTTTGTTCATCGTGACCAAAAACATGTTCCTATTTCTTAATTGACTTTAAACAACATGTCTGTTCTATAAAACTTGCAATAGTTATAATGTGAAAAAGTAAAATAATGATTTAAAAATTGAGTCACGTTTTTGTAGATTCCTAAATACATAAAAACTAATGCCACATGATAAGTACCAAACAAGTACAAATTGATAAATTGTTTAAATCAGTTTAATTCCTTTGCAACAATTCTTACTTATGTCAATGAAATGAAATGGCAACGTGTGTAACATTGAATGTTAAAACAATTACTTTTGTATGAACATTCCCTAGATTGAACTATTTTTTTTCTCTTTGGCTTATTGATCTTAAGCTCGCGCTTTGATATGGTCGATAGAATGAATTTTGAAATAAATATCGACAATTCGACAAATGTGTAAGGTTTCAGAATGATAGAGTTATATGTTAAAAGTTGTCTCTTTCATGTTATCAACACATAAATTGTTTTCTTTTCAGCCAAGGAAAACTGATCCTGATTGTTCAACTGCAGGTCTGATACACGCATGCTTGTTTGATACGAACAATATGAACAGGTATTTACTTGTTAAGAAGACAATGCTAGTAGTTTAAGAAAAAGAAATGAAATATTATTCCCCCCCCCCTATTCATTAGTTTTACTTGTAAATTACCTAGTTTATTCCGTTTGTTTCTTATCAAATGAGAACAGGGAAATTTTCGTTCGCTATATAAATCATATGCTAATACATTACATACATGGTGAACAGCTTCGTACGCTTTCTCATCTACTTAAATGAATATGCAAGGTTATGCTAAATTCTGTATTTTGTTTTAACTTCAAAATTGGAGCAAAAATAATTTATGAATAAAATGTTTATTTATTTTTTGTATTCCTTGACCGTGTAAATTTAATTTGATGGTTTCAGCCATACGAGGTATGATCAGAAAGTTCTAGGCCCAATATTCTTCTAGCCACTACATTGACATCTACACACAATACGTCAATACCGATATCTTATTGAAGATTTCTGACCGAGTTACAGGCGGTTTTACACAAATTAAGTAACATAAAACACACTTTAAGCAGTAAAGGGGTGTGTCATTTAGATAAAATGGAAAAAGTTGAAATCAGAGCCGTCATTAAGTACCTCTGTAAAAAAGGAACCCCCCCCCCCCAAAGAAAATCCATGAAGACTTCATGGATACACTTTGGAAGGAGTCCCTTTCCTAAAGCACTTTAGAAAAAAGGGCTGCAGAATTTATGAGGGGCAGAGATGGCTAGATGGGTCCCCGGTTAGTTGACTGTCGACCAGAAACGGACCAGGCATCACACTTCAAGATATCTTTTGTCTCGCTACGAGGATGAACCTGATTTTGTCTACCGGATCGTAACTTATCACTTCGATCCAGAATCCAAAACAAACAGAGCATGCAGTAAAATCACCATGGCTCATCCCCTCCGAAGAAATTCAAGAGTGTGCAAGGTCGTACCATAAACGGTACGTACTATGCCGACGAATTGTGACGTATACGTCAAGAAATTGCTCCTAAAAGGAGGGGCAAACTGACTGTTCTGCTCCTGCGCGACAATGCGACAGCTCATACATCCCAAGTTACGATGGCTGCTGCAACTGACTGCGGCTTTGAAATTCTTTCCAATCCCCCATATTCTATTCTCCGGACGCTGGCTCTTTTTGCTGGGTCGGGTGGGGGTTGCGTTCATTGAACGCCGCCTTTCCTTGTTGATCTTGTTTGTCATATTTTTGGCCCCCTCTTACTTCTACCTGTTTCCGAAACTGAAAACCAAGCTTCGTGGTAGACGTTTTTGTAGCAATGAATATGTCATGAAGGCAGTCAATTAGTTCTTTTAGGACCAAAATAGAGAGTGTTATTTTGAAGGGTTAAACAAGTTGGAGCACAGGTGGGCAAAGTGCATTGATGTAGAGGGCGATTATTTTGAAAAGTAAGACCGTTAGTTGGGTTCTCTGACTACCGGCAGTACATCGAGTCAAGAACTTTTTGATCAATTCTCGTATTATTTAAACAGAATATTTACGTATTTTATACTCAGGGAGAGCCGATATTTGTTGCTCATAACGGAAACATACGGAGCTTTGTCTATCATTCAACAACAAATATTATCTGGAGGGATTCAGAACAGACCAATTACAATATTTGGTAGCAGTTTTCCTAGTGATCAAGAGTACACCCAGGTTTGTTATCTTTCATGTAACATGATTATTCCGGTTAAGGTCTGAGTATCTGAATACTCTATTTCAAAACAATATTATCAACAATAATGCACAAACGAAAATCTTGAAAAAAGTGTTATAAATAAAGCGAGAACAAACATCAAGGAAATGCGACACATTTTATAAAAGGTTTTAAAGATGATTCAAGTGAAATTAATGTAACGCTAGGTTGTCTTATGCAAAGTTATTTACGAAAGCCAAATGTTTTTTAACGGAAACTCATTTCGTTCTTTAGTTATGCCTTACAAGTCCCCTCAATTATGTTTTATACATGTTGTATTTATACGTATATTTCTTAAAACATTTAGCTAGAGCTTATTTGCAAGCATGTAACATAGCCTGTAAATCCTCTGCACAAATAAATTTGTGTTAAAAGTTCTTTTGTTTGTTTCAAAACTGGATCAGTCCAATGTCCTAGAACTTTATATTAACCATTGTCAAGTATGCCTGAACAACAGTTATAAGTTCATGGTCCTTAAGTAAAAAGTATATCATACTAAAGTATTAAAGCTTTCTCTCTTATTTAAGGTATGCAGAAACATAAACAAGATTAAGCTGTGTATGGAAGCTGGTAAAACAGTGCTTTTGTTGAATTTGGAAAACCTATATGAAAGCTTGTATGATGCCCTAAACCAGTATTATGTGTACTTTGGTGGCGACAGATACGTCGATCTTGGTCTAGGAACACACAGAGTAAAGTGTACTGTTCACGAAAATTTCAGGTAGTATTTATTGATATTTCAGCAGATAAAGTTAAGGCATATTAGAACATATGGAGTAAAAGTATATATGAAAGATTTATCTGACCACTTTTAAAAACAGTATTCGCAATATTGAAGATATTTTATTAATTATGCTGATGTTGAGATTTTTGTATGAACTTACTTTGCTTTGGTAAAAGTTTCGTTTTACTTAAATCTATAATATAATTTATATATAAAGGCTTAAAATTATTAACCTTATATCACGAAAATTGCTGATTTAAATATTATTTTAATATTTTTTTTTTTCATTTTAAAATTTGTCGTAATCTAAGCTAATCTTTTTTAATCAATTTTGCTTGAGAGAATTTTTATAACTCTTAAGGCATGTAATACTATTTATTTTCAATATGTTTTTCGGACATTTGTTTGTCAACCATAATTTACAACTGTCAAATAATCTATTCCTTTGTGAATTTTACTTACAAAGTTTTGCATTTTTTGTATCCGATATTGTCATTATCAATGAGCATATCGTAAATCTATATATCGTTTACTACCATCTCTAGGAAGATACCGATTAAGCAATGTATTTAAACACCGGTACTGTTGGACTAGTGGATAAGGCGTCCGTCTTCGGATCGCGGGGTGGGGGTCGAAGGTTCGAGCGTTAAAAACTTCAGTTGAATGTTCCTCGTGAGACTCATTCCGAAATGGTCGCTTCGTGAGCCATGAGGTAGTTAAAATAAATGGATACAAATTTATATCCACCTGACGCATGGCATAGTGGTAAGAGTTGGATGTACATGGTATGAAAGAAAAAGTGTATCATAAGTCAGGAATGGCTGGCCTTTTCAATAGGGGTGACACTATAATAACCAAGACCTTTACCCTTTTTATATACATTGGATATCGCCGTTAAATATAAAAATTTCCGGTTGTCTAAAAAGATATTTTATTTGACACAGTTTTTAGTAACTGAAAGCTGAACTTTCTCCTTCAGACTTATTGTTGTTGCTGAGAAGAAGACTGTGTACAAAGTGTTTCCAATACCGTTGATCAACCGTTTGGAGAAACATTTTATGAATATCAACACAATGCTGACGGACACTCAACAAGAACTCGCTTCAAAACTGAAAAACTGGGCACACGCTTTTTCAGGGTAATAAATTTACTTTCGCTTGTCATAAAAACAGGTATGTTCATTCTATTAAAACGTTTTACAAGATTTTTCCTTTTTTTACAAAGCCAATAAGAAAGTCTCTTAACATTCAAAATATATGTAGTTACTACAAAGTTCACATGCTTGTTTTATCTTTTTTCAACAGACAATCCGGGTTGTCTGTCAGTGAAAACTTTGTTGGATATCACGAGGATGTTTGTTCATCAGTCATTCTTTACACGTGGGAAGCTAATACAAATGCTGTTAAGACGGATGATCAATCTGAATTCGTTGAAAAGGTTGGACTTTTTTAATTTGTCATTAACAGAATATTAAAGTTGATTTTCCCTAAACATATAAAAAACAGGC